TACGGGGAAAGAGGCATTCACATATTTTACCAACTTTATTTTCTGAATGATTTGCTGAGGCATTTCACACAAAGACAACTGAGGGGAAAGAAGTCAGCAGTACCAGTGGTGAGGCAGCAACTTCACAGCTGCCCCAACCAGATCCCTCTTTTGCGACAAAATACTATATGGCTTTCCCACTCTGGTCTCTTCAAACTTGGTATCTCTTAAACATTTTAGATTATCTGACCACTGAGGTTCTAACATGTTATTTGTCGGAGTTTACAAGCACAAATGAAATAGCCTTGTCAGTAATGATGTAATAAAGCTGACTGAAGTCTCTGTTGCTCTGCAGTGACGATCCTCTGCAAGGAAAAGCTGAAAGCAGAACATAACATGCCCAGCATAGCAAATTTGCACTACCAACCACCACAAATCTGCCAGTGAAAGAGAACGTCAGGTCACAAAGCAAGCGACCTGAAAACTCAGCATTATGCAAAATCTGAACTACATGTATTCAGAAGGCATCCAAATTATTTGAAGTTTCACACCATAGTGACCTCACTGGGGTGAAATTACCTTCCTTGAATTATGCAGGCAGCTCAGAATATTGCAGTGTATTTTCGATGCTCTATAAAATGAATTAGATGCTTTAATTTAACATATTACACAGGCAAATGTCATAGGTGAAGCAGGCTTGGTTTGGTCAGGGTGAAGGGGGCCAAATGACAATACCAGTGTGCTGAGCAAACTCTGACTTAAAATATGTGTAGAAAAAACAACCAAAGTAACAAAAACTTAACCTTAGTAGCTTTCCCTGCTGAATGAAGGCAAAGCAGTAGACCTTTATTCAGTAGGACAGTCGAAGCTTCCATGGTGTCAAACCAAACACCAGGCTCATGTTCACTGTCCTACTGAATAAAGGTCTACTGCTTCAGGAGATTCTTACAATACACCAATTAAAAAATGTGTGTCTGACCTACCCTCAGGCTTACACCAAAAGGCTATTTGCAAGAAGGCTATTTCACTATGCAATGCAAAGCTGACCCGCAAAGCAGCATTCTCATCCAACGTGCACAGTTTACAGCTGTTTATGGTAGCAATGCTATACCCTCTGACAGGTTTATTTGTGTAACTGTTTATGTTTTCATTATGTTCTGTGATCTGCTACGTGGAAGTTGTGTTTAAGAGGATCCTACTGTATCTAAGGTGTTTACTAAGATTTCCAACAGCTTAACTACAAAAAAAGAGAAAAAAAGATATGCTGCCTGAGAAGGGTTCTACCTGCAGCTATTATATTTACTCATTCATAGACACCCCAATTGTAATTTATTATGCTATTATTTCCCACATTAAACTGAAAAGGTAGAGAAAAATGGGAATCAATGCTCTTTTATAATTTCTGGCTTAAATATTATTTCTGATTTAAATAATGTACTCCTGGCTAAATAGGCAGCTTTATAAAAAAAATACCTCTTAGTATTTCTGAGCAGTATGTTCATTTAGTATCAATGGACTGACTATACTGAAAAATATAAACAGGACTCTGGCTTGCAGAGGGGAAGGGTCACAGATCTCTTAGCTCATTAGCAGAGTAAATGCTATGCAAACATAAAGGTCACAATTTCTAAAGGCTCTATTTCTAGCAACTCCAGTTAAAGGCTCTCCAGTAATTGCTATAGGAAGAATCTCATTCCAAGCCCATGAGAGCTGCTGTTAGAAAACTATATGGGTAAGTGGCCTGACTCAGTAGAACACAGCTTAGGAGGGGCTGGGGCTGGGGGTGGGGGAAGTAATAAGAAGCAGTGTGACTCAGTGGCAGACCACATGCTTTACACAAAAACCTCTGAGGTCCAATTCCTGACATCCCATTCCATGTAGGGCTGGAAAATACTCATCTTTAAATCCTAAACAGCTGCTGCCAGAGAGGTGCTGAAGCTGATGGAACAGTGGCCTGAGAGTGGCTTATGTTCCTAAAGCCAAGGGGAAACTGTTTCAGGGAAGGGCTAGAGCTCAGAAGCAAGGCACATGCTTTGGATGTGAAAGGTGCCATGTTCTGCCCTTGGTATCTTCAGGTAAAGCTGGGGGAAAGCACTGTCTGAAATCTTGGAAAACCACTACCTGTCAGTGTAGCGGATAAGATCTTTTCAGATGTGGGACCAACCTTTAGCTCAACCAAGCATTTGGAGATGCACTTCATAACTTTACGCCTTTTGTTTTTATGACGGCTGTGTTACAGTTGTGACCCACCTTACCTTGGTCTGCCACCCAATCATGGGTCCCAACCCTCCAGCAAAGTAGCCAAACACCCCCCATTTGTTTCAGGTGACCATTATGCTCCCCTGAAAGAGCAGAGTGAGTATCATCAACATTAGGGAACAGGTAAAATCAGAGAACTTCTGAATGAGTAAAATATAAGGTGGCTGAGGGTTATCTGTTTGTTCCAACTAGAAAAATTACCTTGCCACTGCTTGAAGTGGCAGCTTAGCTCACCTCAGCAGCTTGCCAGCATTCCCTCTGAAATTTTAGAAAGAGTGCCCAATGAGAGCAACACATTTGTCATAATACATTGTCATCCTTGCCGCGGGGTGGGGGTGGATGGCTGTCTCCATTGGCCAAGAGGTGACAATAGTATTTTATAACAGCTTATTCTATATGTTGGCTATGCAACAAAATGATAGTGAATCCAAGAGATTGCAGCAGATAAGCCAAGACCAGCAAGAGTCACAGCTAGACTTGTTAACATTGCTTGCTACAAACAGCAATAGGCAAAGCAGGGAGCAGATATGATGGAGCAGGGCCTTTTCTGTAGTGAGACCCTGACCATAAATCTAGACTAGCTTCATCTGTTTTTAAGCAGGTCATTAAAATTTTTCATTGTTGTTCCACATAGCTTTTGAATTATTTTAAAGGTAATTCTTCCATTCTGTGTTTTTTTAAAAAAATATGGTTTTATTAAATCTGTTATGAAATCGTTTTAAAGTTTCTAAGTTAAGATTTTTATATTTTAAGACACTTAGGGCTTTTTGTCTTGACAGGCAATTGATAAATAAATAAATGGTTTGTGTTGTTCAACAAAGCTTGCTCGTATCTACTGTGAGATGAAAGACGTAATGAAAATACAGCACTATGGTCTGATTCAAGTACAATCATGCCGTGCTACATCACCTATGTGTTCAATTCATGAGAAATTAGTACTTCAAAAGACACACACTTTTATTCCCAACCACTTCTATGGCACCTAACTCCAATTCCACAATGTAAACATTAAACATTTGAGGAAGATTAAGAGTTAGTCTCTGTTAAGCCCATTCCATGCTGCAACAAAGACGGCATTTTTATCAGTTTTTTTAGCATGCAGAGCACCTGGACTAGAAGACAGACAAGAGATCTGCCTTCGATCTTAGAAGAAATATGCCACAACGTATTTCAACCTGCAACATTCATCTACTGGAATGCCAAACTGTGAGCTGAAATATTTGCCTTTGTAATCTTATTATCTATAGCAAATTCTGTTGTCTGCTTCTAATTTATGAGCAGTGATAGAAAAGGCTAAAATGCAGAAGCAACAAGTTAAATCCAAGGGGTAAAATATCTAAATGAATCATGACTGCAACCAAAAGTCTACAGTCATACCTCGGGTTGCAAACGCTGCAGGTTGCACGTTTTCGCGTTACGGACCACGCCGAACCCGGAACTACTGGAACGGGTTACTTCCGGGTTTCAGCGCTCGCTCATGTGCAGAAAAACCAAATCACGCTTTGCGAATAAGCGTCAGATCGTGTCACGTGTGTGTGCAGACACGGCACTGCGGGTTATGAACGTGCCTCCCGCATGGATCATGTTCGCAACCCGAGGTATGACCGTACAAGTCATCTTCCAGTTGTTCACAAGCAGTTTACAGTGCAGCCTATGGGTGGGTTCACCAAATTGTCCCTGTATGAAAAACCCTACTACTGAAAACACATTGGGAATTTTATAATTGCATGGGGAAAGTTTTCTACCACCTTTCCCCCTTGATTTCACTATTCAACGCAGAACTCTTGACTTAGAATACATCTATAAATAGTTAAGATTACATACATTTAATATTGCAAACATTTGCAGCAATTTATGGGTTCACCATAGGCATCTGCTTGGCCTCTATAATAAAAAATAATACTGGATTAGATGAGCCTATTGTCCGATCCAGTAGGGCTTTTCTTACATTCCTCTATTATGTCTTTCTGTTTAATCAGTCCAATGTTTCTTGGTGACATAATTATTTATTCCCACTCAGAATCTGCATTTCCAGATCTTCAGTGTACTTTTTGACATATTTGCTTCCAGAACCCTAGAAAAGTACCTACCTATCCACCTCATGCTCCTACCACAGAACACTACATCACAACATCGTACTCAGTAAAGTGGTTATCCACAATGATCACAAACTCTTTACATCATGTTTTCATGGAACAAGGACTTCCCAAATCTGGGCTGGATTTATTTGTCAAGCATAAAAATTACCAGTGTGTTATCACCTTGAGAATGCTGTTGAAATCAGTAGAAATAGAAACTATAAACCAAAACTATACCAAAACTTCCTTTGCAAGTCCTCCACAGACATCATTACAAACTCCAAGGTGAGAAGGGATTACAAACTAGAATGAAGCTAGGTAAAGAAATAAAGGGATTTAAATGAATAACTCTCCCTACTAACTTGCAAATTAAAAGCTACCTAAGGAAATAATGCTTAAGAGATAAATTTCCAGGAGTAGCGATGACACAACATAATTCTCACAGATAGCATTAAATCTGTCCAAATGGGTAATAGGAGATTTTAAAAAAAAGCAGCACAGACCAGTTCACCTCAACAGTTCAGGGTAGATACTACAGTTTAAAATTGTTATTTAATGTGCACATTTAGCAGATTAATAAATAATGCTAATAAGACTATTGGGATTTTAATGCTGCTATTTGCTAAATGGTTTGTTTTACTTGATTATTTTAATTTAACTTTTATTTCTTATCTTTTTCTATTTAAGGATGCTACAAACTATCCTCAGCAACTTAATGAAATAAAACCACATTTCCAATTGGCCCAGCTACAGAATACCAGTTGAAATACGGCATTCCTGGAATATTTTCAAGATATGCTTGGAAAGAAAGTTCTTACATTTTGCTTAATGAGGTCACTATCCAGCTATAGGAAGATAGCCCTCCAAAGCATTCTCCCTATATCAGTTTGGAATTATTTCCCTAACATCTCCCTCTTATATTCTGAAGCAGCAGAACAATCATCCATAAGAGACACACAACTCAGTTCACACTGGGCCACTTTGATGTCCATATTGCATCACTACATCAACAGCATTTTTACTATAATTTTAACTCAATGTTTTCATTTTCTCTGCATGTGCCATAGTATGCTCTCTCTTCTCTCCTTGAACAGCCAAAGATCTCCCCAAATGCTGCAATCCCACATTTTCACTCAAATCTCTGAGTGTCCCATCCATTCTCATCTTTTCCTTCGTTCAGACTCTCTTTGCTGTTTCTGCTGCCCACCCCCCTCCACCCCAATCTCTCTTTCTTCTAAATGAGCTCAGTAACAGTAGCCCACAAGTCTTTGGGGTTTTTTCCCAGCAATTCGCTAAGTGAGCAAGTCTCAGGTGCAAGCAATCACAGTTTGCAACAGGCTGGGAAAACTGGTACCAACACCACAACATATTTTTAAATCTAGGAAGAGAAGGAGCAGGGCCACCAAGAGGGATGTTCAGGGGCTATTCATGTACTGGGCCCAATGCTAGCAGCAGTTCCAGCCTCTTAGCTTTCACTTTTTTAAAAAAAGGTAAGTCAATTGGTCATTTCTAAAGAAAGGTATGAAACAAAATATGGAGACCAGGGTGGATAAAAATCAATTAATTTTTTTAAAAAATAAAAATCAGTTTTTTTATTTAAATCAGATTTTTAAAAAAATTTAAATTGGATTTTTAAAATAAAATGCTTCTGGATGAAAAATCTTTCTAAAAATAGTCTTCTATTTAAGTTACATTCTAGTCCAAAGGCTATTCATCAGGAAATAAGGATTTGTTTTAAGTTTTTCATGTGCGCTAAAACTCAGTCTAAGTTTTTTTGTTTAAAATGTTTAACCACAACAGTTAACAAACATGGCTACATATGCTATAATGTTATTGCTTTGGTTAAATAAATTGTTTAAGTGGTTGTTAGGGAAATGATTATTTTTCTCCTTCCAATAAAGTACAGCAGAAAAGTTGTCCAAATATAAACAGTTAACTTATTAAACCTCACAATAATTTCATAATTATCTGTCTATGTATTTCTAATAGTATAAACAAATCAGTCATTTTTTAGATAACCTTAAAAACTACTCTGAAAAATTATTATTCCAAAAATGAAGCCTTCCTCTGGTTGTACATATTAAGATTATACCAGCAAGAATGAGACTTTCTGTAAAAAAAAATAAATGATTTAAAGCAAGTCTAACTGACTAGTGATTTAAATCAAGCCTTACTGACTAGTGGTTTAAATCGTGATTGAAATCAAATCTACCCTGATGGAGACAACTGGTAAGGTTTTGGCACTTGCAGGCAGCACAGTTGATAAGGGTGCTTTATCACTGTTGCTAAGCAGAGGAAGGAATGTTGACAACCCCAGCTGGGACTCAGGAGGGGGCCCTTGCAGAGCAGCAGAAAAGGTTGGGGAAGCTGGATGGAGAAGGATACTAGGACATGTTTATTTAAACATTTTTCTCACATACACATTATTTCATTCACTCCCTAAGGGAGCTGCCTTTATAGAATAAAGCACAGTTGGCTGACTTTGGTATGCTTTACTCAGAGGTAAAATAAATTGGGTTGCCTTTCTACTGAGGAAAAAATGGCAACATGGCAGTCCCCCTGCCCTGATTTTCCATACCCCCCCCCCCACAAAACCACTACAGGTCTGCTTGTCCTCACTATGCTGTTATTTATTAATAAACACTAACCATAAAACAAAACCATAACATACAAAATGAATCAGCAGATACAACCATAAAAAACTAAGCACCTTGTAGCTGCATCGAGTTTAAATTCCTGTAGACTGTAGGATATTTTTTGTTTATCAAGATTAGCAAAATGTTCTGTGTGTATACATTTTGCTGAGAGTTGTGAAACTGCATGCATTTGTTGCTTATTGTTCTAGATTTGTCTTGTGACTTTTCTCCCAGGAATTCAAAGCTGTGTACATTGTGTTCTTCTTCCCACTTTTATCTCCACAACTCTATTTACTGGATGCTTTTACTGGAAATAGGAGGAGCGAATTTCTGACAACACTGCTTTCCTACTGCAGTATCTTGAAGACTTTCTTGGGGTGTTTGGGAAATCCTCTGGAATAGCATGATAGGTGGCGAAAATCTATTCCTTTCCGTCCTTAACTGAGAACATCCATTGGCTCTCCACCCCTTTTTTATTCACAGAAGTGACACTTTAGATGCAGAACACTACATTTTTATGAGGATCCTCTAAGTCAGCCTTTCTCAACTTTGGCTCCCCAGATGTTGTTAGGCTACCACTCCCATCATTCCTGACCACTGGTCTGCTAGCTAGGGATGACAGGAGTTGTAGTCCTACAATATCCGGGGCCCAAGGTTGAGAAAGACTGCTCTAGATATGCAGAAAAAACTAGTAACAATAAAATGCAGAACATTATTCTCTTGTATTTTGACAGTTAAAGTAGAGATGCATTCTACCTGAGGGGGCCAGGGACTGATCTGGATATAAGTAAATATTAAATGCAATTATTGGGGGAGTCCATTATTGTTAGTACTAAAAATACTAATTTAATTAATGGTATCGACTTCAAAATGTTAGATTGGACAATCTACATATTTCAATAGTGAATGTTGGTTTGTTTAAACTTGACAGAAGTGGACAATATCAACTCCTTGGAACATTTTACGAATTTTCAATAGGATACAAATTATATTACAAACAAAATGCAAGAACAATCCTTCCCTTCCAAATCCATTTTTACACATTCACAATTTGCCAGATAATTTTTTCATCAACTGCAACTTTTTAAAGTCAACTGAAATGATAGATTTGCAATTAACAAAAAAAAATGCAGTTGTACCCACTCTGTATACACAATATGATGCACACTTATACCCACCTGACTGCAGCAAACCTCCTCACAGCTCCTTTGCAAGCTGAAGTTGTAGGTCCTTTTCACACTGATCAGACCCATTCAGGTGGTACCCTACAGAACACAAAAATGGATAATCATAATCTCAGTAAACACTGAAAAGCTTCCCTAAAATCACAGTTGTCAGGGAACTGCCATCGGACGGAAGGGAGGTGAAAGGGCTCACACAGGTTGGGAGAGACGCAGCAGCTGAAGAGGGAACCAACAGGGAGGTGAAAGGGCTCACACAGGTTGGGAGAGACGCAGCAGCTGAAGAGGGAACCAGTAGGGGAGAGGAGCTGAGCTGGAGGGATGGCTCAGAGACACTTCCAGCGAAAACAGTGGGGAGGTTTCAGGACCTCCTGTAAGAACACCCACTCCTCGCCGGAAACTGTCACGCAGAGATTCCAGAAGACGTGTTTCCGTTAAGGAGCTTTTATGTTGGAAGCGATTACGAAAGCAACCACTGTCGGAATCTGCTAGTGACTAGAGTAGCCATGTCTGAGGGGCTCCGTCACAGACAGAGGTTTGTGGACTTGAACAAACTCTGAGGGGATACGATTTTACGCACAAGCAGCTCATCATCCCATCACAGCATTCCGACAGTCTTTGAAAGCAGCTTGTGCAGGAGAAGGCATCATGAGCAACCCAGCCGGAACCGGAGAAGCAGGAGCTGGAGCGGGTCCAAGCCTGGAAGAAAGGTACCAGATGTTGGAGGTCCAGCTAGCGATGCAGACGGCGAGGCTTGAGGAGAGGAGGGCTCAGGATGCAGACAAAAGGGGGAAAGCCACCCAGTTCGCCAGAAAGGTACCAGGATTGGTGCAGAAGTTTGGGGGGGAGCCCAAAAACTATCATGGCTTTCGGACTGAAATGCAATATGCACTCAATCTGCAGTTTGATGAATTCCCTGACGAGGAATCACGAGTGGCTTTCGTGATTGAGCATCTTGAAAAGGGGGCGAGAGACTGGGTTAGACCCCTGATGGCAGCGAATAGTGACGTCTTAAAGGACACGATGAAGTTCTTTCGCGCCATGGATCTGATGTTTTCCAGCGATATTGAAAAGGGAGTGGTGCGCAGACAGTTAATGGGTTGCAAACAGGGAGCCGATCTGTCCGTGAGTACTGGACTGAGTTCACCATGCTTGTTCACAGATTGGGGTGGGACTTATCGGCGGAACCCATTCAAATGCTCTTTGAAGAAGGGCTTTCTTCGGCTGTGAAAGACGAACTTTCCCGGGCGCCCAGGGCGGAGTCTATGGACCAGCTGACCAAATCAGCGCTGGCCATAGGAGCGCGCCAGGAGGCGAGAGCATTGGAGAGGCGGGAAGGGAAAGGGGAACGTTGGAAGGAGTTCCGCATTCCAGACATTCCAGAGCCAACTTTCCCACCGGCAGAGCCGATGGAAATCGGAACAGCGCGCGCGCGCAGTTTCAAAGCCCAGTGAGGGGGCAAAGAAGGAGGGAAAAGGCGCCCGGAAATGCTATCTCTGCCAACAGCCAGGTCACTTTGCCAGAGTCTGCCCCCAGAGGAAAGAATGGCAAGGGATGGTAGGAGCTGTGGATGGAAGAGAGGAAAATATACCGGAGCAAGTAACAGCCAACGCCTGGCTGCCACTGTCAGGGCACAGCAGCCAGGCCAAAGAGCAGTGAGAGTGCCCACGCCAGAACCTCCTAAACCCGCCCTAGTGATAGAAGTGACGCTAGAGCTGCCAAACGGACACCCTCTAAAGATAAAGGCGCTGTTGGACTCAGGCAGCTCCTGCAATTTCATGAGCAAGGAGTTTGCAGCTGAACACCAGATACAGACAATCCCTTTAAGCAGCCCCCTGCAGGTGACCACGATCGATGGCAGGGAGCTGTTGGGTGGAGAAGTCAGCTTGCAGACCGTCCCAATGATAATGAAGGTAGCAAGGCACACCGAACTGATAGCTTTTAATGTGGCCACCTTGGGAGGAGCTCCCATTATATTGGGGATGAGCTGGCTAGCGTTACATGATCCGCTGGTGGGCTGGCATCAGAGAGTGGTTTCTTTTGGTTCAGCACATTGCTTAGAACACTGCAAGGAGGGAAAGGGTTTGGCAGGGGTCCAAGCCACCCTAGCAGGGACTGAAGTAACAGAGAACGTGAAGGTACCACGACAATATGCAGATCTCCGTGACGTCTTCAGCGAAAGGGAAGCTGACCAACTACCCCGCAGTAGACCCTTTGATTGTCAAATCAACTTACTCCCTGGAGCACAGCTCCCTGTAGGCAAGCTGTACGCCATGTCAGACAGAGAGATGCAGGAGTTAAGAGAGTTCATTGACAAGAACCTGAAGAGAGGGTTCATCAGAGAGTCCAGGGCGGTGGGGGCAGCCCAGTGTTTTTGTGGATAAGAAAAACACGAACAAGCCGAGGCTGGTGTGTGACTTCAGGGCCTTAAATGCAGTGTCAGAACCAGTAGCCTTCCCTATGCCCAGGATTGACGACATTTTGACAAGGGTGCGGAAGGGAAAGATTTTCACAAAGCTGGACCTAAGGGGGGCGTACAACCTGGTACGAATAAGGAAGGGGAATGAATGGAAAACCACTATGTTCACCCCTTTAGGGGCATTTGAATATTTGGTTATGCCCTTCGGCCTACAAGCAGGCTCCGCAACATTTCAATCGTTTATGAACCACGTCCTGGGGCCTTTGCTTTACAAGAATTGTGTGGCCTTTTTAGACGACGTGTTGGTGTATTCTGAGAATGAGGAGCAGCATGTGAGAGACGTCAGAGAAGTGTTGAGCAGGCTGCAAGCCAACCAGCTGTGGGTGAAACTGGAGAAGTGTCAGTTTCATACCAAGGAGGTGGAATTCCTGGGGTATCGCCTGTCAGACAAGGGATTGGCCATGGATCCCGGCAAGGTCCAGGCGGTGCTGGAATGGAAAACACCCAAAACAAAGAAGGATGTGCAGAGGTTCCTAGGATTTGGGAACTTCTATCGTAAGTTCATCCGAAACTTTGCCCACCTGACGGCGCCCATTACGGACTGTCTCAGCAGTAAGAAGAAGTTCGTGTGGACTGAGGAGGCGGAGCGAGCATTTGAGGAACTAAAAGGGGCCTTCGCCTCGGAACAACAACTCCTGCATGTGGATTTACAAAAACCGATGAGAGTGGAAACTGACGCATCAGACAGAGCGATTGGGGCGGTGCTTCTGCAGCCAGGCAAGAAGGGGTCAGAGTGGAGACCGTGTGCCTTTTTCTCGCGAAAGCTGAACAAATCCGAGAGGAACTACACGGTGTATGACCGAGAACTACTAGCCATTCATGAGGCGTTCCGGAGATGGAGGCACCTGCTAATTGGCGCACAACATAAGGTGCAAGTGTGCACTGACCACAAGAACCTAGAGTATTGGAGAACGGCACGAGTGCTCAACCAACGGCAAGTGAGATGGGCCCAGGAGTTCTCCAAATTTAACTTTGAGATTAGTTACGTGCCAGGCCCAGAGAACATTAGGGCGGACGCTCTCTCACGCAAACCTGAATATTTGGAGGGGAGGGGCACCGAAGAGAGACATGTCATTCCAGAAGACCGCTGGGTGTGTGGGGCGGCATTGGTGGGACAAAGAGAACTGGTAGAGGAAACAGAGAATGATGAATACGCCCAGAATAAGCTCAGAGGTCTTAGGGGTGATGGAGAGGAACCAGGGGTTTCGAGGAAAGAAATGGAGCTTTGTATTACAAAGGGGCACTGTATATCCCTGAAGGAGAGTTAAGGGGAGGGTACTCAAGCAGTTGCACGACAGCCCTACGGCGGGGCATTTTGGACAACACAAAACCATGTGGTTGGTCACCAGGGAATTTTGGTGGCCTAAGGTGAGGGAAGATGTACGTGAGTATGTAAGAGGGTGCGAGCAATGCCAGCGAGCCAAAGGGGAAGGCGGGCGCCGGCGGGGCTATTAGAACCCTTACCAACCCCAGAACGACCTTGGGAGGCAGTGTCGATAGATTTTATGACTGATCTGCCGAAGTCCAAAGGAAAACAGCCATCATGGTGGTGGTAGACCTACTAACAAAGATGTGCCACTTTGTAGCTTGCTCGCATGCAGTCACGGCGGAAGAGACAGCGAAGTTATTTGTAGAAAACATTTTTAGGTTGCACGGGGTGCCATTGAGGGTGGTCTCAGACCGAGGAAAACAATTTACTTCCAGGTTCTGGAGGAAGCTCATGAGCTTACTGCAGGTGGAGGTCAATTTTTCGACTGCCCGGCACCCTGAAACCAACGGGCAGGCGGAAAGAGCAAACGGTGTCCTCCAGCAATACCTGCGGTGTTATGTCAATGACAGAGAGAATGACTGGGTAGAAAAGTTGGCGCTGGCGGAATTTGCCTACAACAATGCCGAGAATGTGTCCACAGGGATGAGCCCCTTCTTGGCTAATTATGGGTGTCATCCCAGGGCTTTCCCAGGGGGAGGGGAGAGATGGAGCGTCCCGGCAGCCGAGCATTTTGTGGAAGAAATGGAAGCAATCCATCGTCAGCTCCAACTCAACTTAGAAAGGGCGAAGGAAGAATACAAGAGGCAGGCAGACAAGAACCGAAGGGAAGGTGAAACCATAAGGGTGGGAGATAGGGTGTGGCTGTCAACCCAAGGGTTGCCGTTCAAAGGAGGTTGTAAGAAATTAAGACCCAGGAGGTTGGGTCCCTTTGAGGTCATTCAACAGGTCAACCCAGTGGCTTTCAGGCTCCGGTTACCCAACCACATGAAACTGCACCCAGTATTTCACAGGTCGTTACTGTCACCGTACGAAGGGGGGACGAGAAGGGCTGGCCACTCGGGGACCGGTCGTAGAAGAAAGAGAATGCAGCAGCCATGTGGCAGAAATCCTTGACGCCAGGTGGAAGGGGGATCAGGTGGAGTATTTGGTAGCGTGGGAAGGAGAACCGGAGTCAGAAAACACTTGGGTAATGGCTGAAGATATCAATGACGAGGTATTGATAGAAACGTTCCATCAAAGGTTCCCAAGGAAACCTCAGCCTGTGGAGAGGTTCCGGAGGGAATACTTTGGGACCACTGATGAAGGGGAGGAGTTGGAAGGATTCCCGGACTCGGAAGGGGAAGGGGAGATGGACTCTGAGGAGGAGGTGTACTTCGAGACCAGGAACCGCAACAGGTTGAGAGAAGTGTTCGAGACATCGGAAGATGAAGGAAGTTCATTCCGGGGTTTTGCCTCCTCACCGCCCGTAGAGGGGGGGGCGAGAGGGGGTGAAGGGGGCCCTGGAGGGGAGGTGGATGTCAGGGAACTGCCATCGGACGGAAGGGAGGTGAAAGGGCTCACACAGGTTGGGAGAGACGCAGCAGCTGAAGAGGGAACCAACAGGGAGGTGAAAGGGCTCACACAGGTTGGGAGAGACGCAGCAGCTGAAGAGGGAACCAGCAGGGGAGAGGAGCTGAGCTGGAGGGATGGCTCAGAGACACTTCCAGCGAAAACAGTGGGGAGGTTTCAGGACCTCCTGTAAGAACACCCACTCCTCGCCGGAAACTGTCACGCAGAGATTCCAGAAGACGTGTTTCCGTTAAGGAGCTTTTATGTTGGAAGCGATTACGAAAGCAACCACTGTCGGAATCTGCTAGTGACTAGAGTAGCCATGTCTGAGGGGCTCCGTCACAGACAGAGGTTTGTGGACTTGAACAAACTCTGAGGGGATACGATTTTACGCACAAGCAGCTCATCATCCCATCACAACAGTATATGCTTTCAAGTCCACAGGATGATACTAAGAATGTCTGCTTCAGTCCCCTATGCATAACTGGTGCATGTCTGCCAAACAAACTGTAATAAGAGTGTTCTTTATGGCTAAAAGATGCCACATTCTTTCTGAGATGCCTCCAAAATGCTAGGATTATAGGTGGGGAGAGAATTAGAGAAGCACAACTTGGAAACTAGCCTAACTAATTTGTGCCAACAGGGCTCATTTGAGCAAACACTACTGGAATTGAAAGCAGCTTCGGGGCAATGATTTGTTTTTCCTGGAGTCCATGGGTTTGCCTAGGACACAGAATGATGACTTAAGTGCTACAATAGATACAACCTCAAACTTCCCAAACCTGAAAGACCTGCAGTTCTGTTTTATTATTTATTCATACTTATATCCCATTCTTCCTCTCAATGGCAGTGCAGGGCAGGTAACAATACGGCACAACAATAAGAGACAACAACATTAACAAAACAGCAGTGTCAGCAAGGAGCTTGATTACATTCCTTGGTAACAAAAAGGTCTTCACCTTGTGCAAAAATGAGGACAACGTGGAGGAAACCTGCTGCCCATCAGAAGATTTGAACTACAATTCAAATCAGCAGCAGCCAACACAATAGTAGTCCAAAACATCTGGGAACGAGGTTCACAGAATCATAGATTTGGAAGGGACCCCCAAGTTGGCAAAAGCTGTTTTATTATAAATTATGGTTCAGTGTGAAGAAGTGATGTGCTGGTACACACTGCTCAGAAGTTCCTGAACCACTTCTCCCCCTTGCTACTGCCACACCACAAGGGGAACAAACCAGAGGCTGGCTTCATGTTATGTGCAAAGCAGGGCTCATTATTTGTTTCCCTCAAACAAACTAAGAGAGGTAGGAGCAACTCAGGACTTTTCTGGCAATGTGTACCAGCATGTTGCTCCTTCACAATAAAGTAAAATATAGTTCAATGTTGCACGGAAATCAATATATTGTACCTCACAGGTAATGCAACCTTGTCTTCTACCTATATTCAAAATAGACAGGATTTGCAGAACAGTAACACACCCATTTTTAACGGAACGCGGGTGGCGCTGTGGGTAAAACCTCAGCGCCTAGGATTTGCCAATCGCATGGTTAGCGGTTCGAATCCCCATGGCGGGGTGAGCTCCCATCGTTCGGTCCCAGCTCCTGCCCACCTAGCAGTTCGAAAGCACCCCTAAGTGCAAGTAGATAAATAGGTACCGCTTTATAGCGGGAAGGTAAACGGCGTTTCCGTGTGCTGCGCTGGTGCTGGCTCGCCAGAGCAGCTTCGTCACGCTGGCCACGTGACCCGGAAGTGTCTCCAGACAGCGCTGGACCCCGGCCTCTTAAGTGAGATGGGCGCACAACCCTAGAGTCGGACACGACTGGCCCGTACGGGCAGGGGTACCTTTAACACACCCATTTAATTTATTACACAGATTTAATCAGGAATACGATGGTGCGTACTAACGTCTCAGTCCTGAAAACACAACCTCAAAACCAAGTATTTCCTGACATTAACCATTTGTTCAATTTACAGCCCCAAATTATAGAAAGCTTTCTTGCTAAGCCTTTGCATGGTTTAAACCGTACCTTCACGAGTGGCACATTAATTCTTTCAAGGTCAATTATTACCTGGATTTGTGACCCTGAATCTGTAACAACAGAAGCTCAGATCAAACTCTCAATTTCTTACATTTATTGTCAATGGGGAAAATCAGACTCAAAATTAACATCAAGACTTCCTAGCAGCATTTTCAGTAGCTTTTGTTCTCATTCATTTCTGCTAGATATACTGCAAGTCCAAAGGTCTTGTATTTTCAGGGGCCCCACTAATTAAAGCACAAACATTTGATGGCATGAAGGTAAAAGTTAAGAAAGGTCAACATTTCTTTCCTTCTGCAACAGGATGGTAGCTGCAGCCTCCCACTAAAATCTGGGAATGATCATGCACTTTTAACTGACATTTGAGAATCACCTGGTGGCTAATGGTAAAATGCTACTTTATGAGCTGAAGACAATGTTATCTATTGGAGGGCAATGTTTCCCTTAGGCAGAAACACTGACATGCCAAGGCATACTTTAAGCCTCTCCAGGTTTCCCAAAACAAGAACATTCCGAAAGCTGTTAAAATGCAGAGAAGCCAATTTTTACAAACAATAATCATACAACAGTCAAATTAAGCAGAAATTCAGGACACGATTGTAAAGCATGAAAAGTGCTCCTCACCTTCTCAACTCAGTGGGTGATCTCATTTACTGAGAAAGATTCCAACATTTGATAGTTTAAAAGCAAGAATAAGCAAAAGCACTTGTAAAATTCCTACACCTTTGTTTCCTCACAAAGAAATGGGAATGTCAGCCTAGGCAGCATAACATTTAGTCTGGCATACAGACTTTAAAATAACTTTATTAAGATCTGGGGCGGGTGGGGAGGACATATTTTGAATTTTTGTATCTTTTTTTAAAAAAGGAGTATGTACGCATCTCAAGCAACAGATTTGTATTGTATAAGCTTCCTGAATGTCTACAGAGAACCCAAAATATTAAATATACCCTTTGCTAACGAACCTATAATTTTATCTAAGTAGTGCAAATTTCAACATCGGTTTAACAGAACATTATCTACCTGTTAAATAAAAAGAAGAGAAAAGTCTTACTACTCAACTCAGTAGGCCCACACTGATTGGTTCTTTTTTGCCCATTATGCCCAACAAAAATGAACAGATCAAATAATATGCATGGAGTCATATCCCTGAAGACTTAGATTAGCACTTGGTCATAAACTAGGAAAGGGGATCTTTTAATAAATAGCTAAATGAGATGACATAGGGTGTGTCATCACCCCTCTGCTGACCATAGGAAATGGAGGAGAGCAGTGTTTCAAAGAACGTGAGGTTTCAGTTACAAGAGCTGGAGAATGCAGTTTTTATATAATTCAGATTTCAAAAGGTCAGAATATTTTGTATGACATTCCATTCAAACTTTTTGATCTATAGTTTCAGGCCAATGAAGTTTCAGAATTCCAGTAAATATTACCAGCATAAGCATAAGAATTATCTCCAAACCCCCTATATACTCTGCAGATTGACGTATCTAAAAATCCAACTTCCTTACTTCCTTGTTTGTTTATGCTTTGCTGGTCAGCAGCAGCCATTTTCAGGCAGAAATGAAGGAGAGGGATGTGGGAGCAAGATCGGATGAATCAGGGTGCAGGAGAGATCGAACAAATCAGGTTTTTTTCATGTGTCTCTCTTTTGCTGAATAAACCATTGAAAAAAACAGTGAAAGCAGTATGACAAATGCCACATGAGAAACATTTCCATAGGAAATAATGGAAATTGTGGACTTGTTATGCAATGCTTGCCTAACAAACAGTTTCCAGAGAACATATTGTGTTTGGTAAGCAGGACCTGATTGAACTGTGGAAATTCACACCTGAGATGGTAAGAAGATGCAGACGATCCTGTGATCTATTTCCAATTCCTTAAGCCTGGGTGAGGGATTAGACATGTGAAGTCCGCATCAGCTATAATCTTAGGGCCTAAAAAATGAGGCCATAATTAATCATCTAATACCTTCTTTGTCAAATTATACATTGTGGATTTGATAAAAATTAGTTCAAAGATCTTTTCACCAAACTTCAATAAACACAAAGTTCCTGGGGTCCAACTCCAAGATTGTAAGCAATTAGCCTTCATTATTTTACTCTTACATTGTATGACTAGTGTTTTTCAAGTAAGAGAGCTTTGTGGAATACAAAGCCAAAGAGCATAACATTAGTACAAGTCATTTACACATGCATGTATGCAATTAAAATAAAATATGATACTGCCTTAAACCAGAGGTTTTCAACCATTTTTAGTCCACGGCTCCCTTGACCAACTACATTCTTTCTGCGGCATCCCTGTGGGGTTCAGGAGCCCAGTTATGTCACCCCTTGCCTGCAGTGCTGGCAGCCTCTCACCCTTTTTTGAACACCTTCCCTTGTGGAGTGTTCCCTCAATCTCCTCTCTCTCCTCTCCCCGCTCCTTGGGAGTCCTCCGGGCAGCCACTGCTGCTGCCCCTAGTTTCTGAGCTGCCCCCCTGCCCCCAAAGAAAGATGCCTCCTCACACTCCTCCCAGGGGCCTGGGACTTGTCTGTCTATTCCCGACAGTAAGAGCTAGCGGACTGACTGGCTGGGATTCCTCGCCTGCCTGCTTGCTTACTCCTTGCCCCCTGGCCAGCCCCAGAGGCGCCATTTGCCTGTGAAGCTTGTAGCCAGGGCTGGTGCAACCAACAGCCACACAAGCCTTTGGGAGGTAAAGATGCAAGAGGGCATCAGAGAAGGGAGGGAAGGAAAGGAGGACAGAGGCCACTGTTGTCCGCAGCACCCCTGACCATCATTCAAAACACCCCAGGGTGCCATGGCACACTGGTTGAAAACCACTGTCCTAAACCTAAAAGGCAAAATTGCAAATGCAACAGAGATGCTGTCCTTGAAATAAGTCATTTTCTCCACACCAGCCGTTTTACCCAAAGGTATGAACAACTTGAGAGAGGTGCTGTGGTCTAAACCACTGAGCCTACGACTTGCCGATAGGAAGGTTGGGGGCTCAAATCCCCGCGACAGGGTGAGCTCCTGTTGCTCAGTCCCAGCTCCTGCCAACCTAGCAGTTCGAAAGCACGTCAAAGTGCAAGTAGATAAATAGGTGGGAAGGTAAATGGCGTTTCCGTGCGCTGCTCTGCTTTCGCCAGAAGCAGCTAAGTCATGCTGGCCACATGACCTGGAAAAACTGTCTGTGGACAAACGCCAGCTCCCTCGGCCAGTAAAGCAACATGAGCGCCACAACCCCAGAGTCGTTCGCAACTGGACTTAACTGTCAGGGGTCCTTTACCTTTTTATGAACAACTTGAGATAATTCTGCATGTTTTACTTTACTAAGTAGTTCTGGTTATAACCACTATTACACCCTATGTTAAGACAACTTTCTATTTGAAAAACAGTGCAGATTGTGAGCTCTAAAGAGAATGTATTTGTTCCCTACTGTTCAAGACATCTATTCCTAATTGACAGCTCCAGCAAAAAGTAACATAGCATGAAAATCCCTAGGAAAAACAATAAGATGCAAAGACGCTAACCAGCAGCTTGAAATCAATAACAACTTCATAATTTGACAAAGGAGATTAAATGATGCTGTGCAAATTACTATCAGCATTCCTCTAGCAAATTCAATGAGGTGATAAAGGCAGGATATTATGCTGACAGATGCCAAATGCTTTACATTAAAATACTGGCACACGGAATGTGGTCTTCAATTCTTGTTATAATAAGCATATTCTACTAGAAGACTAAAAATTTGGCCCTCAAGTGCTTTTTTACTTTAAAAAGAGGAGACAAGAAAAGATAAACTAGTCGTAGTAGCAAAGGAAACCTAAGATCATACATTAAGTAGCAAACGAAACATTAAACATGTGTCAGCTTTGTCCCTTTAATTTTATCCTTTTGGGATTGTTTTTTAGAACCAACACACTTCTCTTTAACTTATTTTATTCAAACCTCTAAGAACTACAAACAGGAAACTTGTGAAGATTAATTAATGAGGCAAGTTGAATTGGAAAAGGGACATGAAACAAGTTGCTGATGCAAACCTAACTGGATAACAGAAATCCAGAAGAATAAAAAAGCAAACAGAACCCAATAAAAATAACAATCACTAAAAATATATATGTACAATGAATAATCAATAAAGATTAAAGTATTTTCAAGGTTTCTATTTAGAATTTTCAAAGCGCAACACAGATTATTTATTTATTAACTGATCAATAACCATACATTCTAAATATGGGTAAGTGTTCAGAATTAAAGGATTTTTAAATACAGGTGTTTTTACTTTTTATTGCAGGGTTTCATTGATGGAAAAATGAGTTTCTTTCATTTATTGTGCATGGATTATTTCAGTAAGAGTAGAAAAGTTTTCTGTCACCAGTGGAACTTCAGAGATTTGTGTGGGCATCTCATGGGCAAGGTATTGTTAATTATTAGCAAATCTGTCATAAATTTTAAATTACTAACAAATTTGTCATTAATTTTTGTAAACTGTTTTCTTATAGCCATTTTCAGTAACAATTAGTGGTGTGACAGCTCCAATGACAGAGTAAGAACAGGAAAGATTAACTAAAAAGAAACTCAGTCGATTTTGCCATTAATTTTAAAGTGTATACACTGCGTACATTGCCCATATTTACTTACTGATAATAGATCATATGGAGTTTTACTCCCCTATTGATGGGTCTCCCATGAGTACAGACCAACAGATTATCTGTCATCAAGATCTGTAAGAACTGTTGACAAAAATCATATTTGATGTAAAGACCTCAGACTTTTCTTTTACATTTGCTACATTACAGATGAGCTGAGAGTTAAGAAGAGCATGTATAAGAAATGGAAGAAAGGGGAAATCACAAAGGAGGAGTATACACAAGCAGCCAACAGTTGCAGGGGGGAAGTCAGGCTGGCTAAAGGTCAGAATAAGCTCAGGCTCGCAAGACAGCTTATAAATAATAAAAAGGGTTTCTTTGGCTATGTCTGCAGTAAGAGGAAGATCAAGCACGTGTTGGGTTTTCTGCGTGAATGAGACAGGGAAATGCTAATGCGTGACAGGGAGAAGGCAGAACTACTCAGCACCTACTTTGCCTCTGTCTTCATCCAAAAGGAAAACAATGCCCAACCTGGTGATAACAGTATAAATGATGTAAGGAGGGAGCTGCAGCCCAAGATGGGAAAAGAGGTAGTAAGCAAACACCTTGCTACTTTAAATGAATTCAAATCTCCAGGGCCTGATGAGCTGCATCCAAGGGTACTAAAGGAGCTTGTGGATGTAATTTCAAAGACTTTGTCCATTATCTTTGAGAAACCCTGGAGAACAGGTTAGGTCCCTACAGACTGTAGGTGGGCAAATGTTGTCCCTATCTTCAAAAAGTGGAAAAAGGAAGACCCAAGTAACTACCAGCTGGTGAGATTGACATCAATACCAGGGAATGTCCTAGAACAGATAATTCAGCAGTCGGTCTGTGAGCATTTAGAAAAGGAAGTTGTGATTACTAAGACCCAGCATGGGTTTCTCAAAAATAAGTCATGCCAGACCAATCTGATTTTTTTGATGGCATTACAAACTTGGTGGATCAGGGAAATGCTGTGGACATAATGTATCTTGATTTCAGTAAGGCTTTTGACAAAGTCCCCCACAATATTCCCACGAGAAAGCTGGTAAAATGTGGGTTGAATGAGGTAGATTTGTACCTGATTGACTGACCGAACCCAAAGAGTACTCATTAATGGTTCCTCATCATCCTGGGAAAAAAAGGTAGTTGTTAAATTTGCAAGCCAATGCTTTGAATTTGATTTTTCTACAGAGATCTACAAATTTTTGCTGCATCTTTTTGAGGTTGTTGATGATCCCATGCCCCACCACGTAGCTCCAAGCCAGTGTGAAAAGCAGGGATTGTTAGCAGAATTGTGTGCTGCTATTTGTACTAGAAGTCAGTGAGGAAAAAGCTTAACTCATTTTGTGTCTCTTTACCTCAATAAGAAAGGCCTGTCTAGTCCAGCATACTGTTCCCACAGTAGACAACCAGGTGCCTATGTAAGCCTGAAAGCAGGACCTAGTGCAACAGTACTCTCTCCATTTGAGAATCTTTTACTGCCTACAACACTTGAGGTAAAACATAGCCATATCCTCCATGAATTTTCCTGACCTCCTTTTAAAGCCACCCACATTGGTAGCCACCACTACATCCCATGGGAGCGAATGCCATAGTTTTAACTATGAATTTTTCTTTTCTATTAGGCGAATGTGTCACTAAAAACCAAAATAATAAAAACTGAAACTCATAAATACCTCCAGATTTGCTCTCATGTATGCAAACAAACAGCAACACTGCTGGGAGAGAAATCGTAAGAATTAGGCCACAGTAATGCCAAGAGGGCATTTTCTGATGCATGCTACCAAACTGTGCCATGTAAAGCTTCAGAGAGGAACTATACAAAAACTATGTAATAGTCTTTGTGATGCCAATACTATTTGCTTTATTACATGCTGTAATGTCTGTCTATGAAGTTGTAAGTAAAGATTTATTGAGCAGATTCCATATTGGGTATGTATTAGTCAAGATTAAAAATTCCAGACCTGTTATAGCAAAAACAGCAATGAGACTTTTGGCATCTCAAAGGCAACAAGAATAATTTTTGCATATGCTTTCATCCTGAACTATAATTTATTAGTAAACTTGATTCTATTCAGTTAGGACTTAAGACCAAAGTTCTGACTATAGCTGGAAAATAAACTTAGCATACCTTTTTATATTTTAGCTTAAAATGTCACAGTGAGTCTAACATATTCCACAGCCTTACAATTTCTTATCCGTATCACATGTGTGCCTTATATGTGTATGCATAACTGAAATCCAAATGGGCTCTATTCCATGAAAGCCAATGCCACCATAAATCTGTTCATCTGTACCAACAAACATTCTGTTTTGCTTTTTCTGAATGTTACCGTCTTACTGAATGGCAAGGATAAGCAAATTGTTTTTAAAATGGAATGCTATGCAATAGTTCTAGCCAAAGAATCAGCCTAATTTGTGCAAAGCACAATTTTTATTTGTTTGTTTATTTGTTTTATGGGAAACAACTCTGAATGGATGCTGAATAATGACTGGGAGAGTTCTGTCCTAAAATGCGTAATGCTGTATTTGGTTTTGAGTTGCTCTGTTGGTTCATAATCTAAAGTACAACTGATAATGGACCAAGGTTTGATCAATAATCATCTGTCCATCACCTTTCTTGTTCAAATAGAAATGCAAGATTCCAGATGCTCAGTAAAATTTACTTCTATCAAACTGCTTGTTTTACTTCCATGCTTTGTTTTCGCTCCCTGCATTTATTCTTGCATTGAAAACATGTTTGGTGTTTGTTTTAAAATTCAACAGTCATGTCCTTTAAGATGTCTGACTTGAGCACAGTGACACATGCCTTGGTAAGGTAAGGTAAAGTAAAGGTAAAGGGCCCCTATGGGTAAAGATGACTATGAGGTGCGGCACTAAACTCATTTTTCAGGCCGAGGGAACCAGTGTTTGTCTACAGACAGCTTTCCAGGTCATGTGGCCAGCATGACTAAACCACTACTGATGCATGGAGGACCATGACGGAAGTCAGAGCACATGAAAATGTCATTTACCTTCCTGCTGCAGTGATACCTATTTATCTACTTGCATTGGTATGCTTTCGAACTGCTAGGTTGGCAGAAGCTGGGACAGAGCAACGGGAGCTTACCCTGTCATGCGGATTTGAACTGACAACCTTCTGATCGGCAAGCCCAAGAGGCTTGGTGGTTTAGATCACAGTGCAACCCACCTCCCTCTACATCACGCTTCCTCAACCTCGGCCCTCCGGATGTTTTTGGCCTACAACTCCCATGATCCTAGCTAGCAGGACCAGTGGTCAGGGATGATGGGAATTGTAGTCTCAAAATATCTGGAGGGCTGAGGTTGAGGAAGCCTGCTCTACATGCCTGTGCGCAAACTAGATCATTGTGGGAAAGTTTTTTAGTTTTCTAAAAGTTGACATTTTGCTTTCAAAACTATATACTTGACTGACCTCTTACCCAAAAAGTTCATTTCACATATTTACAAAATATTAAGTAGGTAATAATGCTATCGTGTTTTACTAAAATGCCACTGAAGTCTTCTTAATACTACTGATCCGGCAGCAATTAAGGAACTCTGCAATATCTGGACTACTCCTAGTCCCTAGGATTTCTCCAAAGCCTGTTAGATTCTTCCCATTAAATTTCTTCCACCACTTGCCTTTTACAGAAATGAGCTCATTTATTTTTATTTTTTACTACTGTACTGACCCACCCAGAAGCAAGGGCAGAATGGCAATCCAAACATCTGTTCATACAGGATGCTGCATAAACAGCAGTAATACTGTTTATAAATAGCATAATCTCTATTTTTTAAAGTTTCATTTCGAGTCACCTTATCTCTAAAAAGAGAGAGCAGAAATAGAAAGGGTCCAGAGACAGGTGACAAAAGCGATTAGAAGCCTGGAGAGACTTACACATGGGGAAAGATTTAAAAGATTAGGGCTCTTCATCTTATGGAAGGAGGTGAAAGGGAGGAGGCTTACTAGAGATATCAAAGCAATGAAGGACAGGGGGATGATTACACAGGGCAGGCACTTTCCCTTCTCACACATAAACACACAGCCCTGAGAGAGAAACAAAGCAATCTTTGCTCTCCTTTGTCACTCTGAAAGTAATAATATATGGTATGGAGAATAGTAGAGAATAGCACCCTCAGCCTTGGCTGCTAAAGCCTAATCACTAACAGAAGCTTGAGTTTGATACTATGGGCTTTCTGAATGCCTTGTGAGAACCTGGAAGCCAGAATTCACTGGTTGAACCCAGTTGGTCAATTCAGTTTCATCAATAGAAAAAGGAACCAACACTAAAATGACTTATTGGTCTGGTTTACACCAACTACTAAGCCAAACTATGGCTTAGAATGAAAAAGCAAGCATGGTGGTGCACATTTAAAAAGTCACAGCTACCTTACTCCTCTCCCCTGGTCCTGCTGAGATGCTACTGGGAGCTAAGCCAGTACTAAGTGTGAACCCAATGCTGTGGTTTGTTTGTCTTGCTGCATTCCCTGTTGGCCATCCATCCAAGGGGTCACATGTGGGTCATGTCCAAAGCTAAATTCAGTTGTGGGTATAGTCACCTCACAGTCACTCTCTTACATACATTCAAACCACAAAAACATGCACATGGTTCCTTAATTTCTCTAAATTATATAGCCAGTAATATAACATTTTGCTGCATAAACAAGCCACTTAAGAAGCCTAAGGATCTGGGTGACCAGGGTTCAAATCCCCAGTCAGCCATGAAGCTCCCTGGATGATCTTGGGCCTATCACTGTCTCTCAACCTAACCAACCTCACAGGATAATATGGAGTGAGGGAAGCAATGTATGCCACCTTTAACTCCTTGGAGGAAAGATGGGATATATATCTAATAAATAAATAATCAGCTATCTTGAGAGAAGTAGGGGGTGATGAGAGAGTTGGTAACTTTTTAGGGGTGGGGGCAGGATTTATTGTTGCACATTTTTTAATGATGAGGCTGCTCCGGCATTGCTCCTCCAACTTCCCTCCTCTCACACAATGGAACTGTGACTGAAGTGAAAATTTCAAGCACTGCCAGTCACCAAACACAGAAGAAGGGAATAGCAGCTGGCAGGAGTGCCTTGAAAAGAAGCCAGCATGGGCTGCAAGGGGAGCAGGGCACCACCGTGGCTGTCCCCAAACCACTTACCCTTGCAACCCTTATTTGAAATTCTTAACACTGCTTACATGTGCTTTGGGCTTCTTAATCGATTTTGCTGCTGCCACTGCAACACAGGCAAAATGACAGGATGTTCAGGGACGTGGGCGGGGGGAAGAGAAGCTGAAGTATATAAAAGCCTTCTGGCTCAAACCAAAGGCCCCTCCAGTCCAGCAACCAACCAGATGCCCAGTCCTCTTCAAACATTATTTAAGGTCTAACCTAGCAATGAAACTCACTAAGTGACTATCTCTCAGCCTAACCTATATCACAGGTAGTTGTGAGGATAAGATTGGGGGTGGGTTAAAGAACCAGGTACTGTACACTGCCTTGAACTCATTCATCTGCCTTGAGATGAAAGGCAGGATATGAAATGTGATTAAATAGTCCCAAGCTATTTGCAAACAATGGGACAGTGCAACTATCTCATAGCTTTTTAATAATATTATGGCAAGTTGATTCTGCATCATCTCAGCCACGTAGTCCTTAGTCTCCTGTTTGAAAAGAACTAGCACTGACCATCTGGGATTGTTGAGAAAACTGAAGAGAAACATTAAAACAGCATCCTGATATACTAAGCAGTACATTTATGGTACCTTGCACATTCCACTTCACATCTAACAGATCACTTTTAATGCCGTAAGTCTGCCAATTTTCAGAATTGGCTTATAAATCGCCCACTCTTCCTGTATAAACAGCTGCTAAGTTTTTATTGCCAGCTTCACTGGAAATTATAAGAATTCCTTGCTAAGAAGATTGAAGGCCACTGATAATTGTCTCTTGATCCCAAGAACAACCTTATAAACAAGTAGATTAAATTTGACTTCTGTTAGTCACATTTATTTTCACACTTTTGTAGTAAACTTAAAGGATATAGCAATCTTAACAACCAGTTGAAAAAAACAAAAAGCAGAATGAATCATTTGGACTATTTAAAGAGAGCTTTTAGTATGTTGCTGTCATGTCCAAGGCAGATCTATTTTTGATGTAAGGGATCAGTTTTAGCAGGAGTGTGCATGCATTCAGTGAAAAAAAGTTCTTTGAGGGTTATCATCTGGAAGCATTTGTGGCACGTTTGTTACATTTCCCACTCCTTAGTATCATTTTGCCTTCTTGTAGAAGACAGACCTTCACAAATGAACTGAAGAGCTCACATTTTTGTAAACATGCAACATGAAAATAAAGCTGGACAGATGGACAGCACACACCCTGAAGCCTACACTACTCTTGTTTTCCTCATCACTGAATAGGCAACACATGTTCAACACAGCACTTCAGCAGCCACTACTGTTCTCGGGGATAAACAGGAAGCATACTGTTAGGCACAAGATGCTCTGGGCAAGAAGCTAACCCAAACTTCCATATCCTCTTCATGAGAGTTATCAACCAGGCTGAACACTAACCTAACCTAACCTAACTGGCTTTAACCTCAACTAAAATGTTTTAAAATGTTTAAAAACTCATTTTTTGTAGACTGGTAACAAGCTATATAAACCAAGGTGGGATTTCTTGAGCAGCGGTGGTCAGATTTCAAGATTTCTACTAGAACCCCAAAATCCACAAACCAAGGCCATATGCAGAACAGTGGCTCAGATGGACATAGACTGCAATTTAAGGAACGGGGTGCCTCTGAGCCCACAATTAGCCCAGGAATTTGTGATCAGTATCAGAACCAAGCTCACAAGCTGATTCTGACTAAGACAATAATTCTTTTTCATCAATATAATTTGGGGTGGAGGAAGATCAGCTTTTTAGTTGTTGGTTATTAAAGAACTTAAGAGTCAGAAAAACTTGCCGATCTACTGCAAATCTTCCAGAGATCTATCAAAATGGAAACACTGAGATAGCTGTTAGTCTTCTGTAGCATGACAAATAAAGACTGCTGTTTGCTTTCTCCCCACCCCTTACCTTCACAAAAAAAGAACTGTAAAACTATAGACACTACAACTCCCATCAGCCCCAACAAGCTGCTGCAGTCCCAAAACATATGGAGAGCTCTGAGTTGGACTCAATAGTCCCTATATTTTGCCACTTGCAGCCCTAGTCTCAGCGTCTGTAATTCAATGCAGATGGTTAATGGATCTGAAATTTACCATGCTACCAACAGAAGGCAACCAATCAATAAGTTGTTCTTCCACTTGATTGTGAAACACAATAGTCATCACCAGCACTGAGAAGTCACCACAAAGGAGAATTTCAGTTATGCCAATAATGCTGCCTTCTACAGCCATATATCAAGGGTTTTAACACACGTATTCCACAGCTGAAACAAATGAAGTGCTATTTTTATGCCCCTTCTGTGTCACAAGAGAAACCCTTGTACTAATGCAAGTGATGTTAAGAAAAACACCAGCTCACAGCTTTTAAACTAAAAGCCACCCCAAAAATGTATTATTAATCCCTGTGTTCATATTGCAATTCATTTTATCCCTGAGGATTCCAAACTGCTTTACACAAATGTTACAATCATGCCTTTGGGATTCCCTGTTACTCCTCCCTGAGAGAACAGCAAGAAAGCATCGGCTTTCTTTTCTTTTTCACTGCCAGAGCAGAGGAGCTGGTGATAATCCCCTCCAAATGCAGTATTTAACACCTATCAGGTAGGTGACAAGTGCTGCAGTGTAAGGAGGATTAGCACAGTGCAGCCCTTTACAGTGGAGTGAAATTCTCTGTAAGCAGCAGAGTGAAGTTGCTATGGTCTGACCAGCACTAATCAATATTCCCCCCCCCATCTTTCTCATACACACACACACACACACACACACACACACACACACACACACACACACATATGTATGGTCTTGAAAAATCTGTGCATCACACTAAGAAAATGGAAGGTTAAGGTGATAAAAGCTAGTTAGCACACGCGCTCTCTCTCTCTCTCTCTCTCTCTCTCTCTCACACACACACACACACAGATAAATTGATGGATAGAGACAGGTATCAAGTGGAAGAAGTGTTGCATAATAATGATTAACAATCTCAGTTTAATCAGAGGTATTCTTCAAACGTTCACTCACATTTGTTAACAGTGACTGAAGCCCATTTAACACCAGAAATTCCTGGTCCCGCAGCAAGCGCAGCCCAGTCCCAATTCAGCAGCAGGGAACTTGAAATGCTATGCTATGTGATGGCTGCTGGGCTTTCACATTATCCTGAAGGCAAGATAATAAGAAGTATTGGCAATCCCTATGGCCACAGAGGACTGATCCTTTTGAAGAAAGACAATCAGCATAAAGATGGTGTTACCAATACCAAGGAACAATGTAGAACCAATTAGCCCAAAGAAACCTGGGCAGAGATTAAGCATCACTAGGAAGCCACTGGCTATATTATAATGCCCTAATTCAACCTCCTTGAAGTGTTTGGCTCCTTAAGTGATCTGAGTTATCTGGGACACCCAAACTAATCCAGTAATTCAGATGTATTAAAGGCTGCATCCCAAAAAGCAAAAGCTATGGGTAGGAAATATTGACATGCTGTTTACACCTCAGGCAGCCCCAGGTCCTCTCTCAACCTCTCACCATTCCATCCTTTAAACATCTGATATCAACAGATGGGACCTCCCTGCACCAGCAGACATGAAAAGTCAGAGAAGGATGGGATGCCAATGGGATAGCTGACCAAGTGGAAGTGAAGCTGCAATTGGGGAAGAGGAGGAAGGTGGTAGCAGGCATTGCCAGGTCATCAGCAACTGCCTGATAATGGAACTGGGCTTTAGTACTAGAATGTTTGGGTCTTTTCTCTCTTAGGCGCCAATAAACTGCAACCTGTTCTCACCCAGCAATGCATGTTTCTCCCACTGCTTCTGCCCAGTTCTCCTGTTGTGGGTATAAACACCATTAACTGTATACTGTTGTCTCATGTGCTAGATGTGGACACAGTTCAAAAGGCAGAAATATTGAATGAGGCACACACACACAGAGAGAGAGAGAGAGAGAGAGAGAGAGAGAGAGATCATTCTTAACAACCATCAGGTTTTAAAACTCCTGTAAAGAAACAGCAAGCTTGAACACCTGTTTCAAAAATATTAATAAAATAAATTAAAACGTAAATTCTGTCAGACCTCAGGGGGGCAGTCTTCACCCAAGCCATGATGCTGGGGCAAGTTTCAAGAGCCTGATTTCCAGGACCTATTTGAGATTCCTGTGTTCTGCTGCCTAAAAGCTAGCCAGACACAAGAGACAGGCGAAGGCTTGCATTCACATGTTTAGCTGAGGCTATTATAATCCACAAGTCCTCTCATGTCTCTTCCAGTACCTGCCTTCATCACTCAGATTAAACCAAGTCATGAACTCTTCCCTGTGCTTGTTTTTTAATTACCAGGTTTGTACAGCCATGCCCTTAATGATCACTTATCCAATCAAATAAAGTCTAGAGTTTGTGCATCACAAAATTAATTTTAGCCAAAACACCAATTTAAAACTTAGTTTGCCCATGGATATACATGGTGGCATGTCACATCTACAGCATTTCTTCCAGAAAGCCTTCATATTTCCATCAGTTTTAAACTGAGTAATGATTATCTAGTCAGAAGTAGGCTGCATTCTTTTATATATTAAAGCTAAGTGTACTCCCCTAAGGCTCAGGGTGGGTAGGGCAATCAAAAGCACCTTAAAGATTAATGCCTCTGAATTTAATTCTAACAAAATAGGGGTGTGCTATAAAAAATGCCCCATATTTCTTTATGCCCCCAAATTATTGAATATGTATGTGTATAAATATGGCCAAAGCCAGTTCACAACCCCTTTCTACTGACTCTCAAGCCCCCCCCCCAAAAGCTACATTCTCGTATTTTAATTACTGCAAAGCAGTTTAAAAAATAATTTGCTAAAGTGTATTCCCACTGCCTTTTCCCTCAGGTCATATTTCACCACTGTATCCCACTCAAAGGTGCAACATATCCATGAACTCTGCTTAAAACCTGGGCATAATTCTGCTTCACCATGTTGTGCTGTCCTCTGGCACTGAGAGCACTTGACCTCTCCTGCTCCGTTTGTGGCACTGTGGCTATGCTTTTCAGAGTGCTGCAGTAACCAGCATTTTGTCAGCTGAAAACTGATGTTCCAATATGACATTCCATATACATTGGCCATATCTTATGGTCTTTGGTTGTAAAGTTTCACTCGTTTTCAAAAACAGGAGGTCAGCAATTCATGCGGACAGTGTGTGGCCTTGACCCAAGCTCGGCACAGGTGCTACCATCTGCCTCCTGATCTTGGTCCCAGAGGCCAGGTCCTAGCACTGTGATGTTGGTGTTTTCCCTTCCCAGTGGGGGAAGCTAGTTCTTTTAAAGGGGCAGCTGGACTCTTTTCCCTCCTTCCCTTATCCTAGCAGGAAATGAATTTTTTGAAAATGTCACTGGCTTTCCAATGATCTTTAAGTCATATACCACCCGGTGTGCAGCTAATAAAAGTGTTCTCATCTCCAACAGCATGGGAACTCGTGCAGGGATGGCTAAACAGCTTTAGCATTGCTCTAACTAAACTGACTACCAATAGTTAATTATAGATAAACCACCCTGGGGTGGACATCATTATTGGAGACTGAGGCCTTATTACAATTTTCCTTAAGTCTGTAAAGAATCAATTTAGAATAAATTGAAATAGGGCACTTATTGACCTGCAACAGCAGCAGATAATCACTAATACATACACCTTATAATCGGCATTTTAAAAGTAATTAAAGAAGTGGCATATCATCCCTGCTGTTGAGCAAAGATGTTATTAGAAACCAAACACAGTGAAGTCTCATCATAATATCGGGTTTACTTTTGCAACATAGGCTTTATGAGTTTGTTTTTTAGTGCAAAATTATTCATTTCCCCCTCAGAAATGCAATTTGCTTCAATAAGCATCAGATTTCCCACCCCACCCTTTTCACACAAAGCACACCAGGTGAAAGCACCAAGAAATATATGCTTCAAACAGCCCAGTTTTCAATTTTCAAGAAGTGAGAGAAAATATACGAGTTCATCATTAGCAAAAGCCAAAAATTCTTTCAACGTATTCAGGATAATTAAATATTTATTTCCTGTCTGTTCTGGCATTAGAGTTCCTGAGCTAGGAAAAGATACTTAAAGGGCATCTACACTATAAATGTAGTGTACCAGTTTAACTGGTGGGATGATAAAAATTCTGTTAAGAGAGCCTTCTCTCCATCTCACTCATTAACCATCAAAGACATATCACAAGTTTCCTAGAAACAGGGTTATTCTTAAACCAACCTGGAATGTAGGTATGCAAGACCCTGAATTCTTTTCCAAATCTTCATGTTAAAGTTTATTGTCAGAAGACTAATCACAAAACATCTGCATGGGTTTCCAGATTATAATATTGACACAAACTGCCTGCAATAGCTGTATTTAAAAAGCTCCTACAGGACTCCTATAGGGTACACTGTAAGTATTTAGAGCAGGAACATTAGAATAATAGGCTGGTTTTAATGCTACTTAAGCATTTTTCTGTACACACAACACATGCTATTTGTTTTGCTGGGCCATTTTGAAAAGGTCAAAGAAAATTGGGTAAAGGATCCCTGATCCACCTTATCTTGTATACAAACAGAAGTTCTAAAAAAGAGTATCACGTATAGAATACAAATTCCTGCATACAAAGCATTGTGTACAGTGCGCATCAAAATACAGCTTAATAAAAAGACCACAACAATAAACACTGAAGCCCTGGACAAAGCAACAAGGTGAATTAAAACAATTATAATAAATTTAATATAGTATCTCTTCTTATATTTAAACTATTTTGCACCTCAGATTCACATACAGCTTTCATAAAGGATGTGTAAGTGTTCAGAAACAAATTGTCCCCTTTCCTGCCAAGAGAACTCAATATCATTGATTAATAATCACTAATATTCACACACCTTACTACAGTCATCTCCAAACAATTTTGTTGCAAATGAATGCCAGCAGAGTACTGCATTTTAGCTTTAATCATGCATATATGCCACTGTATTATAATCATCTGTTTAAGCATTAAAGTAATGCAAGTTTGTTCTCTGTTCTGCAGGGAACAAATTAAATAAGGTGCAGAATTTTGTAGAGGGAAAGGATTTCTAATAAGAGGCTGATTTGCTGCTGTGTGGTATCTGCAGTTATATTTAAAATGCATGAAGGTTTGATGACATCTCTCCCTGCAAAGTTGACAGTATAAAGCTCAACTAGAGGGTGGCTATGGCAACAGCAATGGGAATAAAGAGAATGACGCTGAGCTGCTTAAACAGATACTCAGGATTTTCTTTGTTTTCATTCATAAGGGAACAGATAAGCAGGAGACTGGAGGTGGGGGGAGGGGCTTCTGGAAGATAAAAATATTTAAAGAGTAAATATAAGGAAAGAGTATTTTACTATATAGATAACGTGGGCATGTGCACACACAAGTATGTTCCACTTTATAATACAAACCCAAAAAGCTTTAGAGAGATTCCACATTATAGCTTGTAGTTTCAGCCTATCAATGTGCTAGGCTGCTTTATTATCTTCCATATTACTTTCTCTACCAGGGGGTAAATCTGTTGTTTTATCTTTAATATCTGTAATATGTTTTCCTCTAACAAAAGGACAGCACCATCATTTCTCTTTTCTCTAACACTAAATGTGTTTTGGATCCTAACGCTATGCCAAATACTACAAACTAAGCTGCAGTCATCTTCTCTTTTATTAATTTCTCTCCAAAGACAAATCCAGAAAGGTAACGCCGGAAATTTGAAGTGAGAATGATTCTACTTCAAAGCAGGAGAGAGCAGTCATCTAGAAGGAAAAAATGAAACTCTGCAGAAGCCTATCCAAATGTAAAGTCAGTGTACTCTACACAGTGTGTATGCTTAGTGTAGCATCAAAAAAAGAAAAAAGCCTTAGCAGACTCAATGCAGTATTAATAAAGTACTAATCCTTTTGCCTGTCAGAGCTGTTATCATTGCTCCATGCAAGTGAAACTATTAGTATGCTTTCATCAGCAATTTCTAATGTAAACTTCTGGAAAACAATGACCCACAAAGTTAACTGGTAAGGAAATTTTACCATAGCCGATTAGCTATTCTTTAAGAGGGCATAAATACACTAAACCGCTATACAGTCCTCCCTGGCACATGAACTTGGTTATGTCAAATGAAATTTTTGCAGCCAAGCCTACGGAAAAAGGAGGTTGTGCCAAAGCAACAGAGGAATGTCCCTGTTTCGCATGAGCACTATTACTTGCACCAACATCATTTCTGCCAGGATCCCACCAGTGTTTGCATAACACACACAGATCAACACCATGCATGATTCTCCTTTTTAAATAGCACTTGAGTTATCTATATCCATTTATTGAGCTGCCACGATTACACCACAGTCTTGCTTGACCTGAGCAGGCTTGCCTGACCTGTTAAAGCAGCTGACTTTGTGGATTTGTAAAAGATGAATCAACTCATTTTTTCTGGTATTATTTTATCAGTACTGCAAAATACATGGGAATGATTACCACAAAAAATGGATCAAGCACCTGTAGGAGGAACCCTAGTGAAGGAGGCAGAAGACCCATCTTGCCCAGCATCCTGTTTACCTCAGGGGCCAATGGGAAGCCCACAAACAGAACCAAGGCACAACAGCTGTTGTTCCCCAGCCACTCATATTCTATGACCGTATAGATAGCCTTATCCTCCATAACTTTGTCTAGTCCCCCATTAAAGCAATCTAAATTGGTGTACATTGGCACACCTTATGGCAAGTAATTCCAACTTATTCTTCTCTATGACACAGTATGACACATAGACAACTCCCTCCCGTCTGTCCTAAATCTTCTACCACTTAGTATCACGGGATGACAATGAGTTCTAGTATTTTGAGAATGAGAAGGAGGGGAAATCTGTTAATTTTCTCCACACCATGCATAATATTAAACTCCTCTAAGCCCCCAAAGTTGCAATCTTTCCTAACAGGAGTTTCTCTAGTCCCTTATTTTAGTTGTGCTTTTCTTATTAGGGGAACAAATCTGCTTGCATGTGCAGCTATTAGCTAGTTTAATTTCCAGCATTCTACTGAAATCTCTGCAAACACAAACGGTGAGACAGTAATAATTTTGGAAGTAACTTCTATTTTTAGCTGAAATGCATCCAGTTAGCAAAAAAAACAGCTCCTACTTTCAATCCTTTGATAAGCAGACCTAACTGTAGGGCAACGTTTATCTCATACAGAATTTAGGGGGACAGACATACTATTCAAACAAAACTGAGGATAGTTTGCACAGTTATCATTAGGTCTCACTGTACAGTCAAAAGAGGAGCTGATGGATAAGAGAGACTGCTGCTTTTGTCAAATGGGGGCAGGGTGACAATGGTGACAAGAACCTACTCAGATTCATTTAATAACTTCATTAATAATAAAAGGATAGAATAACCACCTCAACTGAATTTTCAGGCACTAAAGGAGGAAATTCCGCAAAAATGGGAGTGGGGTTCATCCTGAAAGTCAAGGGATTATAGATTCCTGAGGCAAGGAAATAAAATGTTGTTTAATCTGGAATAGTCATCAAAAGAGCACCATCCTCCACATGTTTACTCAGAAGTAAATTACACTGTGTTCAATGGGGTTTGCTCCTACAAAGTATATCAAGAGCTACAGTGGCACCTTGGTTGTCAAACGGCTTGGCTCCTGAACAAATCGGCTCCCAAACACCGCAAACCTGGAAGTAAGTGTTCTGGCTTGCAAACGTTTTCCGGAAGCCAAACGTCTGATGCAGCTTCCGATTGAGTGCAGGAAGCTCCTGCAGCCAATCAGAGGCTGCACCCTGGTTTTCGAAAGGTTCCGGAAATGATAATAATCAAAGTAGACCCACTAAAATCAATGGACGTAAGGATGCCTTAGTTGGCTATCACCCTGAGAAAGTATCCTCTTGCCTTGATTGCTGCTGTTTCATTATAAATTCAGAGCAGCAGCTAGCATATCCATACACTAATTGCACAACTTCCCAAACTACATTCTTACAAAAATGAAAATACATTTAATGCCTATATAGTGATCACAGCAGCCAATAATTTGCCATTTACTGCCATCCCACATACTCAAAGCAACATCCACCACATATCTGTCAACCACCAACAACTAATTACACCCATGGAACCTTGAGTCTTTTCACTATGAAGTACCGGTATCTACAAATAAGGTGGACAGCTTAAACATTAAGGTTTTTTACACCTCTTAATAGTCTATATAATCTAGTACAGAGAATATTAATCCTTGGGCGTTAATGAAAAATGCAAATAGCACCAGATAGAACCAGAGAGAACTAATCTTAGAAAGAAAAGGTTGCAAAATGTCATAGTTTTAACACTTCTACCTCTCACAGAGCATGGCTTGAGACAACACTACTAATCTTGCAACCAATCCTGGTATCTTCTTCTGCTGTCTTCAAATGTCTTTACTGCATCTGAAATGGGACTTTTGCCATCTTCCCATAAAACTGGCAGAAAGTTAAGGTACATTTTATGTTGTTCTGTACTGGTTCTTAATGTCTGCAAAGGAGGCAAAGGTGCAGATATTGATGATAATCAAGGAACTTCTCTGTTGTGGCTCCTTGGCTCTGGAAATGAGATTTATTTAATTACATTCCTAACCCAGCCTTGCTCTCAAAGGACCACAGGGTGGCAAACAAGATTACACCTCTGGGGAAAGCAACACTATGCTGCTTTCACTCGGAGGCCATGTGGTTTGTAAAGGTTGACATTTTAGTTAGTTGATACATCTAATTAATTTAAGGCATTGCCTCTTCAGCAGAAAAGGATCCCAAAAACAGTTTGTCAGGAGCAGACAATATAATTTCTGCCCTTAGGGTTTCAAGGTAGAAGCCATGGCACAAAAGAAAAGCAGGTTAAGGAGGGAAGAGGAAATCTAGTAAACTCAGACACCAGTTCTTGAAGTTACAAAAGATTTTATCATGATCAGCTTAAGTGGAAATAGTTTAGGGAAAGAGCCAAATGTAGCTGGTTTCTCAGCAGTCAGTGGTCACCCTGCTTCCCTTCCCTTCTCTAGATAACTATTGAGGGAGAAGAGGAATCTGGTGCAAGCTGGTCTCTCAGCAGAGCTGATGGAGTGCCCCTACAGTCCCACCTATCCTTTTGTTGCAGTCTGATAGAACTCCATCCAAACATTAACAGCATGCCTAGTGAGGTTACTAGAATCAAGCTGCAAGAAAATAAATTATCAAAGAAAATGCACTCCAGTGACTGGCTGTCCTTTGCCCAGCACAAAGAGAAAGATGCTTCCTTTTCCTCTCAATACCTCCACGCAAACATCCCCCCAAAATGAGTTCCAGAAGCATCTGTTGCTTCAACAGTGGTGATGGGACAGCACCCTAAAGCACAGCTGAAGTCAACAGGCTAGCTAGCTAAGGGGAGTAGGGAGACACAGGGCAGTCCACATGGAATACACAACTCTGTTCTCAAATGCCTTGACACACTCTCAGCCTCTGTCTCCTGACACAGCTGTCTCACTCTGACTAATGTTAGCGACTGAATCCTACCCCTCTTCCAAGTTCCCTGGAAGGCTTTGGAAAAAAGCAGTCCATTGGATCAGTTTGGAAGCATGTAGAAACAGCTTCCCTGAAGCCCTATGCATGGCAGAAGATCCATGGAAGGAGTATCATCAGTGGCAACTGCAATTAATAGCTATCTAGAAAGACAAGCAAAGATGAATATATACCTGAATAGCAATCACAAGCACTGAAAGTTTATGCAGATTACAAAGATCTCAATCATGTTTTCTCTTTCCCCCCAAATTGTGATTACAGGATAAAAGTAAGAACTGGAAGTAACACAGCCAATTTTACCAATACATTTGACATTCTTTCATATATTAATAGCATAATTAATGCTAAACTGCTTGGACAATAATGGACTAAATATTACCCAAATGACAATAAGCAAAGAAAAATGAGAACACCACATGTATGAAGCACACATTTTAAAGAATACAAATGCATTAATGTTGTTTATTATTAATTTTTCCTAATATCTCCGCTGCATATATAATATAAGCAGGAGAGATCAATAGATCTAAGGTCTAAGAAAAGTTCATGTTAGACAGAGCTTGTAAACTATAGTATGGGAGATATACTGAAAATTGTTTTAACTAGCTTGAAATACAAAATTTGTTGCATTCAACTGAATACTGGCAATCTCAACTTTTATTTTATCAGTTCCTAGCATCTAGCCTAGCATAAAATCATTTTTAGAATTTGAGGCAGCATAGTGAGTGAAATCTGCAGTCATCTGGAGCAAAACGTATGCGATTTGCAACTCTTATGTACCTCTGCTGCCACCCCTGCTGCAGTCCCCAAACTTTATAGAATGCAATTTGCCTGCCAACAGCCCATTAATCCCACCCAATCTTTAGAGATGCAAAGTTGCAGTACCCTGGTCGCCAGTGGCAACCATATAATTAGGTCTGGTGCCAGGGAGAGAGAAAAGAAAGCAATGTTCTCCCTCCTACACCACATAGTGAAGGAGCAGCATTAAAACCCAAGTTGCTAAGCTGCTGTGGTCAGTTGTGCCAGTAGGTGTGCTTACATGGCTTCTCCCAAGTCATTTCCCCCTGTGTTCTTACAGAAGGGAGGAGCTAATTGATTGTGTTGTCTAAGAGCTGATGGGGGGGAAAGGGAGCTCTATGATCAGATCTCTTAAGTTTCCTTTTGCTTAAAGGGGCCCAACATTGGATCAAGGGCACAATGTTGGAGAAAGAGGGTTAACCCTTTTCCTGATCTAAATTGCACCTCCCCTGGAAGCTGTTTTTTCCCAGTTGGGGAAAATATCTTTAGTAGAGGAATTTCACTTAGGAAAATAGCATAGTATGGAATTAAAACAAAAACCTATCAGTGTGGTCCTGATTCAATGCATGCCCCCAGCTGCATTTTATACATACAGTATATATAAAAGAAACATCGAGATATTCTATCACAGGTCTCCCTTATCTCACCTAATTTGGCCCTTTGTTTCTCTCAATTCACTGATCCAGGGGAAGATACAGTCACCCAGCAGGTTGTTGACTCTTATTTTCCAGCGTTTAACCCTCTCCTTCACCTTATAATCCCTTCTTATGGCTTTCAGGTATGATTCCCCCCCCCCTCCTCCAGAACTCTCCCTATAGCTTTAAGATTAGAACAAAAAAGAATTGCTGGTGGAAGACAGATCTACAGATAACCTTGCAAAAAATAAATTGCCAGCTATTAGAGCCCTAATAGTAACCTCACTCTCCAACTTCTCTGCCCTTCCAATATGTGCAGATTAGTACATACATACATACATACATACACAAAAGAAAAATTGGTTCCCAATGCACGCAAAATCATATACATGAGGGAAACAGTTAATACTATTGCAGGTTTTGATATTACTTCATTGCAAATGATATTAAAATATACCACATTATTGGATTGTGAAGTTAGGAGGATCAGTAACTCACATAACAAAACAGGAAGTCCCCACTCTACACACACACACACACACACACACACACACACACTGTGTAAAACGAAGCAAGACAATGCTGTTTCTAATTTACTATTTTTTAAGCCTGCAGCCATATGCTCATACCTCATTAATCTAAAATTACCAGTACCTGGTAAACTCTTAACTTATACAATCCAAATAAATGCACCATTTTTTAAACAAAGGAAGTTGTGCACTGGGTATTTTTACTGTAAGAACTTTGCCTTCTCACACTTTATTGCTCGTTCTGTGAAAGCACTCCAAGCAATGCGAGCTCCAGAATTCTAGCAGCCCTCAAGCAAGGCGCTCTGAACCTGGAAAATATGAATTGCAAAAAACTCTCTCCAGCTGCCTGTGTGCTCTGTGCGAACTGAGAATTGCAATGCCATTGAGGCGTCAGCCATAGCCAGTACTGTGGCTGTGGCAAATGCCTGACATTGCTACCACCTGGAGCCAGCCCCACCTCAAAGGACATTAAATAAATAATTTAAAAGGAATGAATTTTAGCTTCTGCTTCAGCCGATGATGTCTTTCTGAAACACTAGACGAGTACCAAAGCTATCTGTAATATTGCTTGCATGTCTCCAGCAAGGATCACATTTACTAGGATTCATTATTCTACTAAACATGATCCTTTTGGGGCGGGGGGGGGGGGAAATCCAATTCAGAATAGTACAAAACAAAACTATCAAGAATTCGAAACAGTAAGTTGTGTAATAGTTATATATCAAACAAGAAAGCTAAAATGCTGAATCATATTTAATGATTTACTCTGTTAGCATGTATAGCTGAACAATGGCTTTGACAATTGATGGGCTGCGGCTTTTAATAAAAATTTTTGAAATGTTTGTCAAGTTAGAAAGCTCTCCCTACCACCATCCCCTCCTCTTTCACAGCAAACTTAACCTCATAGCAGCAGCAGCAGTGCCTGTGAATCAGTAATAAAACATTTGATTGATCAAGAAATTCATATCTGAAGGATTTTCAGTTAGATTTCCTGCATTTCGATTGACACAATAAAAAATCACACATGATGAAAGATGGGGAAAGAATGCCCCATCAAGATCTTGTCTACAAAGTTTTTCTCCAAACATAGCTATGCAGATAAAACTTTTCCAACACTTTTGCTACTCTTCATATGTGCTTGATGGTGGACAGAGTTTGATCTAATACTGCTTTTATTGTCCTTATCTCCTATAATACAGCATAATCTATTGAAAGAACATCGTAACTAATATCTATATCATGCACATTCTGCAACAACGCTGTGCAAGCACACAATCAGGTATAGGATACATACAGAATTCAGCATGCTGAGGAACTCAGATTTCGTTGCTGTTGTTGTTTTTAAATTAAGTTCCTAATCCTTATTGCTACTACATCCAGGACTGGAAGAATGTGTATGAAAACAACTTGCTGGAGAATAACAGCAAGAAAAGAAAACTGCCTTCATGTCCTGCTTGTGGGTTTCTTACAGACACCTGGTTGGCCACTATGGAAAACAGGATGCTGAATTAGATTGATCTAATTTCTGTGATGTTAACGTACATGTGGGCAGGTCCTGGAGGGCTTCTCCTCCCTTTACACAGTTAGCAACAAAAGAAAACCAGCAAAATCACATTCTAACATTTGATGTACATACTTTATTTTTGTTAATACAACATACATGCAGCCCTAACACATAGAAATGTGAACAGGGCAGAGGAGGGATAGGCTTCTACTGGGAAGAGCTCACTAAATGGCCTGGTTTGCATGAGACAGTAAGCCAGAGTTAAACAATTATTTGCTTGGGACAAGCAAGCGTGCTGGTGCACATTGCTTAAATGCTGCCTGTTCCCCACTTGCCACATCAGGGGGCAACAAAGCAGTATTCATGGGCAGTATCCAAGTATGTTTTACTCAACAGTAGACCTGTTGAAATGAATGTCCCCCTCTCCCCTTAGCCAGGGAAGTTCTCATTAGAGGAGGGAGTCATAAGTCAGGCTCCATATGAGGGTAAGGATCCTGCAGTGAGCCTGGGGAGGGGCTGTCTGCAACCAGAAGTTGTTCAGGCTCTGACACCAAGGCTGAATGGGTCCCAAGTCCAAAGGAAAACTGGCCCATCTCAAGCAGTTTCCAACTATAGGTGCGGATTCCTCAGGAGCAATGGTCTCTTCAGAAGTAAGACCCTCCTCTCAAGAAGGCCTCCAGAGAGAAAGGAGCTGACAGAAATCAGCTGAGGTTGAGTGAGGTTCCAGCAACTCCAGCTCAAAACCCCCCATGTGGGCCCGAAGACCTGCTGGAACCATATTTATGCACCTGTTCTGTGTTCTATTTGCTCTCATGTCTCCTGCCTATGCTGAACTTGACCATGGAATGCTCTGGCTTTGCCTCTCACCTCACTCTTTGTTATGCACTCTGACCTTGGAACAGCCCCGGATCCTGCTTGGATTGCTGCTGGCAAATTTACTTGGGTACCCCATGAGTACAGTACACCCCATTACCACCAGCTAAAACAGGTGGTCAGGACTCCAGTTTGTTTCCTTCCAACACAGTCAGAGGAGGAAGATGGGCCCAAGTGGGAATGATTTGAGCAGTGTATACCAGCATACTTGCTCATTCCCGGAAAGTCATTGTTTGTTTGACTCTCATTTACCATTACATATAAACCAAGCCAACGAAAGCAAGTCTCAACATGCATACTATATTGTGTACTCAGCTCAACGTGAACATAATCTGAAAGTTCACCTTTCCAGTTTTGTTACAAGTTGCATCCTTTAGTCTTCTCACATTACCAAATTTTGTACAAATCACAATCAATTTATTTGTACATGACTATTCTGTTCAAACAAAGATGTGCTATCCCAAGCCCACATTCCCAGCATGTTCACACTCCTGTCTCAGCAACATCTATGCTGACTTGGTAATGTCCACAGAGTGGAAAATGGCAGGGTGCCCAAGACTGTGCTCTACTGGGAACTGGATTTAGGCACCAGGCCCACTGGCAGACCAACTCTGTGTTACAAAGGTGTCTGCAAACATCATATGAAGGATGGCAACATCAGCCCCATCGTGAGGCAATCCCTTACAGACAACCGCAGTGCCTGAAGACAGACAGACAGGTCGCGAATCCACAGCAGTGACCAGAGGAGAAACAACCACTGGGAGGAGCACAGAGAGAAGAGACGCCATGCTGCATCTGCAGCAGCACAACTGGATGCCTTCAGCTGCCCCAGCTGCAACAAAACATGTCTTTCCCTATCAGTCCCTACAGTCACAGTAGGCACTGTAGCTCTCCAATGGTTTGACTTCCCCTGCAAAGACAACTCCTCTATTGTTTCCCAAGACAGATGGATGCCCACAACAACAGTTTTCTTCAAAACAAAGAATGAAAACGCCCTAAAAAGGACATCGACAGTATACTGTTTATTCACAGCACCTTCATAATTGATACTTCAAAAAATGCCTCAATAGCAGAACAATTCATTCATTATTCATTAGTAAGCGGAAAAGAGCATGGCATCCTCCGCCCTAGGAAGTAGTAGCATTAGAATGAGCCCTTTTTAAAAGAGAAAAAGGAAGTGTGGAGCCACTCCTGAGTCCCAGCTGATGCAGGAACAGATGAATCATATTCTGATCTTGATGGTAAACAGCAAAAGCTCTTTATTCCCCTTTGCTATGATGCTCAAAACAAGTCTTTCTCTATGCTCTTTCCCCATCCCAGTGTGTCATTAAACCTGCAATGCATTTAATAAGTACACAGCAGGAATGGATATTTTTTCTATCCCAGAGATATTGTCAGACGTGCTAGGCCAGTGGTGGCCAAACCTGGCTCTGCAGCTGTTTTGGGGCTACAACTCCCATCATTCCTAGCTAACAGGACCACTGGACAGGGATGATGGGAACTGTAATCCCAAAACAGCTGGAGGGCCAAGTTTGCCCAACACTGTGCTAGACACCTTTTCTTGTATGTACCTTCCCAAACTTTAAGATACTTTTCGGTTGCCATGCTCCATGTATCCCTGCCAAATGAAGTAGAGTGGGTAATCACTAGGGCAGCCTTTCTCAACCTGTGGGTCCCCAGATGTTGTTGGACTACAACTCCCATCACCCCTAGCTAGCAAGGCCAGAGCTCAGGGATGATGGGGGTTGTAGTCCAACAACATCTGGGGACCCACAGGTTGATAACTGCTGCACTAGGGAGAGGGCCATTCCAGTAGCATGCCTCCCTCCCTGCACCAAATTAGGGAACAGCTTTCCTAGAAAGGTTCCCCTGGCACCACCCTTGTGGTCTTTTTGGCTACGGGTGATACCTTGTGGGTCACTCACGGTTTTAAATATCTCGTGCAATTTCATTCTCTCAATTTTTATAAGTGTGTTTTTATTTCGGAGTTGTGATGAGTTTTGTTTTCTTCTCTGTATTCGTATTCCTATTTTATGATTTTGTTTTATCTTGTATTTAAAGTGTCTTTATACTTATTTATTGCACCATGCTCCAAGAACTTTTATGTTATGGGCAGCATACAACTGCTGTTAATAAATAATAAATGTGTTAGAGACCCCACTGTCTATGTCCCTCAATGTTACATAAGCAGATTCAAAGCTAAATTCCGCCTCATGAGAAAAAAAGCAGGAACCTGTGAGCAAGAGCCTAGAACAGTGCTGTGAATTATTTTAATTGCATTGAACCAAGCAAGGTTTTGCTGAAAGAATTACTAAAGAGAAAGATTTGGATGCAATGCCTTGGAGACCGAGTTTGCTAAAAATATTGCTAGCTGAGCAATACATTAGGGCAGACTTTTGGGAACATGTTAATTGGGTAATTCCTCAAAGATTAAATAGTACACAGATTTCTTGCTTACAAGTCAATTAACTTTTTTATTTAACAGTATTTATTTGCTAAGGAGGAGAAGACAGGACCTTCATATGCTACATAGCTCAGCAGACTGGAAGTTTTTCCATGGGTCGAACACTACACCATCATATACCCAGTATATGATTCGGGTGTAAACAAGTTGTGTTTCTCTCATCATGGGTGCCTTTTTTCAAGCCACTGGTCACAGTAATGACTATAGCTGTCCCTAAACACTAAATTTTATCAACAGTCATGTAGAGATGAAACTCATTTGTGTAAATAAGGCCTTAGACATCTCTCCATATTTGCAGCCATCCATCGCCATGCTGACAACTGAGTGTGCTTGTTGAAGTGGAGTGAGCATGCAGGAGGCTGGCCCAGGCTGGTCCTCCCATGCTCCCCATGTCATTGCTACCAAGAGAATGAAGAGAAGACAGACCCACCCACCACTGACAATAAAGATGAGAGAAGGAAGCCATGAAGGGGAGAAAGTCTTTGCCCCTTTGTCCACCAGCATCTCCCCCCCCCCCACACCAAACAGTGAGAAAAGGAAGCCTGCATTTTATAATGCAGCAGCAGGGTAATGCGGGGGTTTGGAATAAGTTGTGAGAAGATGGGTTTGGGGGCAAACTAAGGGACAGAAGGGGCTGGCAGCAGGTTGGGAGTTTGGCAGGTAGGCAGTGTTGGCGAGCAATGTTAACAGGGGCAGCAGCCTCTAGTGATACAATGCAAACTTACTTCTTGTAGTTGTAACAGGCTCCAGACAGGAGTCTACTTCAGCCAATATGGTGTAGTGATTAGTGTGTCGGACTAGGACCTAGAGATCAGGATTCAAACCCTCAAACAGCCACAAAGCTTGGGCCAGTCACTATCTCTTAGCCTAACCTACCTCACAGTATTGCTGTCATTATAAAAGGAGAGGGAAGAACCACGTGCACCACCTTTATACTGTATTATTGCAGGAATACGGGGATATAAATGGAGCAAGCAAGTAAGTAAATAATGCATACATCCAAATCCTCCTTGTGTGACAAGCCATTCAGATCATCCTCAGGGGTCCACCAATTCCACCGCTCACGAGCCAGTCATATTTTGTGTAAATGCAGAAAAATTGGGAGTGAGGAGCTCTCCTATCACACTGACCTTTGGAGGAGGTCCTCACCCTGCTTCTTACAACATCAAAGGTTCAGTAGTGCAACTGAGGAAACCCCCTTTCCCTTCCCACAACAACTGCACAGAAGCCAGCTTACAATGAGAGATTGCCCCAGCTCAGGAACACTTGAGAACTCACAACTTGGGAATGGAGACTAGATATATTACATGTCATATTAGGCAGGAGCCTTCTTACCAGAAGGAAAAAAGTAATCACCACACTAATGTCTCTTTATACAACAGTACATAGTACTTGGGATCCTGAGAGAAGAGCGTTTGTCAAGTTAGTAGATGAAGTTGCAATTTGTATATTTTTACAACAGAGGCAGATTACAGAGTAGCACAGCATAAATGTTTCAAAAGACTTAAGTATTACTTTATCATAAATTATGGACGGATCTACCACTGGGCCAATTTATTGATATGGACAGCATTTCAATCCCACTGAAAAAACCAAGAATCAAGAAATGCCCTTGGAAGAATTTAAATGAAAAATAATAGAATAGGAAAGATCAGTTTATATAGTTGCCTGCAACATACAGTTTGCAGGTATTTGAAGAACCAATGCAGTTTTGAATCATGCTGTGGCAGCCTGCTTATTGAAATGCTATTTTGTATGGAAATGAAGCAGTAAATGACCATAGTTCTTTCCTTGGTTTACAATAGTGGTTAAAATAAAAGGGTTGCATAGAACTAAAAAGAAAGGCAAGCAGTGGTGTGGGATAGAAAAGTGAAGTATTCTTAAGAACATACAGGGTCACCTTGCAATTTAAAAGAAATGGTTCTAAACATTTGGGTACAATGAAAAAAGAAGCATTTCAAATAAGGCATCCAGTGGAAATCTTCATAAAAACAAATTTTGTTTCATTAGTTACTCATTTCTTTCCTATGCTCTATTGTATTTATTACATTTTTATCCAACCCTTCCTCCAAGGAAGCCAGGGCAGAGTAAATAACTGAAATCCATTTAACCTACATTGTGAGGAAATATTCACAATATTAGTTCACTGACAAATTTACAGGAAGAGGGGAACATGAGGAACAAAATAAAACAGTGCAACATATTTAACAAACCACCTTCAAACAGTGATCTCAAATCATGAATAGTCAGGCTTCAAAAGCACAGTTTTTGGAACAAGTTCGGATTCAGACATTAAAGCAAATAATGGGTTTCGCATTATGCTTTAACTGGGCCTAAACATATAATACAAACTAGAGAATTATGCAAATAAGTCATATACAGTGCTATAGCAGCTATGTCAATTCGTAGACTTCCTGTTCAGAGACTGAGAAGAAAGTGGATATCAAAGTGCTATGACATAGATTGGAAATGCGCACACACACACACACACACACACACACTTCGCAAGGGGTGAGACAATGAAGAAAACTAGGCTTGATTAGCTCTTGAATCAGTATGTAGTACAGCAGCTGCCAGCCTTTTTGTAAATTACAATGAACACTACTATGCAACACTGAACAGTGTTCATGTCAGAAAGAGTGAAGTATTCCTTCCTCTCCCTCCATCCAGAAAGACAGACTTAATTCCTTCTGACTCAGCTATTTGCCTAGTTTTCTTGTTCTTTCCCATCAAGAAGGTCATGGGGTTGGGAACTGAGGGCCAATAATGGAACAAAGAGGGTTAGTGATTAGTTCTAACTCTCCCTCTAATATTTCAGCATCTGGTCATTTTACTATCCAACATCCAGGCTGTTTAAAAACCCCTATTATAATCAATGGCAAAAAAGGTATCACCTTAGCAGTGGGCCCAAGTTGATCGCAAAAATATTATAACACCTAATTTAAAATAAGCAGTACTCCATGTACAACTAAACAGGGAACACGGTTCCCACCCCCTCTTTTCTACAGCCTCTTGGGAAGAACGTGACTTTCCTAACTCACTTACGCTTCTCCCAGTTTTGCATAAACTCCTGGCAATCAATACTTGTCTATATGCAGCATAACCTTTTTTGAATTGCTCATATGCTTCACTGATTTCCTTAGGAGCTGTGCTCCTTCACCTAACTTTGGTGGCTAAAAAATTATAGCCACCATACTCTTGAGAGAAATAAATGTTAAATGCTTATAAGCAGGAGTGGGCACAACAAAGACAAGCTGTGATCCGTTGATGGGAAACCTAGCTGCTAACACAGTGGACTGGCTGTGCCTCATTCTCCAAGTCCATCTCTATCTTTGATTCCCAGCGCTTGCTCAGAGCAAGACAGAGGTGAACGAGAGCTGGAGACCAAGGCAAAGGTGGTGCTGTCACCTTGTCAGCAACAGCAAAGCAATTAACAACAAGAAAACCAGTGGAGGTACCTGCTTCAAGTGGTGCAAAATGGTGCATACTTGTTGGCAACAGTTGCGCTGGATTTAATTTCTTAAAAAACTGGCAGGCCATTTACGGCAGAAAGCTGCCCACCCTAGGTTTATAGAGACATTAAACTGTGACAGAGTCACAGTGGTACCTCTGATTATGAACTTAATTCGTTCCAGAGGTCCGTTCTTAACCTGAAACCGTTCTTAACCTGAGGTACCACTTTAGCTAATGGGGTCTCCTGCTGCCGCTGCGCCACCGGCACACGATTTCTGTTCTCATCCTGAGGTAAAGTTCTTAACCCAAGGTACTACTTCTAGGTTAGCAGAGTCTGTAACCCAAAATGTTTGTAACCCGAGGTGTTTGTAACCTGACGTAGCACTGTACTATCTTGGACCAATCCAAAAGGTATATTTTGGATGTTCATCAACATTTGCTGTTTACCTCCTGTAGAGGTAAGAAAAGATGATCAATAGAAGTGGATTTAATGATGAAGATGCCAGTTGTGACACAACAGACAATATCTCAATTGAGATAAAGAGCACACAGTAGCTGATCTCAGTTGCGCTAATCAAAAAATGGGCCAAAGCAGTATTATGCAAATATCTCAGTCCTAGATGCTGGTTGTCACAGCGGTATTTGGTATTCAAAAGACACATCACAACTCAAATTACTTCTGTTCTAAGTAATTCAGATTTATAGTGTGTGAACCTGCAAATTATGTTGATTACTAAAGTATTAAAAAAGAAACACTAACAAGAGCTACTCTACTTAGAATATTTTAAAATGGTAATTTGGAGGAAAATGTGCACAAGAGTGTTGGCCAAATGAAGTGCGCAGTTTTAGAATTGTCTTTCTAATGAGATGTTGCATGTAATGAAGAACTGTCTCTCTTTGATCTTAAAAGGTTTGAGACTAGAGAAGGGCTGAATGAAAGGGGGACAAGATCCCAAAGGAATCAGATTCCCAGCTTCTTTTTACTACCTTTTCTGGAGTTCCTTTTGACAAAAATAAAGGCTGCGGAGAAAAACATAAACATTCCACTCAATTCCTTTCATGTACTTCCACTGCCTTGCTTCAGATCATGTGATCAGCTCTGACCTTTACCAAATTCTCGTCTCTGCCTCGCTATAGTGTCTTATTCAGACTATCAGAATCATTTAGTGAAACTATCCTATTCTTTCACACTTGACTCCTTTCACAGACGAGCGGTTCATTTTCATGCAGACCCACTTTCAACTTCAAAAGGTTTCTTTGTATCTCAGTCTCTTATGTCTCTTGTTTAAAACACTTTCATATAAGGACGGGGGGGAGAGTGGCTGCTATGAACTGCTAGACCAATAATAAAAACCCCTAATAACCACAGCAAGGCAGCAAGCATCCAGAGGACCTTGCAGTTCCTTAGTACCACACATAGCTTGTCTGTGCACAGTCAAGGTCATGGCAGCTGCTTTGAAATCTGAACCCGCCACTACCAAGCTGGGCTGGTTGCCTGGCTTTACTTTCATGAAGATGCTTGCCTGTATAATATTCCTTCTGTGAGTTCGCTTATATCCAGGGAACCACACAGGGGCTCTCTCAAAATTACTAGCTAGCTTAGAACAAAGTGGGAGAGAATCTGCTAGCTATGTGACACATCGCCAGATATCAAAAGGGTGTCTTACCCATGGCAATTACATATAGCGACAAAAGTGAAACAACTTTCAATTACCCAAAGTGAGATAAACCACTTTACTCACTTCTTTAAACTTCAGTGCTGAGGTGGTGGCTGAGATTATTACTGCTAATTAACACCAACAGTGCACTATACCAGGCATGGTATAAAGACACCATCTCAGCCTGGCAGGCAGGCACGTAATAGACATGCAGGACAAAGGTGAAAAGAAAGATAGGGCTTGATAAGACGACAGGCTGGAGTAAGAAAAGCAACTAATTTAAAGAACAGAAAGCACAATCTATGGTCATGGCTTTATGTAATCCATTCTGTGCCAAAGTAACCCAAATGCACCCTTGTAAAGCCTACAATTCTACTTCTATCTGTAGGGGTGTGTGAGTGTATGTATGTGTATCTGTGCCAAGGGAAAGGCAACATTTTTTACTTTGAAATTTTAAAGGCCAATCTCCACACACACACACACACACACTCCAAATTCATACTTTAAATAAAAAGCTCGATTGTACAACTATTATATTTTCTAGTGCAAAACAAAAACAAAACTAGTGTGAGGAAGTATGACTTTTGCACAGCAAAACGCCTGTTCAATTCCCTGCCTATTAAATTTTGTTACCAAAAAAAACCCCTGAAGAATGTCAGCTTTTTAAGGAACAAGTAGCCATAGCCCTAGAACATCTTAAAGACAAACTTTTTTGTGGCACAAGCTTCGAAAGGTGGAGTTCAAAGTTTTCCAAGCTAAATTACTGAAACTGTCTGCACAGAGTTTGGAAAGACTATTTTAAGCAAAATTCATGCTAAAACAAGATATGGCTTGGTATGTAAATTTCTTCATGTAGGTATTTCAGAAAATCTCATGTTTCTATTATAAAGGTATCTGCTTAAAGGGGAGAGGGGGAAATTCCTATATTTCAGTTAGAAAACTTAACGTCCAGCTTTCCTGAAAACAAAACAAAACGAAAAAGACTGTTCTCCATACTCCAAGACTGCAGTCTTATATACACTTTACCTGGGAGTAAAGTTTACTGAATTCAGTTATTGTCTTCTGAGCATAGGATCAGGCTCACACTTGATTACTGCTTAACAAATACTCTACTGCCAGCCGAAACAAACCCCAAATTTGTACTCCCCCTATCCAGTTTCAGACATAGATAGTTCACTGACTACAGTGGATGCTCGGGTCGCGAACGTGATCCGTGCGGGAGGCATGTTTGCAACCCGCAGCATTTGCAACCCGCAGCGCCGAGTCTGCGCACACGCAGGTCGCGCTTCTGCGCATGCACAAAGTGCAATTTAGCGCTTCTGCGCATGCGCCAAAACCCGGAAGTAACCCATTCCAGTACTTCTGGGTTCAGCGCAGTGCGCAAGCTGAAAACGTGCAACCTGAAGCGTCTGTAACCCGAGGTATGACTGTACTTACTCAGAAAGGATACACAGGAGTAATCATGTCTACCACTCAAGACATTTTTCTTATTCTAGAGCTCGACTAGAATTGCCTGCTGAGAGACACGAAAAATCCCTAAGAGCAATCAGGAAAGCATTCAGATCCATTAGCCTCCTCTGTTAGACCATTTTTATAGCTTCCATGGACCTGCAAAAGCTCAGGGCCCCAGTCTAAGTCAAAACCCTAACAGGTAACAGAACTTCAGGATGTTACTTCACACCCAGATCCAGCCAGCACAGAAGCCACATTAACGGTACTCTGCTGAATCAGTGGACCCATAAACCAAATGGGACAGACCCACTGTTGCCACTGAGGTCCTGAACCACTGCTGACAGCGTGACCTGAGCATGTATTCTGAAGTTTCCCAACGGAACTGAAGGGATTGCTAAGGCTAGCACAGGAAAGGAAATTGCTGAGTAACTGAAGGACTGCCTTCACATAAGGATCCTATTCGCATGCAAGCAACTACATGCATACAATTGTACATGTTCCTTTTTACACATCCTGCTCAAAGCACAGGTGCCAGGACAGCATGCAGTCTTCCACCTTCCACACATTTAGTGAAGGCACATATATGAGGACCCAATACACACATGCAGTGTTAGAATAAAATCATAACAATGTGAGAATCACAATCACAAGGCTCTCTCAGTGGGAGCCAAGAAATCTGGCTGCAATCCTTGCCTTGATGAGGAGTCACAATGAACTCTATGAACTGCGTAAATTAATATTACTTGTGTGCCCAAGGGCTGCAAAATCAGGTTTGACGAAGAATCTCTGCATTTGGCCGCTAGCTGTTTCTCACAATTTAAAAGAAAGGGGAGTGTTCATTCTTGCACAGCTTGTGGCTAACCGTACCATTAAGTACCTATTTTGTTCTATTTAATTTTCAGAAAAGTTATGATTTCTGCACCCTGAAATGCTATTTACATTCTCTTTTAACAGCCTTGATTAACAACGGTTGTTTTTGCATCTCTGTTTCCTACAGCACATGAACATACGGCAGCAATATCTTTGGGTCTCTTCCTTTACAACATGCACAAAAGTAAATGCAACTTACAGTGAAACAAAATTAAGCATGGCTCAGCCTGAAGCAAGGAAATTTGTAATCAAATTATTTGAAGATCTTAACTGAATTTTCTACAAAATTCTGAAAATCACTGGGCACAATAACTGTCACATGGGCGTAAGGTATCCTGCAGTACAAATTACCCAAATTCCCTCATCAATTACCACCCAAGAATCAAAAGCCCAAGAGATTATTATGCACATGGATCTTTGTACAATCATTCTTATTCTATTATGTCATCTTATAGAGCGCAAATATTCAAAAAAAAGTAACAGAATGTAGGGGATACAATTATTCCTGCATCCATTTTTTGCACTGTAAGAGTTTAAATGATCCAGTGAGGTCAGTGTTAGAAATTAGCTAGGCTCCAGGCACGTTCAGCAACTGGCACAGGTCCAACTGCATTCATGTGACGATCTCTGGATGTCATATGGGCGACTGACACCACCATCTAGCTGACCCCTCCAGCTTTCTTAAGCAGGTAAGCAGAATAGCTTATTTATTGCATTTATATCCCACCTTTTCGCCAAGGACTACATAAGTCACCCCACTCCTCAGTTAATCCCTACAACGACTTCGTGAGGCAGGTTAAGAAGCTGTGACTGGCCCAAGGTCACCCAGTGAGCTTCATGACTGAATGAGGATTTGAACCCTGATCTCCCAGGTCCTAGTCCAACACTCTAACCACTACACCACACTGGCTTCCTACAGTATTTCTTCCATGGGACAGCTATATAAATTAAGTAGGTAAATAAATATGGGGAAAGCAAAATGTCACTTAGAGAAGGATCTGAGATATTTTCCTTGAAACTTGAATTTATTAGATATTTTAATGTGTTGTAAACAATTTTGAGATTTTTTTCCCTTCAAAATATAAAGAATAAAAATATAAAGCAGTATAGAAGTGAAATGAACAACAACAACATTTATTGTGGGAGGCAGGGGAAATGGCACCTAGGCATTCTGTTGTGGCAATGTAACCTAGGTTTAAGGTGCAGTTTGGTAATTAGCTTATGCATTTGATATATAGCTTATATATCTGAGTTTCTAACATTGTTTGAAGAATGTTATCTGGTGGATCTATTCTGAGTTGTCAAGAAGCTAAAAATCTGTGGAAACATCAGTTATGAAATTTGTACTAGAAGCCACTTGGCTATTGTCAGTTGTGGTTCCTCAGATAAGTATCAGTTGATTCCATCTGAGGCTGTTCACAAAGTGCAAGAAGAGAAAGAGAGAGAGATGCAACAAGGTGCCCTGTATCTAGTAACATTTAGCTGGGGGAGAATAGCCAGCATGATGGTCAAAGCATCTTTTGCAGAAGGGTATATTCCAGCCTCCTTTAGGTCCCATCTTCAAAACCAACTTTGGAGTCCTTCTGTCTTGAGTAATTATAGCCCACTCACCGTTTGATTTTTGGAGGGGTGGAGGTGGCTGGACCAACTGCAGCTGCTTTTCCATGAAGCTGATCACCTAGATCCATTTCAGTCTGATTGCCAGACAGGTTTTGGATTATAAAACATGCTGGCTGCCTCAGCAGATGATGTACCCAAGCAAAGGAAGGTCATCCTCGGATATGGCATTTGGTGTCATTAGTATGCTGCTGACACTCAGCTCTCTCCTTATCAGATCTATGTGGGGTGGCAACATTCCTGAATGCACTTCTGAGAGCCATAATGGACTGGATACGGATGAATCTATTTAAAATCAATTCAGGCAAAACAGAGCTGACAATGGTGGTGGACTCCTTGGCTGAGAAAATGCCTGCCCTGGAAAAGGTTCACACTCTGGGCTGCTCTGGCACACCAGCATCACTCTTGAATTAGCAAAGGTAGCAGCTTTGGAATGCTTTTTACCAGTGTCATCTACTATGCTAGCCATGCCTGCTGCTAAAAGATAAAACACCTGGCTGTTTCCCAGTTATCTCATAGAATGTCTCCCCTGTATGAACCTCGCCAAAATTTAGAATCTGACAATGAATGGCCACTTTGTATGGAGGCTAGGTTAGCTTTCATGAAAACAGGCCCATGCAGTGGGGGAGGGGGCAGCTAGGTACAATTGCCCCAAGCCTCGGAGGGCTAAACTGACTGGGGGGGGCACCAGGGACAGGCTGCTTTTTTGTTTGAGTTTATAACTTTATATTCTAACAAGACTCCCGCCCCAGGCCTCAGACAAGCTCTGCATGGGCCTGCGTGAAAATAAGGGTTTTTACCATAGTTGCTAAGGAACTTTGGAGCAGAGTGTTCATTTACTTCCCTTCTCTGTCATCTTTCTGGTGGCAGGCAAATAGATTTATTTCATCTGTGCCTTCAGAAGGCGAGCCCTATTAAAAGTTTTCTGATGTGATGCAGTTTTATTTATCACAACGCATTATTTTCATGATACTGTTTAGTGTTTATATTACAAACTGCCCTAGCAATACAGAATAGAAAATAAAACGAGTGATGTAAATATACTGAGCATTTTACTATTATTTCAGTTATTCTCCCAGCGTTCACGAAAGCAGTGTATAAAAAAAGCATCTACAGTGGTGCCTCGCAAGACGAAATTAATTCGTTCCGCAAGTCTCTTCGTCTTGCGAGTTTTTCGTCTTGCGATGCACGGTTTCCCATAGGAATGCATTGGAAACCGCCTTCAGACCAGGTCCGGGGACAGACTGTCCCCGGACCTCTTCTGAAGGCTGGGGAGGGCAAGGGCTTTTCTTCCCACCCCCAGCATTTTAAAAACCCGGGACAGCGGAGGACTTCTCCGCTGTCCGGGCGATCTTAAAATGCTGGCGGGCGGCATTTTAAAATCACCCGGGACAGCGGAGGACTTCTCCGCTGTCCGGGGCAATTCAAAGCCCCTGGGAAGGCAGGCAGGGGGACAAAGACTTTGCCCCCGCCAGCCTTCAGAAGTGGTCCTGGACCTCTTCTGAAGGCGGGCGGGGCGAAGTCTTGCTCCCCGCCTTCAAAGCCCTCCGGGACAGGCAGGCAGGGGAGCAAGGACTTCGCCCCCGCCCGCCTTCAGAAGGTCTTCCCTCCCCCGCCCGGCTCGGAGCACCGTTCCGGAGCCGGGCGGCGGCGGAGGTCTTCCCTCCCCGCCCGGCTCGGAGCACCGTTCCGAGCCGGGCGGCGGCGGCAGGTGTTCCCTCCCCCGCCCGGCTCGGAGCACCGTTCCGAAGCCGGGCGGCGGCGGCAGGTGTTCCCTCCCCCGCCCGGCTCGGAGCACCGTTCCGAGCCGGGCGGCGGGGAGGTCTTCCCTCCCCACCGCCCGGCCGGAGCACCGTTCCGAGCCGGGCGGCGGCGGCAGGTGTTCCCTCCCCCGCCCGGCCCGGAGCACCGTTCCGAAGCCGGGCGGCGGCGGCAGGTGTTCCCTCCCCCCGCCCGGCTCGGAGCACCGTTCCCGAGGCCGGGCGGCGGCGGAGGTCTTCCCTCCCCCCGCCCGGCCCGGAGCACCGTTCCGAGCCGGGCGGCGGCGGCTAGGTGTTCCCTCCCCCCGCCCGGCCCGGGCACCGTTCCGAGCCGGGCGGCGGCGGCAGGTGTTCCCTCCCCCCGCCCGGCCGGAGGAGCCTTCCGAGCCCGGCGGCGGCGGGAGGATGTGTCCCCGCCCCGCCGCCAGGCTTCGGAGGAGGTCCGAGGACAGTGGGGAAGACGCGCTGCGCTTCCCCGCTGTCCCTGAGATTTCCCTATGGGCTGTCGACTTGCGAAGCAAGCCCATAGGAAATTCGTTTCTGAAGCGCCTCCAAAATGGAAAACCCTTTCGTCTAGCGGGTTTTCCGTCTTGCGAGGCGTTCGTCTTGCGGGGTACCACTGTATGTACTTCATTTTACAGTTCGAAAATAGCTGAGAGATATTGCACATCAAATCTCAGTTATGTCAACAATCCAACTATGAGTCCAATACTCCAACTAAAAGCAACAAACAGCATCATAAAAGCAAACAGATTTATTTGTAGCATAAGCTTTTTTAAATTAGAAACTAACTGATCAGAGATGCATGGAGTGTTAGCCTCAACTGGAAGATGACATATGTATAAGCATACAAAAGTAAAGTAAACAGTGAGGTCAAAAGTCCATGAAATGCAAGGGGTAGCAGTAGGTGTGCGTCATTTCTCTGCACAACCCATGGTAAGAACAGAGTGACTCATTTACAACGTATGCCTGTGTGTGTCTATTATACCTGCCAACTGAGGATACACTTCTTACATCTGAGGAAGTGGATTCCAGTCACCCAAAGCTTATGCCACAGCAAGACTTTTAAGATTCCAAAAAATCTTTGTCGCTTTTGCTGCAATACACCAATAGTTACACCATTGGAATTATTCTCTAACATCTGGAGCTTAAAAGAGGCTGGTTCACATAGTGGGGATAATTCTACGCCTGTTGTTAATCTTTCACTCTTAAGCAATATTCACGAAGGTATCATAGTACAAAAATGTAAATAGCTACATTATGTACTGAGGAAACAATCCACAATACTTGTCTGACTAAACTGGCAGTGGGGATTAGATCATGCCAGTATATTCACAAATACTGAAAACTTAAATTCCATGCAAAAGTATCCAAATCGTTGTCCTTCACTATCACAATTTGCTATGATATGTTATTTGTGCAATGTGATTTGAAATTAAAATGGAATGAAACATGGTTTTCTACATTCTGAGGTAAAACTGCGAAAAACAATACTAAAGTTCAGTAGCAGCCAGGAATAGCTGGCAGGATTCCTGCTGATTATGTCATCCGCCTTATTCTAATGTTTTAGCATTGGTGAACTCCACATCATTCCTAAAGCTTGAGGCCAGTCAACTGGCCAAAGATTTTTCTTTTAGAACCATTCCAAATTTCTGTCAATAGCCATGCCTGTGCTAGCAAGGACACTTGGCAACAGCATTTTGCATCTTCACAATACTCACTATATAAGTTCTTGAGCAATTAACTCAATTTGGGAAAACTTAGCATGCATTAACTGCACTTAATTGTCACTGTAGTTGCTGCGGAGTTTGCAGATGTCTAAGATAGCTCTTAAGTGAGTCCACACACAACCTTTTCTGCTGTTTTAAGCAACGTTTCATGACAAATCATAAGGCACAAAAGCCACTTGTTCAGTTTCCGCAACCAAGCCACTGCGATAAATAAAACTGTATTTGCTTGACCTCTCACAGATAGAATTGTTCTCTCTGCCAAGAGCTTGAATAAAATTTAGCAATGTTGTTTAGCAGACGGAGATCTCTGAAACAGTTCATAGTCTAGCATTCCTCCTGTGTTTTATTCCTAGATCTTCATAATGTTGACTCTTATTTTTACTTTTACACCAAAAGACAGGTCTAAGATACAGAATTTCAGTCAGCACTCATGACAACAAGACCTCACAAGAACAACAGAAATTGGCAGAAGTTCTGTACTGGGCTGTTTTGCCAAACACAGCATGACTGCAATTCAATTCTGTCTATTCAAATACCACATTCATGCACCTGAGGTATGCAGCGCCAAGAGACTAGGAGATTAACTAGCATGTTCACTGGGACTGTTTTTACCCTTAAGTCATTCCATGCCTGAATGCCAACACTGATCCAGCCCTACTTGCTAACAGTCAAAGCAAATGTGAATTCAACATTTACTTCCTTACTAGTAACAAATGGTATTAAGATAACATCTCCAAAAATATTTAACAAAACTTACCTGTGACAATATAAAAACTGATTTGGGAATGAATTAACGCTGCTTAGGTTCTCAAAGGTTCACCTGAAGTACAGAGGATTCTTCACAAAACCCACATGCCAAGCTGATCTCTCTAGTACCAATAATTGTAATGATTCATAGCTGCTTTTAAATAGCATAACAACCCAAGCAAGGAGCTTACTTAAACAGATATGTGCTCAGCCACAAAAGAGAACACAGCTGTAGAAACCAATTTAATAAAATGTGTATGAAAGGGAATGGTAGGCAAATCAATGAACACAGTAGACTTCACAACAGCATGCAATTCCAGTTCCCAAGAATGTATGCACCAAATTCCAGCCTCATAACAACTTAAATCAAGCAATAAAACCTTCAAAATGGGTTTTTAAAAAGAATGGGAGCTCCCTTATCCCCTCTGCCCTGGCAAAAACATTCCCGAACTAGAGGAGGTGTGAGGGAGAAAGAAAGACACTTTATAAGCAAACCTGGAAAGTGACCCATTGATATGGTTGTGCTAGCAAGCTGCCATATTAAATCAATATTAATTCTGCACAATTTCTTTATAAAAATAAAGCTACAAAATTCCCTGATGTCCACCTGTCCAGACAAGGTTGCTGGGGCTTTTAAAAAACATCTTTCTAAAAGGAATATAATGGATTTCAAGGAGGAGCTTACAGTGAATGTTCAGTGAACCAGGTAATGTTTTAATAGATTTCTAACAGCAGCCTGTTTTATGTTTTTATATCACTTAGAGACCTTGAAAAGTTTCAGCCAATGCCTTTTACTGCATCATGTTTCTAAGTTCAAGACATGCATGCTTCACACTTGTACAAGTCTTATGCCTTTTCCATTTTTAAGGTATTGTTTACTGTAATTACTGTTAAAGAGGACAATTTCAATGGAGATAGCTACTGCAGCATGAAGATCAAAATGTATTGCAGCACCTCAAAGACTTACAAATTTACGTGGCATAAGCTTACATGCCCATGAAAGCTTATCCCACAACATATTTGTTAGTCTTTAAAGTGCCACAAGATTTTGCTACTTTGTTATTAATATGCAAATTTCTGCCAGTTGTTAAAGAACAAAGAAAGATTCCCAACATCTGTTTCATATATCGTATATACGATTACTGCATTTCATTATTAATAGTATTCCTTACTGCTGTTTTTCAAACCTCAGCATTTACACTCTGATTTATACTGGAGGTGGGGATTTTCTCTAATTGCCTATTTGGTACTGCCATATTTTTTGTAAACATTATGTTACTGGAATTAAGTGTCCATGAAGTCTGATGTCATAATACATTTCTTAGCCTTCAAGGTGTCACAATACTCTTATTGGTTAAAAAGGAGTCATTGCTTTAAATTCAGGGTGGCTAATCCCCCAGTCTCAACTACCCCCCACAAGCATTTTTTCTTCCCCACGTTCCAGTGATTTGGTAAAGGAATAAAAAGAAAAAAGAAAACACTTTGATAGACAATCCAGTGCCTGACAAGGATGCAATTCACTTCCTGTGTCATATGCTGGGATACAGCCCCAAGAGGGTCAGCCAAGAGGATGAATATGGCCCTTGAGTTAAAAAATAAGAAAATATTAGCTCCCCTGCTTTAATTGCTCAAAACATTTAAGACACAGCAAGCTGAGTCAGAGGAGAGAATTCTACATGTGTACCTCAATTCTTCCTTCAGTTTTGAAGTTCCCAAAACAGTCTTGAGTTAGAAAGAAGGCAGCAGGTAAGCCAAAGCGGGGGAAAGGTGCCGGGGGGGGGGGGAGAGTCTTCTGCACATGTTCAAATCATAAGCAAATCATGCACACTGTGCTTGAATTTCCAATTCTTCATGAAGAATCGTTGCTGACACATTCATAGCAGCAATTCAAGCCCTTTAAGAATGCTAAAACCCAAAAAGACATTACTATATATTCACATTTGATGTTTTTATCCCTATTGTACATAGACTATCCATGGAGGAATAGAAATGAGAAGTGTTGGAATAACCATATGGATTTTGCAAAAATGGTCTACCAGGTAGTCAGAAATCTAAGGATTGTTCTGTTTTGCTTTTCTCTTCTCTTTCTTTTCCTCCTTTTGGTTTGTGCTTTTATTTAAATTATTTTTTTATCTTTGATATAAAGATGTCAGATATTTGATATTAACCTTTATCTATTTTCTTTCAATCTTTATTTAAATTTTTTGGGTGAGGGGAATCTTAGTTCCTATTTCCTGATCTTTAAGGCAAAACTTTTATAGATTTAGAATTCTGATCTAACATACACTTTTTCCATGGAGGAGACTTGTATTGTCTTGCAAAATCCATTTCCGTTGCAACAAGAGCCTGGGAAAGCGTTATCCAAAGACGTTTATCCCACTAAGGTCCAGAGGGAGTGGTTGTGAAATAATCGTTTTATGTGTGGCACTGACAAGCAACAGCAACTTTAAAGAGAAGGAAATGCTGTCCTTTCAAACTTCCTTATTTACAAAAAAAAATAACAAAACAAAAAACTTGAATTGCAGTCATTAAGAAAAACATCTGGTATATTGCTTTGATTTGCAACACTAACTGTTGGACAGAAGCAAAACATTTTCCCCCAAAGAAGCTAATAATTGAGCATTCATATCCATGTATAACCTGTCATTTATTCCCCTCATCAGCAACTGCTCGAGTCTGATAAAATTAAACACTCAAGTCAGGCAGATTTTGTTAAAAGCAATAATTACATTATTACTAGAATATACAATTAAGTAATGAAAAAACCAGAATGACACTGTGCAGCAGTATTTTATCCACTTTTCAAAAATATCACTGGACTGAAAACATGCAGAATAATAGAAAGTAATAACAACACTTCCACTGAACTATCACAGTGCCCAATTTAAAACTTCAGCCACAGGCAAAATACATAAATGATTAGCATTGTGGTGTTTATTTTAATTACACTCTGCAATTAGAATCCAACAGCCTGTCAAATCATTTAAGATCCAGAGAAAACCAATAATTTAAAAGCACTGAGCGCCACTTAGAAAACTTGCCCCTTGTTTGAAACAGACTTGTTATGTCAGACAACTTCCCGACAATATAACAATTGTACAACCAACCACAAACTGTTTCCCATTCTAGTAATATCTAAATACAATACAGTATATGCATATATGCTTTTGCGTTGATAAGTTGTGAAAGTTCATGCAATCCAGTTTAGACATGCATCTAAGACCATCAGGACTGGGTTCTTACAGTAGCATGGTGCAATGAATGCCACAGCAGGGCTGTTCCTTCCTGCACTACTAGAGTAACATGATATGCACCAGAGGAGGCACAGTATGGAATGGTCTTGCGATTCTCAAATTTTACAGCAACGCAGAGAAGCCAGCACAACTATGGCAACAAGGTAGTGAACCAGGGTTGTATCCACTGCAAGCCTTACTCGGAGTACATCAATTGAAATTAATGAAAGTAAGATAGTCATTTCCATTAACTTCATTAGTTCTACTCTGAGCAGGACTAGCATGGTATACACCTCTCAGTCTCTGTTATAGCCAATAGGTGAGTAATAATGGGTAATTCAGATATCCTACTCCTCAAATTGCCTTTTCCCCTTACAGTGTTGCAGCTATGAAGAACTGAAATGGGTACCAACCAAATAATAATAATTTTGGCTGGAAATCGTGAGCAACTTCTATCAATTCATTCAGTAAAAACAGACCAAAGCTCTGACCATTTTTTTCCTTTATTTAAGTTATCAGTTCTACTTTCCCTTCCTCCTCCACCCTGTAATTGCAAAGCAAGGGAAAAGACTTCCTAACTTGTTTGTGCTTTACACCCTTTACCCCAATGACTATCTTCCTTTGGAGAGGGAGGAAGAACAAAAAAACCCCCAATGCAATGGAAAATCTGGACGCAGAATAGGATTTGCATATTTGCATTGTTATAACTTGTTAACATTATATATCTCAAAGGTAGAATTTGGGGGTTTTAGCATAAAAGTTAGTGCATTAAGGACTATCACCATATCTGGTTATTTGGTGCACTTGTCACATGACAATTATACTGAAACTTCCCCCAATTAACACATCTTAGCAGCACCATTACCCATGGGCATATCATAGAGTGCTCACATATGTTCAGATGCCCACCCACATTGACAACAGAACCTTTCACGATTCATCACAATTAGCAGAATTATTTCCAGATTAATAATAATAATAATAATAATAATAATAATTTATTTGAACCCAACCCATCTGGCTGGGTTTTTCCAGCCACTCTGGGAGGCTCACAATAAAATATTAAAAACATGATAAGGCATCAGACATTTAAAACTTCCCTAAACAGGGCTGCCTTCAGGTATTTTCAGAGTGTGGTCACATTGGCTTGTAGGTACAACAGCCAATCTGCAAAATATCTATTTATGCCAGGAGCAGAAGATGGCTATTTACCCAAACCAAAATGCCAAGAGTTTACCAAAAGATGGCAAAATGTGAAGGGAGAAAATCACCCAGGAGAACCCTTAACAATTGTATTTTATGATGTGGGAAATTAAAAACTCAGTAAAATATGAAAACAGCATGTAAGCAAAGTTAAATTACCTTACAAAAAATATGCATATAGGAAAACAATTGTTTAAGGAGATAAACATACATTCCAACTCAGTGAAGAAGCATATAACAATCCTTAAAAACTAACAGGAAAAGCAGTCCCTCCTCATTTACTGGAATACTATACATAGTAATCCTCCTATTCCACACTAGTTTCAAGCTAGTCAGAAAACATTGTTTAATTAGGGTAGTGTAATGTGTTAAAGAATGTGGTTCTGCCCACAAGGAAGGCTGTGGGATCAGCATTTCAAATCCTAGTTCACACAAGACAACTATTGGCTCTGTTGGGAAAGCGAGTGCTTTTCAGCCTCAGTTCCTATCTGTCAAAGAGAAATAAGTGACATACTGTACAATATGAATAAATGTGTTCATTTTCCAAATGCATTCATTCACTCTCAAAATTTAGTGGTACTTCTTGTCCTCTACTAATTTTTGAAGCTACTCTCATCTTCATTCCAGCAACCCTTTTGAGATTTCTTTAAGGTGGGGGGGGGGAACCTCAGCCCTGAGCGGTTTTGCAAGGCTGAAATGTGTCCCTGAACTCTGATAATGCTTTTCTGTTGCTTGCCTGGACAAAGGATATAGAGAAGTGAATGTGTAGAAACTAGCCTACTATACAAAGATAAAATTCACATTTGCTGCTTTGCTTAGTTTTTTTTTTTTTTTGCCTCTGGTCCAGACCACTACTGGCATGTGGCCCCCAGAAGATTACGCAGAACAGAATGCAGCCCTCAAGCTGAAAAGAGCTCACCATCCCTGCCTTAAAGCTTAAGCAGATCCTTTGTTTTTGCAATGTTTGACGTACATTCTTTCTTCTATCATTTCCAACAACAGCATTTCATAAAAATGTATTTTTTTAAAAAAATGAACATATGTGACAGACAAGTAAACTCCAGTTTCACCAAGTGAGAACACAATACATCAATATGCAGACAAAAAGAAAATGGTAACACATGCAAGTACAGTCATACCTCTAGTTGAGTTAGGTTCAGGTTGCGGATTTTTGGGTTGCAAACATGGCAAACCCGGAAGTGTATACTTCCAGGTTTTGCCGCGCATGCACAGAAGCCTTCTGTGTGCAGGAGCGCTCTATTGCGTTACACGCAAGCGCAGAAGCGGCGCTCTACTTAAGACTTTTCAGGGTGCGAACGGCGCCCCGGAACGGATTGCATCCATAAGTAGAGGTACCACTGTAAAGAAAACATGGCAAGGAGTAGACAACACAGGTAAAAATGGTGCGAGCCATACCAACAAACCTACACAAAATATACCGCATTTTTCGCTCTGTAAGACACACTTTTTCCCTCCTAAAAAGTAAGGGGGAATGCGTGTGCGTCTTATGGAGTGAATGCAGGCGTGAGGCTCTGCTCACCGCTCCCTTTAAAGAGCCGTGTGGAGCATGTGTGCAGCTCTTGGGGGCTTTTCCCTGAGGAGGAAGGGCTGCCCTTCTCCCTCCTCAGGGAAAAGCCCCCAAGAGCCGCACACACACTCCGCGCACTCTTTAAAGGGAGCGCGGCTCTTGGAGGAGCCTTCATACCGCTGCCCGGGAGAGGCTGCGCGCAGCTATCCCATAAGCCAGTACGCTGTCCTGGCTTCTGGCTGTTCTGGCTGTATGGGATGCATACAGGCTCTGCTCAACGCTCCCTTTAAAGAATATTTTTTTCCTTGCATCCCCCCTCTAAAAATTAGGTGTGTCTTATGGAGCAAAAAATACGGTAACTAGATAGAGCCTCTTGCTCAGATATTTGGTGCTTAACTCCCAAAACTCACCATGTGTCTTCCTTAAATTTCATTTCATTGTTCTCAATCTACCACTGCTCACTTTTAATCTAGCCCTCCATATAGTTCCTCATTCCTTCCAGTTTTATATCCTCTGCAGAGTCAATGGTCATGGCTACGATCCAAAGAGATGCTCAGGCTCACACAAAGAGCTTATGCTCACCCAGAAGAATTCCCCCCCCTTTTTTTTTCTTTGAACAGCTGGGCAATGTGCCACACCACAAACTTCCCCTCAATTCTTCTCAATTTTTAAAGCAGCTTCTCACACATCAAGAGGGGCTTCTATTTTAAGAAAAACTAGTATAAAGCCCCTTGGGCTCTAGGAACTAGATTCACAGTTCTTAGGGCTCTGGCTCATGATATCTATTATTTCTTCAAAGTCATTTCTGAAAATTGGTAGATAGTACTTATCTTAGGAAAGACCTCATAGATCACCCCAAACTGACAGGTATGTTAGTTAGTAGCCCTGCAGCGGAGATTTCAAAACAATTTTCCACTTTATGGAAGTATGATAACATAACTTGCTTAAAATCATGTCACCTAAAGTTTACTTGTTTATTTCAGTGATTATCAAACTGTACGCAGCACACACACACACACACACACACACACACACCCTACTGGAATAAAAGACACTAGGAGAAGGAAGGGCACCAAGAGAGGGATCCTGCAGCAAGCAGAGCCAGAGTCTATTTTCTTCCAGTAGTAGAAGCTTAGCACTGAAGCCACTAGAACTGCTGTGCTATGCTGCAGGGGTGAGTGGGCAACTGGATGCAGCCAGAAGGTCAGATCATTATCTCCACATCATCCTATGGGACAAATCTGACAGGTGGACAGGGCCACCCACCTGTCAATCACTTTACATCACAGTTACGCCAGATAATCCATTTTTGTATAGCTGAACGCCCAATGATTATTAGATCTTGCAAAGCACTGCACATCACGTTATGCAGATACTGAATCAGCTGCTCAGCACTTGCAAAGTGCTGCGCACCACACTTTGCAGGTTTCGACTATCAGCTGATCAAATGTACCTGTAAGCCTCCTTAGACACAGCAGCATTTTTACCTGTTCCCACGGGTACATCTTATGACATCAGATGTAGGGCAGGTGGGAGTGGCTTGGCCAAAGCATCCTGGTGGGCCAAAGAGAGACAACTGGCAGGCCAAATTGGGCTCATGGGCAAGGGGTACATCACCACTACTGTAAAGCTTCGTCCCTGTATAGCTGGCTTTAGGAGGGAATGAGATGCACAGATGAAGTCTTCTTTGTCACAGTTGGATTAAAGAACCAATGAACAGATTTTATTTGTTTATATTATTATATCCTGCCTTTCAGATAAAATATTCCAAGGCAGTTTACACAAAGTTTCACAAAAACAAACAGCCTTTTAAAACAAAATAAGCAAACTGAAACAGCAGATAAAACTAGAATTAAAAAACACTTCCATGTCAAAAGGTGGGTTTTTAAAAAAAATAAAATAAAAGGACCTTCACTAGACACAAGCAAAATAGTGTAGACACAGCCTCCCTGGGAACAGCATTCTACATGTGGGCATCACTACTGCACCAACCCTTTTCTTGGTCACAGACAGCCACACTTCATTGGTGACGGCACCTACTTAAAATCCTCTAACAATCAGCTGAGCACATGGGCAGTCTCATGTGGAGGTTTTCAATCCTTCAGGAATCCTAGTCCCAAACCATGAAAGGATTTAGTCAGCACTTTGAATTGTGCATGGTAAACATACTGGGAGCCAGCAAAGCTGTCATAAAGTGTTGATTTTACAGGGGGGTGAGCTGCATTTCCAGCAAACCTTAGTTTGTAAAGTTCTACATGTATTTCTATTTTACCGTGTTATTCACAGCCATTTATAGGCAGAGGCAGGGGCGAAAGGTTACATTCTGCATAATTAATGTCAACAATAAAATCATACCAAACAGAAAAAAATCTGTTCTTACTACTTCTTCTTTTACCTCTAAAGGTAAAATATATACCCTAACCTCCTTATATCATGGCTGAGAGTCCCGGAAAACCTGTTCCCTGCCTTGCAGTCCTTTTTCCACCTGGCCTGGGAGGGAGGGGACTTGACAAGACTCGAACTACAGAATCTGAGGTTGCTGAACAGAATCTTTGGTTGCCGTATTGTTTAGGAGCTTTTATGTTTGGAGGGAGTTGTTGCTGTTATTTATATTAATTTTTGGTATGTAAATTTGTTTTTAGATCTTATTTTGATTTATGTGGGAATTATTCATTTTGGTTATGTTATTTTTAATGTATTTTTTGTAATTATGTAATTTCATGTTGTAAGGTAAAGGTAAATAGGTAAAGGACCCCTGGACAGTTAAGTCCAGTCAAAGGTGACATTGGGGTGCAGCGCTCATCTCGCATTCAGGCCAAGGGAGCTGGCGTTTGTCCACAGACAACTTTCCAGTTCATGTGGCCAGCATGACTAAACAGCTTCTGGCGCAACGGAACACCGTGACAGAAACCAGAGCACACAGGAAAACTTCCTGCCACAGCAGTACCTATTTATCTACTTGCACTGGTATGCTTTCAAACTGCTATGTTGGAAGGAACTGGGACATAACAACAGGAGCTCACTCCATCACAGGGATTTGAAATGCCAACCTTCCAATCTGCAAGCCCAAGAAGCTCAGTGGTTTAGAGCACAGCGCCACCCGCATCTCAAGCCACCTAGAGTATGGATTTAACTATGGAAAGACAGCATACAAATAGAATGCTGCATGTATAGAGTCGTACCTTGGATCCTGAACGCCTTACAACTCAAACATTTTGCCTCCTGGATGCTGCAAACCCTGAAGTGAGTGTTCCAGTTTGCTAACGTTCTTTGGAACATTCTTTAACTGGAACGTGTCCAGAGGAGGGCAACCAAAATGGTCAAAGGCCTGGAAACGATGCCTTATGAGGAACAGCTAAGGGAGCTAGGCATGTTTAGCCTGGAGAAGAGGAGGTTAAGGGGTGATACGATAGCCATGTTCAAATATATAAAAGGATGTCACATAGAGGAGGGAGAAAGGTTGTTTTCTGCTGCTCCAGAGAAGCGGACACGGAACAATGGATCCAAACTACAAGAAAGAAGATTCCACCTAAACATTAGGAAGAACTTCCTGACAGTAAGAGCTGTTCGACAGTGGAATTTGCTGCCAAGGAGTGTGGTGGAGTCTCCTTCTTTGGAGGTCTTTAAGCAGAGACTTGACAACCATATGTCAGGAGTACTCTGATGGTGTTTCCTGCTTGGTAGGGGGTTGGACTTGATGGCCCTTGTGGTCTCTTCCAACTCTATGATTCTATGATTCTATGGAACCCAAATGTTTGACATGGCTTACACGGCTTCCGATTGGCTGCAGGACCTTCCTTTGGTTTCTGAACGTTTTGGAAGTTGAACGGACATCCAGAACAGATTCCGTTCAACTTCCAAGGTACCACTGTATATGATTTCTGTTATAAAAGGAGTGGAATGCCAAGGGAATTAAAGGGTACCACACTGGAGCAAGTACAACCACCTTCCTAAGCCAACAGCGAAGCACCATCTGGACCAAATGATTAGACATATGCAGATTATTTCTGAATTTATTCTTAGAGAATAAAAAGGAATGAAAAGGAAGACCCTCTTATCTGTTCAGATTCTAAATGAAACCATGGTTTGTTTTTATCTTCTGGAAGCTGATTTGCCAGGTAGTACAATTCTAAATTCGGGATTCCCTAGTCCCCATCACGATTAGCAACAAATGACATAAAAAGTGTAAGTTTGAAAAAGGAAGTTTGAAAAAGAGTCACCATTTTAATTACCCCTAATCTAATGCAATATTGTGAAGTTCTCTTTTCTAAAACATTTTATATGCTGATTAACAGAATGTCAGAGCCACCTATAGTCGTCTTTGAACAGCAAAAAGGTAAAGGTAAAGGACCCCTGACAGTTAAGATAAGTCGCAGACGACTCCGGGGTTGCGGCACTCATCTTGCTTTACAGGCTCAGGGAGCCGGCGTTTGTCTGCAGACAGTTTTTCCGGGTCATGTGGCCAGCATGACTAAGCTGCTTCTGGTGCAATGGAACACCAAAATCAGCACACGGAAATGCCGTTTACCTTCCTGCCGGAGTGGTACCTATTTATCGACTTGCACTTTTTGGCGTGCTTTTGAACTGCTAGGTTGGCAGGAGCTGGGACCGAGCAACGGGAGCTCACCCTGTCGCAGAATACGGCATACTGTATTCAAGTTTCTAGTGATAAATATACGCATATTTCAGTTTTATGTAATATGTTAATGTTCAATAGGCTTCTTACTGCTTTTGTATATGAGGAGGGACATTAAAACATTCCTCTTATTCAGTAAAATCAGTTACCTTCCAAATTACTTCTCTAAACTCTGGCTGTTTTCCACACTGCTGCCTGGATCCCATACAAAGGAAAAATATGGAGCAGGTGGACGTTTGAGGCTCTCTGTCTTTGTCTGGTGTTAGGGATGCTAAGATGTATCCAACTGTAAGCTTCCTTTCACTGAACTTTTAAGGAGAAGCTTCTGTAATTATTTGATTTCATGATTTAGGGATTGGGAGAGAGACTAGATGAAGTATGAAACATGAAGTGTTGGAAAGAAGAGTGTTGTTCTGTGCAGATAATTAGTTCATGTATCAGCCAACTTTCAATAATAGTCCATATTAAATCTTGCTGGACTAAAAATCTAGCTGCATTTACTAGCCTCAACTGTTAAGTTCAAGGCTTACATATGGGCATTTTCCTATGGAGGCAGCAATAGTCAGAAAGAAACACAAGTATATTAGATATGAATTTCTGTTTCCTAGGTCTCCAGAAAGCAATAACAGGTTTTTTTCACACGTTTACAATTTTTATTTTAACAAGAGGTATGGAAAACGAGATCAAGCGCCTTTCAGCTTGGTGAAACACTTGTTTCCATGGGTTCAATTCTCCTTAGTACCTCACACAACATAATTGAAAGTTGCCCAGGAACAAGATCAGAACAACGAAACAGAATTCAGGAAGTAAAGTCTCCACAGAGGAAACAAAAACACAAACCATTAAAGATGCCTCATATGATTGAGGTTAAAAACTAATTATTTCATGGAGCTCCATTTCAAAAACAACCAGATGTTCAAAAAGGAACACTAAGTTTATTGTTTCAACCAAAAGTTACAAAGAACGCCCAAAAGGGAGGAGAGAGAAAAATGCACAAATGCCTTTACACAGAGGTGACATGAACAAACTAGTTATAAAAGAAGTTCTATAAAAAGAAACATTTTTGTTTGCAGGTCAAAGAGAAATTTAGAAAATCAGTTAATAAATGCTAAGAACATAGGAGCCACTGCAGCTTTTAGGCACAAAAGATGTTGTGTTTCTATGGCACTGTGTTTCACGAGCCATACTGTTTGTTAACTGCTTGCATTTCACTATGCTTGGTTAATAAAATGGTCAGGTATTTCTTGTTATTTGTTTGTCTATAGATCTACTCAGGTTTGCAAAGTGACATAGTTCCAATTATTGTTTTACGCCAGAATGCTACAAAAACTACAACAGTAATTATCATTTTAGCATGGTTATGTTATGAAAAGCAATTTCTAAAAGTTCCATCATCCCCCAAAAATTATCAAGATGCCCATAAACTCCATTTCTCAGCCTTGATTGATGACTGTTTCCAAAAGCTGGTTATGGCAGATTGGGCTGGGCAATATATCAATATATTGTCCAAAGTCAGTTTAAAGTTCACATCGTGATAACTGTTTCACAATATTTGACCTGGCAATATATCACGAATCACAATGTGCCTGAGGGCTAGGTGATATCTGGTTTTCAACATTGCAATAACTTACCAGCTAAACATCACAGTAACTTACCAGCTAAACACTGTCTGCTGGCAGTCTGACAATCCCAGATTATTTGGATTCACTATGACTCATCACCGTAGTGGATTGTCCTGAATACCACCATTTGGTAGCCAAGCCCCCAACCAAAAGTCTCATTTGGTTGCATATTGGCTTGCCTGCTGCTGAAAGTGACCATAAGGTTATTGATAATATAATCATGTATACATTTTAGACCCTTAAGTAGTAGCAGTTGCCAGGACACTGTCCTGTTCGCCTCTGCGTTCCTTCCTTATTTCAGATATAGCAATATATTGCAATGTTTTGCTGTTGATATATCACAATACCGAAAACTAGTTATCGCCCAGCCCAAATGGCAGATTGTTGCTCTGAACCATAGCAGATATGCTGTTGCAGGGCTTCGTGTTGTCGTCCCCCATACTACTTGAGACCTACATAAAACTGCTGAGTGAGGTGTCATCAATCTGTAGATAGCACCCACCTCTACTTTTCCTTCTCATCAAATTCAGGTAAAGCCATAGGAGTGCTGAGTCAACAACAGGATTCTCTAATGGGCTAGAAGATGGCTAACAAATGTCAATCCAAACAAGATGGTGTTTTATTTGCCCAGAGTAGTAGCATTCAACCAACTCTTCCAAAGTCTCAAATTTATAATCTGAGGGTATCATTAGCAGCAGCCTTGACTTTGGAGGCCTAAGCAGCTTCTGTGGCATGACACAACTTTCACAAGTTACAGCTGGTATGCCAGCTGCAGCCCCTTCTGGACAGACAGTCCAATCCAGTTAATGTTATGTTTGCATAATAGTAACAGGTCTTTGCATAGCCGTTCACTGTACCATGTTGCAGATTATCTAACTTTTCTAACACTGGCTAGAAGCAAAGTCACAGAAGGTATATAGCTACTTAACAACAATTCAAGACTGATTGCGTTAGTCATTTGTCTCCCCTAGATGTCAATGGGAGTCTATTTTTTTCCTTCTGGTCTGTTCAGGATGTGACTTGAAAGAGGTTGCTTGTGTTTTCCTCTGCAGGCCCTTTAACTTAATTCATACATTCGTGTGCAGGAAAAGGGCCATATAGATCATGATGTGCAATAATCCGGTACAAATGTTTTGCTGATTGTGAAAATGCTCCTCTGGCACCGTAACCAGGTCAACCTGAAAGGGTACAAAAGATTGTGATCTATTGTCAATGGCACTTCCCAGCCAAGGAATTCACACTGCAGACAGTTAAGTATTTATTGTCAAAGATAACACAGTCACTTCTACATCTCTGTATGTCTATGCACACCAATCTAACAGCTAGGCAGCTATTCCCAGGTCCACACTCTATGGAGCAGTTGCAGCAATGATGGGACCACTCCCCCTCCACCAGTTTATATACCTTCACCGGAAGGGCTGCGTGCACACAGTCTGAGACTGCACCAGAGTGGAAACTTTCTCAATACATCCCTTTTCAATTCCCTCCTGGTTCTGGGAGACAGTGATACAGAAAAGGGTGGAGAAGCACCTAGCCTTTCACTTGCCTGACTGCCTCTTTCTCGTCTTCTTCTGAGGCATCCTGTGCTCCAACCTCTAGTTCTAAAGCTTCCCCTGCCTCCAATTCTTGCCTCCTGGCTGGTACAAGCCTCTACAAACCACCGCCCCCACTCCTGAGCCAGCCCTGCTGCCCCTGGTGCACACTCATCAGAGGCCTGCCAGCCCGACATCTATAACACTATTAGACAGATCAGAGACCCTATTTTTCTCTAATAATTGCAGTACGTAAAGTAGGATTTCTCTTGCTTCCCCAAACCTGGGAAGAAAATAATTGGGGACAACAATGTTCCATAAGTCCTTCCCTGGCACCTGCAGAGTTCCCTACCACTGTTGAAATTAGGCTTGAAAGAAGCATTCGCAGAATAAGGTGTGTGTGCTTGGTTGTGGTAGGAGCAGTTGCCCATGACTATTTATCCAGTTTGCAAATGTGCTCACAGGCTCAAAAATGTTGGCAACCTCTGTGCTAAGTGATCAGAATGTAAAGTGCAAGCTCCTAAAGAACAAGGGCACGGTCCTGCAAATCCTGTCATCTTTTTCAGGAGTTGCAGAGAACCCAGAAGAGGTTTGGGTCTCTTGCATGTTGATTTATATGCAAGAAAGACCAACTCACTCACCCTTGAGTGCTGTGGCATGAACAGATTATATGAAGTTTGGGTAGGGTCTTCTTTTACCTTGGGCTTCAGAGAAGTTAAACTGTACAAATTGCCTCTCAGAGCTCTGCCACCACCTTCCCAAATGTTTGTGGAAATGTTGGGGAAATGGGAAGAAGGCAAGAGAGAGAAGGGGATGGGGTGCTGCTAGTGTTAGTGAAGTTGCTCACCTTCCTTGTAGCTTAGGGTAGGGTTCTTCTAAGTTGTTTACTTGCCTTGTTCTTTCTCCACCATGACACATTCATCCCTCCCCTCAGACCCAAAGTTCCTCCTTCAACTTTCCCTGCCTACTTATTTCACTATCTCTCCTTACCACTTCTCTCTGGCTTCCCTTGCAATGCTGCCTCAGATGGGTCCTGAGGGCGGACATTCTCCTCCTCATAGGCCCCCTTTTCAGATATACGTACACTGCTGGTGTTGACAGGAGTTTCTGTTGTTGTTCCTTCTTTCCTGCCATATGGCTAGAGACAAAAGTGACAGTGAAGACTTCCTTAAGAGGCAGGTGCTAAAGGCCATCTTGAGATGCTGCTGCCGTGGACACCTCATGGTGCAGCTGCAGGCAGTACAGATACTACCACAGAGCTTGGCTGCAGCTGAAAGGCTCGCCTAAGGCTCCAACAACAACCAGTCTGTTTCAAGTGAAAAACCAGAGGATTGCCACCAAGAGAAAATAAAATGGACCCAAATCTTGAACAAACAAGTGCTGTCTCTTTCTGTGTTCTTTGAAGCAGCACATGCAGTGAAGCAAGATCCCTTCCTTGGGGTAGGAGAGAGGTATCGTTTCATTCCACTTGAGAATGACTGGCTAGTGAGCCAACACAAAATTTATGGACCTCTGAATGAAGATGTGGGTGCACTGATGCAGAAATAGTTGAATCCAGCTGAGCAGTTGTAATTATGACCAAATAACACCTGTGTAACTGAACACCACAAGTTATTTGATCATGCATATGAACTCTGTAAATGCCTACACTAAACAAAGAGACTTTTTTAAAAAATCCATGTAACAGGTCAGGACACGCAAGTCACCACAGAATAACCACTCGCCACCAATCTCCTACAAGGTTATGCTGAAACCAATACTCCATTTTTTATTTGACAAGCATTAACTACAGCTATCTTTTTTCCTGAACTTCCTCCCTCTCCTATGCCCAACCTCTTTGGCTCTGAAACTTACTTTTAAAATAATAATAATAATAATAATTTATCATGTATGTGAAAGCACTTTGCTTTAGAGCAGAGGTGGGGAATCTCAGGTACAGGGGCCAAATGCAACACTCCAGGTCTCTCTATTCAACCCTCAGCATTATCCCCAGATCTCGCTCCTTCTTCGCAGACCCCATACCTCCCAAGTCCTGCTCCAAGTCCTCCTTACGTGCTTTTTCTTGCCTGGAAGTGTCCTTGAACTGAAATAATGCCTCTTCCCTGCCTGGATAAAGAAAGGCACATAGAAACATCTTGCTGGAATGTAGCCTACTGTCTAAAGGTAAGCCACATCTGTTGCTCCTCCCAGTTTTGCGGTTCACAGCATAAAAATGTGAAATAAAAACAAAATGTATAATAAGTGAAAGTAAAGAGCAAAGAGAAAAAAATACTCCAAGGAAATAAAACAATTCCAACCAGAAATATATCTACTACATAGACATGTTAATCAAAAGAAAAGATGGTTCAATAACAGAAAATTCACACTGGCCATACAGGAGACCTAGGTAAATTCCTGCCAAATGCAGATATATTTCATTTTCAAAATCTGTGTGCTGTACTGGTTTCAACTTTCACTAAGTATATTTGGATTCAAACTCTTACTCAACCACAGAATTCACTGGGCCAATCATAATCTCTCTACCTAACCGATCTCACAGGATCATTCTGAGGAGTTAAAATCAGAAGAGCCATGTATACTGCTCTATGCTCCTTGGAAAAAGGGTTAAAAAAAATGAATGCCTAATAAAATGTCATCTGGGCTCTCAATGGTATCAATAGGCAATGAACATACATGTTGTGCCATTTCAACATACATGCACAACTACATGCCATTTCAACCCATCCTACTGTGCTGAAAGGTCTTTCCTGGGCCCAACTTGATCAAGTCAAGTTTAATACAAGTTAATGAAAGTGTTAACAAATCATCATCATCATCATCCCTCTAATTCTGATATTTAATCTGGAGATATCAATGCTAATGTAACCAAAATGGAACCATCCATGCATAACAGCATATAAGGCAGCTCTGCAAAATCTCAGAGGTTGCAGGAATTCAAAAACAAACTTAACTAAAAGCAACTCAATAAAGGCTGAGCATGCCAAGTGGTCACAGAATGCTCACTAATAGTTGGGAGTAGATACAGAAAGCCAAGCAGGAAGGGAAATGGAATGGAGCAGTCTGAACAGGAGCATGCCACACTGCAACATTCTGTTGCAAGTCCCTCTTTTACATACTATATACAGTGGTACCTCTGGATGTGAACGGGATCGCATCCTGAAGTGAACGCTACCCACGTCCGCACGGGTCACAATTTGCCGCTTCCGTGCATGCTCGCGACGTCATTTTGAGCGTATGCGCGAGCAGTGAAACCTGGAAGTAACGCGCTCCGTTACTTCCGGGTCGCCGCGAAGCACAACTCGAAAATACTCATCCCGAAGCTACTTCAACCCGAAGTATGACTGTAATGCCAAACATATCCAAGTAGCTAGCCTTATACAGCTAGAACAGGATCACAGACATACAAGCAGGAGGTATGAGTAGGCTTGGGAAAACAACAAGGTGTGAAGAAGTAAAACAAAATTCATGAGGAAAAACTAAAGGAGTAACTGCTCCGCAAGACAGCCCAAGGGGGACTGAGCACGCCATGAAGCCAGAAGACTGAGTGGTCATGAAGTGTTGGCTTTGAGGGTTGGGTAGAAAAACAAAGGGTGAGAGGGAATGGGATATAGTAGCAGAAGGAATGGCTGAATAGGACACTGAATAGGAGCATTCCACATTTTACTGCAACTCCCACTTGTAAGACACATTAATAAACCTGCAAACCTACATCTGAAATTCAATGCAACAGCCATCACTTTTCTGTAAACTGCAATTATTTCCCCATTCCCCTGTTGGCACGTAGTCATTGATTCAGATAATGTAACTTGAGACTGCTTTGCACATGCAAAAAGTCTGAACAATATTCTAGGTAGCAATAACCATGACTTCTTGGCCAATATTTTTAATAATGATGAAAGAAATGTTTTAGTAGAAGTGAAAACTGCTGACTAAGAAAGCAGAGCATAAACAGTAATTAAAAGACAACATTTTTGAAAACATGATTAAGAAATGTGAATTGTTTAAAGCAGTCTGCCCCAAGGTTTTTCAAGGCGAGGTAGAGATAACCACTGTGGTATCCACTGAACAAATCCAAGTTAAATTAATATTTAACTAACAGTAAAGCAGCAAGCAGAAATAAACCAGGTTCTTAACAAGCAGTAGTTGTCCAATATGATGTATCTCTTCTGAGCATTTTAAAATATCCTCCCATGTTATCTATAAGACAAAGAGCTAGAAAAAAAAGCGAATTATCAGGATTGCAGCAGAAGCCCCCACACTACTGAATTTATGCCTTCAGACCTCTATTTCTGGGTACCTATAAAAAAAATTAAGCATTACACCATTTTATTGCACAAATCATGCAGTGCACTCTTTAGATGCATACCACTTCAAGTATAACTGTCAAACTATTCCATCAGTCATGGATACTTTAGCTGAGATTCCTGCATTGCAGGGGGTTCAACTAGATGACCCCCAGGGCCCCTTCCAACTCTACAATTCTATGATTCAAAAACTATGTGATCCTCTTATCCTGCATTGTACAAGGGACACTTAATATTTCCGTGCTGGATTAGCATTACACATCAGCATTTCCCCCTAACATCTTAGATATAGCATTTTACCATTATTATAATATTTGTGTTCCATAATGGGAACTAAGTAGTTTAACTCTTAGCCTCTTCTGAAAAGCACTTTAGAAACCATTGTAAAATTGGAATGCAGAAAGGTTTGCCCTTCATAATATACTAACAAGTCCAGAAAACTGCTGTCTAGTGGTATTTAGCTGATCCAACAAATACTTGATGGGTTTGTAAGTTTACAATCCTATTACCATATAAAATACACATCTCAACCTTTTCATTATCACGCAAGCCACGGTATATGAAAGTGTCGATTACACACTATGCTGCCACAAACATGTTAATCGCACTCTGCTGAAACAGTTTACGTAAGCTCTCGTCTTATTCAAGTATCTTTAAGTAACATCCAAGGAATCCATTTCTTTTGGGGGAAACTCCTGATTAGGTTGATATCAGTTAAAGTCTACAGTAACATAACTGCAGGGGCAGGGAAAAGAAAGGCCCCAGATTTAGGGCCTAATGAAGGTCAATACGATCAGCAACAATATGTTCCTTACAGAAGTTGCTCTGCATCTTTTAGAAACATTTCCTGGCAAAAGAAATACTGAAATTGAGATGTATAATGGGACAACATTCTAAAAACTGTGCTTCTTTGGCAGTATGCTATTAGCAGGCTCCAACAATGTCATTTGCAGATTTAAGTATATAGACTCCAAAGAAAATGTATGAACCTATATTACAAGTAGATTTACAGAAGGTCAAAAACTCAGCTGAAACTCATCTTCTATAAGCAATTCTTCTCAAAGCCCACAAAAACTGACTTTTCTTCTGTTACACTTATATTTTTCCTTCCTTGGAGACGCATTCTCCAACAACTGCTGCTGGCAAAAGACACAGATGTTGGTGAGACTTTCTTAGGAGCACCACCACATAATAAACCAGAATGAAAACAATCCAAACATTATTTATAGCCCATGTGAACCAAAAGGCATCAATACAGAATTGTTCATACTTTATTTGCTAAATATTCTGACACTTTCAGCAGAACAGAGGAAGGCTGGCTATGACTTCTTTTACTGTTTCTGCCAAAAGCCAACACACTATCATGGGTAAGCAGTACATAAAAAAGCAAACAAAGGCATATGGCGATATTTATAACCAAGCTGAATTATAAAAATCTTCTGCGCTAAGGGATGCATTAGCTCTTTGTCCATAAGCTGTTTAACTCTTTGCTATGAATGCCTTTTCCATAAATGGGAGGAATGCCAAAGCAGGTCACCCTCAAAGTTAGTGAGTTAAAAGCAACCTACTGGAAACACAAATAAACTAACACTGATTTATAACTGGCTTAGTTCACAAGGTTGGCTGTTGTGATGACAGGCTACATTGATTTCTTATTGATAAAGTTAAGTTAGTTGATCACACTCTTGAATGTAAGTACTATCTCAGAACCACAGCTAAAACAATGGCATCATGGCAAAGTAATAAACCAAGGATTAAAGTACACTGACAGCAACATAAAACTGGCCACTGTGAATCAAGCATCAAGATAATAAGTGCTATGCACATCAAGTAGTTTTTTAAATGAAGATATTGTCACCCCAGGGCCTCTAGCGACAAGGAGAAGCAGCCTACAGCATTGGCAATCTAAAACTGTCATGTAGCATTTTCTTTTTAAAGATGAGCATATATGGTTATTAACAGAAGCAAATATAAAACTATCAACCAGGCACTGTCCCTGCACAAGTCTCACATAAATTAACTGAAGTTGCACTCAAGAACATCTATGTTCCTGCATTCTTACTCCTTTGAATGAGACAGCATTCCTGGTGGATTGTGCTCTATTTGTTCATTATTTTCATGGCAAAGTTAATTTATGCTTGTAATTCAACACTTTCCTGTTCACTTGTGGTGAGCAAAAACTGCCCAAATAAAATCAGGAGCCTCCTACAATTTTGAGGAGACAAAGACAGACATGGGCAAAGCCTCCATAATGTAACCAGTTAACTTGGGGCTACATTATGGAGGCTGTGAATTGGGATTGTTCACCTCCTAACTACAAGGCTGAATTAACAATATTCAAAGATTGCAAAACACTTGGAACATTAAGATAGCTAATTTCTTAACCCATAGCTATGTCTTCAACAAATCACTCTGTATAATTCAGTTATCTACTTGACAAGTGGCCATTTTGACAGCACAACTAGTTGATAACATGTATGACAGATAGCTAAATAAGTATGATCCTAAGCACTCTTAGAAGTAATTGCCACAGACCATCACCCTTTGTGCATACAAGTTATCTACATGCATGCATGTTTCTTAAGAGTGGAAATTTTTATGGTTTTAATCTTTATGGTGAATACTTAGTTTGCACTTTCAAGAGCTGAAACAGCTTAACTGAAACAATTGATAAAGGAAATAACCAAGGGTTTCATGCATTCATTTCCCTTCATTCTGTTAATATATTTCACACAGCTACATTACTCTGCACAATACTGAACTCAAATTTATTCATAGTTCAGGATTGTGCACAGCCATGTAAAGCCAACAGCATGAGGTGTTTAACAACTGGCAAGTGTAAAACTGAAAATGTTACTCTCATTCCTGATATTCAGAAGCAGTCTTGGGATTTCATACAGTCTGCCAGTCATTGCTTCAGTTAAAAAGAAACCAACAGGTTGAGTGGGAGCTGGCTGACAAAGTGCCTACACCATTTGCATTTTAAAAGGGCCCTTTTCTTCTCTTCTAAAGTACTCCTGCCAGTCCAACAGGGGGCAAAAGTTTACATTTTGAGCACAAGCATATTAGAAGACCTCAGAGATTGAATGTGGCAAAAGAGAAATAAAAAAGGAATTTATAGTAGCAGGGTATATTCTCTCACCTAACTCTGAAGGGAAACCTACCACTGTCTTCATTCAAGGCTCTGAGAAATACAACAGCACCTAAGCCACCGACATGTAGAGGAACTTTGCTCAGCTTTTAACACTCCCTGCCAACTACTATTTAACATGCTGCATATTTATATTTTATTTTTTAAAAAATTAATTGCCTCATTTCCCCCCGCAAACATTATTCCAAGAAAAAGAAACCAGCATCACAGAAAAAAAGCTAATGTTAAGTACACAGAAAACACTCCATATTTTTTATCCACTTCTACCTTTGAAGCAAACAAAATGATAAATGCTAATAAGCAACTGTCAGAGAAAAAATGTGATTCAGGTAGTTTTCTAATTACCCCATGTTTAGCTCAGAGCACAAAGCATAGACTTTGAAGCAAAAAGGCACCTTTCTAAAGCTGTCTGAGTTTAAAACAAAACAAAACCACAAACCAGTCTGACCAAAGCTAGGAAACTCATTGTTTCTCTCTCATTTCTTTCCATCAATCTGCAGTCAAAAAGAACAAAGCGAAGAAATAAAAAACCCGACACTCTTGGTTGCCATTTGAAAGGATGAAGCAGGCATTCTGAAAGCATCTGGTTTCGAGGCTCTTACTGGAGTGGTGTCACTGCTTCGCTTTTCCAGACTGTATGGTAGACCTGGGACAAATCCAAAAGATTGTATTTCTAAACATTTCTTTCAGGGTGGAGAAGCAGGCGAGGCAAGGCAACATTCCTGACCGTGCAAGTCTTAGGTTCTAGGCACCGCAGGTGAAGTCAGGCAGACTGATCATGTCTATTCTTCACCTTTTCAAAACGCCATTGGGGGGGAAATATACACCGAGACTGATTTTCTTACAGGCGCTACCACAGTATATTACGTCTTCCAGTGGGAAAGGTCACCAGGCCACGTTCATTAACATGGAAAACAAACCTCATGTTTCCAGGCTGCAAGAGTATTTGGACATTTGATGCTTTCATTCTTATTCTTTTCACATATTAGGGTTTCTTTTTAATCTAAAAAACAACTCTTTCAGCACACGATCAGGAAGAAGGGTCTTTGAATTTCTTTATTTTAAATTAGTGTCTACAACCAACACCACCATTTGATTAAAACAAAAAGTTCTGCATTTTGTGCCTGCTATGAACAAAGTATGCAAATCGAGGAAGGGCGGAGAGGAGAACATACACATGCCGTATCATGCAACAGTTCCAAAACAGGTACAATGCAAGTCTCCGTGTAATAAATAATATGAACTAAACGCACACACGCACACATGGAGGCCAGCGTGGAAACAGCAGCCAAGAATCCGTGCAGGTGGTGGGGGGTGGGGAGGAGAAAGAACCCTCAGCTGAAATCCGGATTTTTTGTATTTTAAAAAAAGAAAAGGAATCAAGTGAGAATGGCGTCGGCAGGTAAGAGACGGGCGGACTGGGCAACAACCCCTCCCCCCTCTTGCACGCACAACTCCATTAACCGAGAGTGGATCAGGTCCAAAAGGTTTCTTCTCCCCGAGGAGGGCAAGTTGCCGCTGTGGGAGCGGAGGAAGAATCCCAGGACAACAAGGGGAAAGAAGGCGCTTCTGCCCCAGGGATCGAGGTTGATCCCGGCGAAAGCGGCGGCGCATTCAGAGCAACTCACCTCGAAGGAAGCTTTAGGGCTCGGTGGGCAACGGGGGGAGCGGTAAGGTATTTTTGTTTCAGCAAAGGCAAGCCTTCCCTCGCGCTACTCAACAGGCGGCGGGTGACCGGCAAGACCGTGAGACGCCGAAGAAACTACTCACCACACGCGCCCGGGGCGCCGCCACCCGCATGCTGCCTCGCTCCGACCCGCCAACTAGCTGCTGGCGCCGGGCTTCGCCACCGTCTCCCTCTCTTTCTTTCTCCGTGAACACACGCGCGCGCGCGCGCTCACACACACCGGCAGCTCCCGGAGCCCCTCCGCTCCCTTCCCTCGCACGAGCTCCCGCCCAGTCCGCGCGCGCCCGCCTGAAGAGCCGCCAGCACAGCCAACCCGCCTCAGCAGGCCCGCGCCGCGCGTGCCCAGAGCCAGCTAACCAACCAACCAACCAGCCCGCCCGCAGAGCCCAGGAGTGCCTCGCGCCCGCCCGCTCGCCGACCCCTCCTCCTCCTCTCGCGCGCCCCTGACACCCCCCACCTACTCCCCCCATTGGGCTGCTGCGCCTCTTTCTCTTCGCGCGCCCCCACCCCGCCGCCGCCTCACCGTCACTCCGCGTTCCTCGCAGCTTTCCTCGCGCAACCGACTACGACCACTCGGTTCACCTCGACCTCCTCCTCTCTTCCCCCCCACCTCCCATTCACACGCAAACACATTTTGCACGCAGCCTTTCTCCAGCTAACGCCGAGTTATTGTGCAAAGAGAGTTGATGTGCCCCGACACTCTTCTTCACTATGCGCCCCCCTCCCACCCGCGTCAAAATTCTCCAGGTTCCTCACAGAAACTCACCACTCATGGGGTCGTGCCCCTAGAATTTCTCGCTCGCCCGACTATCCTGTGCTTTTCTTGCGAGGAAGACCCGCGGGGTTGACTTCCGAGTAAACCTGCTTGGAATAGAATCCGGCTCCCCCGGTGTAGAGATTATGCACGCACACTCCTGGAGACACTTCGCGCCGTCTCTCTCCTTCACCATTTGTCGGCTTCCTCTCTCGAAAGCCGCTTCACCCTCTGCCACAGAATCTTCCACAGAATCGACACCATTAAAGCTCCGCAGCAGCTACTTCCCGCCTCCAGAAGATCCCGGTTTCAGCTGTGTATCCCCCCCCCCCACCTCACCCGTCTTTCAGATAATTCTTCCTGTTGCAACCCTCTGCTCAGCTCCCGCGCTTTCCGCCTATTTTATTCGGTGCGGACCCTGATGTCCTCCCGCTCATCACCCGTACGGAAGAGATTGGGAGGGGGTTGTTTACACTGTGAGGGTCAGGTATCGCGCACAACTGCCCCGGGATTGTTCAGCGAGGCAAACTCTCCTGTACAAAAGTGCTTTCGTCGTCAAATGATCTCCGCCTCCCTCTCCCCACCCGCCTCCTATATTGAGTCATGTCATCTTAGTCAGAATAGGTGTGAACTGCTCTAGGGCCCCAGGGCGAAAGGTTAGCAAATCTGAAAGAGGCCGGACTCAGACACACCCGACACCACCTTTTTCTTGAGCTTGGACTCAGCAACTCCACCTCCTTATTTGCGAGACCGGCTGGAGGCGGAGCTGCTTCCCCACTGGTCGTTGCCTGAACTCTCCAGCCCTTCCTGCACAACAGTCTCCAGCAGAGACAGGTAAGGAAGTAGGTAAGTCGGCAACCCTCTTCGTCAAGGTTCCGGGGGAAGGGGAAAGTTTCCCTGAAAATGTTCTTTACCATTTCGTACTAGCTTCTCAGTGTACTGTCTATTCTCTTCTCCACACCCCCTCCCCACCGCCACCATATTGGGCTGTGCAAATAAATAATTAAAACATCCATCATTAATGAAAATTGCACTGTTGTGCATTTTTAACCAGTCTTTTTTTAAAAAATAAATAAATCTAAGCCTCTCAACTTGTGTTATACACTTCCATGCTTGTTGGGGCATGTCTAGCCTTGAGGCCAAAAGATATTGGCAGGCATACACTTGGAGAGCCACATCTTAAACTGCCTTTGAAATGAAAGAGCTGGAGACGACAAGAAAAAAAGAGAGGGATGGAGACAAGTAAGAAGAAGCAGAATTTGAGCAGCAGCAGCTTATAATAATTATAATTATAATAATTTATTATTTATACCCCACACGTCTGGCTGAGTTTCCCCAGCTTGAAAGCAAAATAAAATATGGACCAACCAATCCTATGGGTCCACTTATGCTGCCACAATCTCAGTGTGATTTAGCTGGTATCCTATATACACCCAGTAAAAAAATCATCGAACAGTTCTTCTTTGGCAATCACTCGGAGCTGAGTAAGATTGTCTTCCATGAACATAGTCTTAACAGTGAGTCTGTAAGGGACTGTAGAGGCCAATTCTGGATTCCACAGTGGGGACATAGGTTTCCGAGCAGGAGTTGATCAAGGTGAGGGTTTGCCAAGCGTGCCTTCCTCTTAATACGTTTCTCCCTTTCATCCTGAGTTTGAGCGTCTTCAAAGCTCATGACACCTTTGGTAAAGGCTGTTCTCCAATTGAAGTGCTCGCAGGCCAGTGTTTCCCAATTGTCAGTGTTTATACTACATTTTTATAGATTTGCCTTGAGAGAGTCTTTAAACCTCTTTTGTTGACCCACCAGCATTACACTTTCCATTTTAAAGTTCGGAATAGAGTTGTTGCTTTCAAAGACGATAATCAGGCATCCGCGTAACATGACCAGTCCAACAAAGTTGATGTTGAAGAATCATTGCTTTGACACTGGTGATCTTTGCTTCTTCCTGTACACTGGCATTATATATCACTTGTCTTCCCAAGTGATATGTAAAAATTTTCAGAGACACTGTTGATGGAATCTTTCAAGGAGTTGGAGACGGCATTTATAAGTGGCCCATGTTTCACAATCATACAATAAGGTTGGTAGTACAATAGCATTTTGGTATTAAGCAAGCAGTTTCGTTTCCCTGCCAATGTCCTGGTCCTCAAGTACTTTGCACTTCAATTGGGAGAAAGTTGCATTCGCAGAGCTGAATTTCAGCATCAGTGTCGGCCATTGTGGAAAAATAGCTGCCAAGGTAGGAGAAGTGATCAACATTTTCCAACATTACACCATTAAATTGGATTTGTGGCACTGCGGAGGGGTTGTTTTGTGCTTGTTGGTGCAGCACTTTGGTTTTTTGGATGTCGAGCAATAGACCAAGCTTTTTGTAAGCTTCTGTGAAGCTATGTAGGATGGTTTGGAGGTCATCCTCTGAGTGTGCAAACACTATGTTGTCATCAGCACACTGAAGTTCTATGACGGAAGTTATGGTAACCTTACTCTTTGCTTTCAGTCTACTCAAGTTAAAGAGTTTGCCATCTGTTCGATATATGATTTCTACCCTGGTGGAGAATTTCCCCTCAACAGTGCAACTATGCCAGCTACGCCCCCAAACATAAATAGCAGTGTCATTACTAATTCCCACTAATTGCTGGGTGAACACAGCAAAATGCTCCTGCCCAGCAGGACAGCAGAGAGGGGGCCAATACATGCAACAGGGTACATCTTGTCACAGTGTACTACCATAAGCACCATAAACATTACTTTCAAATGTGGCACACCCAGTAAAGGCACAAATACCCAGGTCCTAGGCTGTTCATCAATTCAGGTCCCAACAGGGGTAAAGGCATGTGCTTAGATTACATGCAGGGAACACAAACAAGCAATGGGAAAGCTGTAGGAAGCAAGCAACCCAGACAACACACACACACACATACCCAATGCACCAATCAGAGTCCCAACTGGGAAATGGCACACTTATCAATGAATGGATCCTTTTGCAAGTGCGGATGAGAGAGCAAAAAGATAACAGAAGTGAAGCCAAAGGGGCAAGCCCCAGGAAAAGCAAATACTGTAGAGTGTTTGGCCAGCCTTGGCTTCAATGGGAATGTGGTGCCTGGGATGGGTGGTGACCAGCCCTCCATGCCTACTACATTTATGGTGTGAGCTTCATTAACTACAAACACCAAAATTTAGGATTCCCACAAAACCTTCTGTAGGGTTTTGTAGTCATTTTGTAGAGTTTTGTAGGCAAACTCCATGTTATGTAGGACCCCTCAAACTGAGCAATTGATACGTCAAACCAGGGTTTGTAGTTAATGAAGCTCACACTCTCTCAAGCAACACCATCAACATGACCCTGTACTATGTTCTCTCCACCATACCCTCTCCCCTCGATCCTCTCATTGGCAGTGGGGACAGAGAAAAGATGGAGGCCAGCCTGAACTATGCTGAGCACTGCTTCAGCAGGTTTGTAGTTAATGAAGTTTGTGGTGTGAAGTATGTCATCCTGCCTGTGGAGCTTTAGGGCCAGCAGGAAGTTTCATCTCAGCACAGCATCAGTACTTGTGTCCCCCTCTGTAACAGTGCTTGCCAAATGTTTTCCCCCATGGACCACTTGGAACATTGCTGAATGTCTCGGCAGACCACTGAATTGTTTTTTCTGCCTGCTGTAGCAATTGTAATGTGCTGTGCTAGATGCTGTATGATTTTTAATTGTATTTTATTGCATCTTTTATTTCTTACATATCATATTTTATTATGTTACATACTGTAATACAATAAAATACAATATAAGTAACAAGAGAGGCAATTAAAATACAATTTAAAATCAATATGAATACTTAATGCAATGCATGTGCATACTGTGGATCACCTGAACTGAGCTTGTGAACCATTGATGGTCAGTTTGGGAATCCCTGTTCTATGGGATACATTGATGCTGAGGGGAGGAAGTATTGCTTCAGCAATGGAGTTTGGCCAAGACATTGTTGACACATATGGCAAGGGAAGCGAGACAGGCACCTGCAGCATTTCTGCTTTGGATTTCCCCCATGCCTTTGTGAGATGCTTTGTTCTTAGGTTTATTTCCCAGGTTGGCAGCATGGCGGGTTGTGCTCTCTTTTGAGGTTCTGTTTTATTACAAAACCTCCTCTGGAGTTATCAGAGGGCTGGGGTGAGAGTGGAATCAGGAATTGTGGGATGCAAAGGATTCAGCATATGTCTGCTTCTCCCTTTAATGATCCATTCATGTTCCTATGTCCATCTTGTCCCACCACTGGTGAAGTGCTAGTATTTCCACAACATTAAATGGGCATATCTCCAATGGCAGAGGTACGGTATATCCAGAAATATGCCATTTTAGTTAGGGTTGCCATACATCCTGGACAAAGGTGGAATTGACATCCGGGGGGATTTCTGAAAGGTGGTATAAAAAACAAAAGCTCAACAACTTTGGGGTGTCCTGGTTTTTACTTTCTGACGTATGGCAACCCTAGTTAGTGCAGTTTCTGCAATATCCTAAAGCTCCCTTAGCCACTGGATCTGCAATATAGTATTGCATTCTGAGGCTACAGCCCTAAACATGTTGGGAATAAGTATCACTCAGCAGAACTTTCCTCAAATTACCGGTAGATGTGTATTGGATTGTGTGCTAATGTTCCATTTGCCCGCTAAACCTCTATGATCTCTACCATGATTATTTCATAGAATCATACAATCATTGTGTTGGAAGGGAATCCACAGGTCATCTAGTTCAACCCTGTGGAATGCAGGAATCTCAACACACAGCCCCCCATTCAGTTTGAAACTATACATCACCCTGCTTAGCTTTGCAATATGCTAGCAGTTTAGGAACCTTAATTTATCTCTTTCCTAGTTTACCTAAATCAAGCCCTGAGGGTCATCATGGGGCAACCTTGCTAAGTAGGTCAGAATCTGACCAGTGCATTTGTGGTACACCATAGGAATCATATTTACACTACCTTGAGTTCCATGGTGCTAGAGAAGTGGTATATGAATAAAACAAATGGTCTTATATCAGCCCCATTGCAAAACTCAACCCTTTCATCATAAATTACATCTGGAATGTTTGTGTTGTTCAGAAATGTTTGGTTATGTGTCTGTTGATTTTAATGGCTATTTTTAAACATCTGTTTATTTCTAAACATTTTATTGTTTGTCGGGTTTGATTTACATGTTGGGGGAGGGAAGTAAATTACTGTTTTTCTTTGCATTCTCTTTACATATTAATTATATTTGTCTTTCCTCTGCAGTCTTTTATTAAAGACTGGAGACCTCTGTTTCTTACATAGGAACACAGGAAGCTGCATTGTACCAAGTCAGACTGTTGATCAATCTAGCTCACTGACTGCCAGTGGCTCTCCATGGTTAAGGGCAGGGGACTTTCCCAGCCCTACTGGGGATTGAACTTTAGACCATTTGCATGCGAAGCACATGCTCCTACACTGATTTTACAGCCATTTCCCCAATCCTTCTTGACTCCCCTTCCGTAGAATTTGTTCCATACCAAACATTTAAATAATGCCTTTGTGACATGCGTTTTCCAGTTCTTCTAAGGGATGATCTGAACAGCACCAAGTATTCAATGTTTTGCATGCACCATCAATTTCCGCAATGTAATTGTGATTTTCTTTTTATTAGCATAGTCCGCAGATAGTTGCAAGTAGGGTGGGAGCTAGCCCTTTGAAGCCCTAGATACACAAAATGAGTAACTCATCTTCCAGTATCAGTGGCAGCAAAGAACCAGGTCCTTATCAATGTTTTCTAGCCCCCTCCCAGAAACCAAAGACTCCAGATAACAAGACTTAGGTGGCTTGGAAGCGAACTGGCTGTGTCTGGATGTCAAGGACTGTGTGTTCTATGGCGAAGTGAATGGTGAGGAACAAGGAGAAAAGAATGTTGGATGCATTAGTCACTGAATAACCATCTTAACATGAAACATATACTGTACAAACATATACTGCACAATATCAAGTACAGTATAGACAATCAGCCTGGTCACACAACCAAGTATTAATACAACCTTGTATTTCTAAATATTGAATTTCAAAAATGTCTCATTACCGCCTATAAGAGCTGTTGCTTCATCTAGGGTTTTCCAGTTTTACCACTTAGTGGTATATCATCCTAATTTTCACTATAACTTAAAGCGTTTACAGGGCAGCTAGGTCACACTGATGATCCACCAATGTTTGCCAATGGTAGGCATGCAAAGTGTGAAGGGGTGTGTGTAAACAGTTATAGGAATGTAGTAAAGTACTTTATATCAAACTGGTCCATCTAGTTCCCTGTTGTCCAAACCAGCCTTTCCTAACCTGGTGCCCTCCAGATGTTTTGGACTGTAACTCAAATCAGCCCAAGCCGGCACTCCTGTCTTGGCTGGGTCTGATATGAATTGTAGTCCAAAACATTTGGAAGCCACCAGGTTGGGGGAGGTTTGTCTACACTAACTAGCAGAAACTGTTCGGGATTTCAGGCAGGGGTCTTTCCCAGCCCTATCTGGGAATGCCAGGAATTAAACCTATAACCTTCTGCATATAATGCATGTGTTCTAGCCACTGACAAGCTGGGCATGCTAGAAAAATGTGGCCTTAAAACACATTCAAAGCATGTTTCTCCTGCAGAGAATTCTAGGTATTGAATTGCTGGGAACTTTTAATTTGTAAGGAATGAACTCTAGTGCCCAGAATTCTTGAAGGGGGGAGGTGTGCTTTAAAGATGGACTTTAAAGGTATAGTGTGTATTCAGTCTATATGTCAACCATGGCAGACACTGGTTGAACAGGAGCCTACGTGCTGTGAAAAGTGGCTTTGAGGAACATATGCTTATTTTTTATACCAATTATACCTACTCTGTGTTTTATAGTTTTTAACCAACTGCTGGTCCTTCTCTGTCACATTTTATCTTTTTGAAGCCTTCAGTAAGAGATCTTGCAAAAGTACTTTGAAAACCCAAGTATACTGTATCAACTGGATCACCTTTATCCACAAATAAACTGATTTAATTCATTCACAAGCAGTGGTTATTGTGACACTTTAGCCATCACATCCGAAATATCCCAACACTATTTGTGAAGTGAGATTTCCCTTACCCTTTGTTCGGACAACACTTTTCAGCAATCTTTGTTTTAGCTACAACATGAGCATCAGGGCACAAGGCCTTGTCATCTAGAAGCAGCTTCTCATACTGTTACTTTCCTGTGAGGAAGGGCTGGGAAGGATTCCCTGTCTGAAAAGCTGGAGAGCTGCTGCCAGTCAATACTGAGCTAGATGGAGATAGTACTGTAGCATAGACGGTACTGAGCATTAGAAGTCAGGTCCCTGTGTTCCCATATGGAAATACTCTCTCCCTCTCTCTCACTAAACACAGAAGTTTATTGGAATGCATTGAAGTACTATTTAACTGTTTTTCAGGCCAGGAGTGCAGTATTGGGAATACTGTTGCATGCAACAGCATGATCAATGTATTTGTGGTGCACACAAACACAACACTCAGCAACACCTTTTGCAGCACTTTATACCAGCAGAGGACAATGACTTGCTCATGGGACGGGGGGGACAACACTAGTGTAGCAATACTCTTGTACCGACAAGAGACTAGTGCAGCCTTATGCCCACAGAGCAATGCTTACAAAAGGAGGAAAAGTGGATGAAGCAAAAGCCCTCAGGCTACCTGATGCACCTTTTTGTGATGGCATAATGCTATGCCTTAAAAAGAGGTGACAGGTACTCTGGTGAAAGGGCACTTGTACTAACAACAGTGAGTCAAGATTTACAGCAAAGTGAAAAGAACATATTACAGTGGTACCTCTAGTTACGAACTTATTTCGTTCCAGAGGTCCATTCTCAACCTGAAACTGTTCTTAACTAGAGGCGTGCTTTCGCTAATGGGGCCTCTTGCTGCTGTTGGTCCGCTGGCACACGATTTCCGTTCTCATCCTGGGGCAAAGTTCTCAACTCGAGGTAACTCTTCCAGGTTAGCAGAGTTTGTAACCTGAGGTGTTTGGAACTCGAGGTACCACTGTACTAACCTCTGTCTTCTCCTTTTCAGAACCTGTACACCTCTGGAATCCAAATGCAAAAACCTGCCAGGAACCCTAGTGCACAGCTGCAACTGGGACAGCAAGAACAAGGCACCCCGTGCAGGTAAACCAGGGTTGAGAATGTGTGACACTCCAGAAAATGCGAGAGAACTCTGCCCCTAATCCATTACACATTGGCTGGGGCAGATAGGACTTGGATTCCAGCAACATCTGGAGAGCCGCAGGTTCCTCACCACTGCTGTTGCAGGACGTTAATCCATATATCCTATTCCTTCTGCAGTACTATTTACCACTTGGCTCCCATGTAGATCCTAGTGTTTATTTTATTCCTCTGAGCTTCCTATTGTTTCTGTTCTTTCTTGTCTCTTCCTTGCAAAAAGCTTGTCCCCACCCCCATACAGGGACACCAATAGATCTGTATTGTGTAGAGTGTTTCAAGAGAATTTAAACTGTCATGGAGCATTATATCCACAGTGACAATCAAATCATTATCCTAGAAAACCAGTGCTTTCTACATGCAAGATTTTTACCCACTGGGCTATACAGTTGTGATTAGAATGGCAATCCTGTCTGGCCTGTTTGCAGGCTGTGTGTGTTTGTGCTGCCAGGAGATTCAAACCCCTTTCCACAGCTCTGGGGTTTGGGACGATAAGTGTCATATTTGCCAGCTCGTTGCACCATGGTGGCCTCTGCTGGAAAAGGCACTGTGTTGTATGTCTGCCCTGTTGTCAATTGTGTGTGGGGTGTGTGAATGCCAGGTTGGATGGTATCCTAGCCCGTCGCTCTCCACTGATTGGTGCCTTCCCTACATTGCCAATATGGGGCAGTGGCAGCAAGCAACCTCATGATTCACGAGATGCAGCAAACTACCAAGAGTGCTGTGTGAATGTCTTTTGGTGTTTTTATATTGGCACATATTTCTGCAGCTATTGTGCCTCTGACATAGTTGCTAGGTATGCACAGGATGGTTACTAGGTTACATTGGCAGTAGCCCTGAAGTAGTAGCCACCAGAATAGCAGGACCATATAGTGATCCTGCCTTGTAAAATATATATTTTCCTATGCAGAGATTATCTTCATGTAGAAAAATAAGTGTGTGTGAAGTGGCCCTTAGCTAACAGCTGTTGGTATTCCTATTCTCCATTAATGAGTATAGTCCCTACATTTGCAAAGGTAGTTGGTCACAGCAGCAAATGGAAAATGAGATTGTGCCATCTGGGTACTGTCTACTCGTTAGAAGTGTAGAGGGGAAAAAGCTGAGAATGTGGTGTTTTAATGGTGATGGAAGCATTACATCTTAATGTCACACACATAATTAATAAGATTAAAAGAGATAAGTATTCTAATGAAATTGCCCTCTTTAGTTTGGGACAAGCAGGAAGAGAAACTTGTTAAAGAAGCTGAACTAAGGTAAAACAAAGATGTCACAGGCAGCTTCACTTGGGATAGCTAGCGATGTAATCGGGCCAATGAGAAAAAGGAGCAAAGCCACAGAAACCTGTGACTCCAGATAAGTAAATAAGCTGCATGTAATGGGGAGTGCTTCATTTAGCCCCAGCATCCTTAGTAGGTGAGAAGGCCAATAAGTAGCTGTGCCAACACTCTGGCACCCATTACCCTGATGTGACTGCTTCTGGTGGCTAACAAAACTTGCCTACCCATGTGAATTCAGTAAAGCTCAGATGAGCATTGACATCCACATCCACAAATGCATCTGCATCAACCACACATTAGGATATCTTTTCCTGGGACTGAGATGCTTGTTTTCTGCCCTGATCAAGTCCTATAAGGAAACTGATCTGGAAAGCAGCCCCACTCCTCCATTCAGAGCCTTCAATCAATTTATAAGCTGAGAAACGGAAGCTCACATCTCCCTGAAGTCTCATCCTCTGTGGAAGCCCGTGGACAGACAGGTAGTGCTTGAAAATCCTGGTGCTTGCTGCATGGAAAGAAACTCAATCAATTAAATTTATAATGGTAATAACTGAGTTTGTAGTCATGGCCAATGTCCTCTGAATACAACTATCAGTCTCTGCTAAAGATCTTACCATATAAATAAAAGGCAACAGGCAGATATGACAGACAAATTGGAGCACAAGAAAACAATGTTTTAATACTAATGGGCTAACAGCAGGCTGGCTCAGCATATCAGCTCCCTGACTATGGTCAGATTTTTAAAGCAATTCTGTTGGTGCTCTGTATGAGATAAGAAGGGGAAAGGAAATGCTTTTATGTTAATTAATGCCAGTGCCTACTTTAATTTGGCTTTTGGAAAGGAGCACTCTTTATCATGTATACCCTATTTACTCTGTCATAGATCCATAGCATGGAGCTACCACAATTTTAATCCAAATAAACGAACAGCAAAAGGGTTTTTGTGCACATTCAGTTCCTAAATATTAATAGCTTAACCATTTGAAAATTGAATAATAGAAGTAGATGGCTTTGAGGAAGAGGGAATAGTGTGGGAGCTGTTGGTTTGGCCCTGTCTCAGGTCAGCAGAAACCAAAAGCTATTGCTCTCTGATGAGTAGGTTACACATTTATAATAAATGAGACAGTGAGTTCATCCAAATTCTTAATGAGGAAATATTCACATACTGCACTCTGGGAACAACTCTGGGCATTTCATATGGAAGATAGATGACAGCAGGGTCCAATGAGAATGATGTCCACATATTCTGAACTCCTCTTTGATTAGATTGAACTTCATTGCTTGAGTATTACAGAAATCATGTCAATGTATGTACCAGTTTCAGAGTGCATAGCTTTCCTATCTGTCCCTAGAATTTTACAGACATTCCCTTACTTATTGATGCCATTTGCAGTTTTACTTTCTCCTGTGTTCTTTTTGCTTGTGCAAATGAAGCATTCTCTTTGCCACTTCACAAGTGCTGGTGATTTTCATGTACCCTGTGTGTCATTATGCGTTTCAGGTAGTTATCATTCTATTTTTTAAAAAAATAGTTTTCATTTATATACATTACGACAATTATTTAACCATAATTTTAACATTTTCAACTTCAACTTCCTCCCCCCTCTTTCTGCAGCTCCTTACATTTATTTTTGTCCTTTCCTGCATACTCCAAATTGCCTTAACTTATTCTTTTATTCATCTTTTCACACACACACACACACACACACACACACACTCTGCAGGTTTTTACAATAATCCTGCCAATGTCTTGATCTGTTTACAGTTTGTTTGTACATGCTCAATAAACCATTTCCGTTCCTTTCTAAAAAGTTTGTTGTCTTGATTTCTTATTCTTCCAATAAGTTTTGCCATTTCTACATACTCCATTAGTTTCTGTAGCTATTCTTCTTTCATCGGGACCTCTTCATCCTTCCACTTTTGGGCAAATAACATTCTTACAGCTGTTGTCACATACATAAATTTCTATATTGTTCAGATAGTTCTAATCCCATAATTCCCAAGAGAAGAGCTTCTGGGATTTTTTTAATGAATGTTATCTTAAACATCTTTTTCAATTCATTATATATCATTCCCCAGTAAGCTTTAACCTTATTACAAGACCACCACATATGAAAAAGTGCCTTCTTTCTCTTTACATTTCAAGTTTCCCATCCAAGTTATTGTTTTCTGCAATGTTTCTTATGTATGGAGATGAGATTGCTTGGTTTTGTTTCCCATCTTCTTTTGCTACATTTGTCAAAAGAAATGTTCATGAAGAAGAAGTGATTAACAGCGGACCAGGCGAGAGAGAGAGAGAGAGAGAGAGCAAGCACGGTTGAGTTTTTCGTCTTGCAGGTTGACACCACAGCAGAAGTGACATTGCTATTTGAATCTGTGATTTCACAGTGTTTGTGTATATGAGTAAGTGGTGCACATGAGTAAGCCTGATTAGTAAGGTGAGAATTGTAGTTTTAAGGTGTAAAAAAGAGAAAATACCTGGCAGCTATTAATCAAGAATACAGAGGGGGGAAATATTACTACAGCCTATATTAACAGAAGCAGGGCAAGAGTGGCAGGTTAGCAAGAGAGAACAGTAACAACAGCAGCACTCTGAGCAGTTCAGTCATGGCCTACAAAGTAAAAGAGACTTCTCTCCACCACCCCCAGCAAACTTTTTCAGAGTGGAGCTGGAGCCCCATCAATATATATACTTACGCATGGGAAAGTGAGATGCTTTTCATACACCAGAAACTCTTGTTCTTTTTAACCTATAAAACTGTGGCTTCTCAAAGGATGACTTTCTGAATACTTCGTTATATATTTGAAACTATAGGGCCATCTGTGATGTATAGAGCTGAACATATGACAATTGTTTTAATATATCTGAAACAGAAAAATACTGAGTTGGGCAGAAACCCCAAGACCAGGAGTGGGGAACTTACATATTATGCCATATGCTTTCATGGACTAGACTCAGTTTCATACAGTAAAGCAGACTCTACTCCAGGAAAGCTTTATACCATAATAAATTTATTCATCTTAAATGCACCACTAGACTCCCTGTTGTTTTCGCTGCAACAGGCCGATGTGGTTATCTCTTAGGAAACTACATATTATTTATTTATTTCATTTCCGTTGTGAATCGCTTCCCATAAAACATCTTGAATCAATTTAACAATGAAAACATCACAAATAAAATAAAATCAAAATCAAATTTAAAAACAATTTCTAGTCCAATGCAAATAGACTGAGATGAAAACATCCGCTTAAAATATGTGTTGGAAAAGTAAGGTTTTCAATAGGTGCTGAAAAGATACTAGAGACAGTACCTGTCTGATATGTAACAGGATGCAGTTCCAAAGGTTACGCACTGCCACACTAAAAGCATGATGTCAACAACCTATGGAACAGACCTCCTGATGAGGAAGCGTCTGCAGAAGCGCTGTGATAAGTTGCATATATAGGAAGTGAGATGATATTTTAGGTATATTGGTCCCAAGCTGTATAGTTACCAGCACCTTAAACTTAGCCCACTAGCTATTTGGCAGCCAGTGCAGTTCTTTTAGCATTAATGTAATAGGATTGTGATATTCTGCCCCAGTGAGCAGTCAAGCTGCCACATTTTGTACCAGCTGCAGCTTTTGAGTCAAGCTTAGGGGCAAACCAAAAGAGCACATTGCGGTATTTCATCCTGGCACATGGATGACAGCGATCAGGCTATCCTGGTCCACAAACAGCCATAGCTGCCTTACCAGCCAAAGTTAGTAAAATGTGCTCCTAGCCAGTGAGGTCACCTGTGCCTCTAGGGACGGAAACAGATCCAGGAGCACCTCCAGATTATAAATCTGCTCCTGCAGGATGAGTATGATACATGCAATTGACCAATTATCCAGACTCAGAAACCACTCACCTACAACACTTGTATCTTGCCAGGATTCAGACTGTTTGGTTCAGCCTACCACCAAGTCCATACTCCAGTCCAGGGTCTGTTAAGCCTCTCCTGATTCAGATGTTTTGGAGAAACATCTGGGCACCATCAGTGTACTGATGTTCTATTAACCTCAGTTCTATTAATGACCGTTCCTAACAGCTTAATGTTAAATAGCAATTAACTATTCGGCATAGTGGGATAGATGTGAAATGTGTTTTCACAAATATTAGATTATTTGCGCAAAAACATGTTGTTTATATGCATATATTTAAAAACTTCTTATGGCTGCAATTATAAGCCCATTTTATTTATATGGAAATTCTAGAGTTTCTTCTACATAAAGCCACAGTTCAAAACTCACCTAGTTGTAAACTGGGACAAACTCATATCTGTCAGCCTGCGTCCTCATGTACAATATATTAATACTGATTACCTCCCTTAGTAACTGCATTGTTGTAAGTCATAAAGACAATGGGTTGTCCTCCACTAAGCCATACTCTGAGTAGACCCATTGAAATCAATAGATTGTTAACCATTTATTTTAATAGGATTATAGCCTAAATCGCTAAGCATTCTATTATTAACTGTATTTAGGCACTTGGCATGAGACTGAATGCTAAATACTGTACATAAGACAAACATTATATGTGCAATGGTATCTAGTCTTCTTTCAAACCATTTTTTCTAGTGAATGGGTTTTTTGTAATAGTTAGAGTCTTTCACCAGCTTTTAGGGTGGTTGATGCAGTTTTCTGGACTGTGTCACAAGTTTCTGATCCAATGTTTGAATTTATTCATGCTGATGCAAGGGAATGTTTCCATCTGTGGCTTCCCTTTGCAGTACATCTTGAGGACCATATGGCTGTGTTTGGCATTTCAGCACCTTTTCAATGTTTTCCTGTAGCTTTCCCACCTCCTGCTGTAGAAGAGACTTTGGGAAATCTCCTTGCTTCTCCTGGGTATCATTAAAAGGCTTTGTGTTGTTAGTGTTTGATCATTAGATCCTAGAGAAGTGATAGGTTTGCAGAATAAACCCTAAACATTAGAATCCAGACTATATTAACCAGCAGCAATAATTCATCTGTGGATATTTCTTCCTAGACTTGTCTCTAGAAGAACAATCTGGATTATGATTAAGGTTGTAAAATGGGACTTTGATGCATGAGTTTCATTCCTCTTTGATGAATTATTTGCATAAAGGATTATGGTACATATTTATAAAAAAAACGCTGACAAGACAAAACTGGATGAAGTGCATACAGTTTGAAGGATAGGATTACAATGAGAATAATCACGATAAATTGTAAACTTGAACTGAAAACACAAGAATGTGCTAAAAATGATAATGTTAAACATAACCAAATGCCGAAACACAAATTGAAGGGATACAGACAGTAGCAAATGAAAAGGATCTGGGGCCAAGTTGTTATAAGCATGTGGTTGCAGTATGTCATAGCCACAGGCATAGAAGGTATAGCTTTCTGCTGCATTAGCTGCTAGTGGTGTAGCAAACACTTTGTACCCAAAATATAGAATTGTAGTATTTGCTAGTCATGCCTCAGCTGGAAAAACTAAGCCTACTTTGGGTCCCATACTGGAATGAATATTTAAACAAATTATTAAAGATGGAATATGTCACTAGCCTTTAAATCAGGCATAGGCAAACTTGGCTCTCTCGATGTTTTGGGACTACAACTCTCATCATCCCTGACCACTGGTCCTGTTAGCTAGGGACGGTGGGTGTTGTAGTCCCAAAACATCTGGAGGGCCGAGCTTGCCTATGCCTGCTTTAAATAATGAAATGACTGCTATAATTACGATATACACCAAGAGGCAGTTGGTTTATTTGTAGAAATGTAAATTTAAGCTAAACATTGGAAATCTTCCTCACAGAGAAAGTAGTTGGGTATTAGCAGGCATGGAGTAAGACTGTTGTAGAGCTTTTGTTGTTGGAAAACTTTAAAAACAACAACAACAACCCTGACTCAACATCTTTTGAAGGTAGCTCAGCTATAGGGAATCCTACAAGAAGTTGGAGAAAATAACCCCAGGGGTGGCTTCCAACTGTATGATTCTACAATTACTAGCAGGGCAGTTTACTACTTCCTGACAAGAGTTTGGTCTCCATGAACCTCCTGAGGCAATGGCCGCTAGAATTAGATTTGGTTTGAAATATGACTTCAGCAAAAGAGTTAGGGGAGCTTGTCTGACTTGTACCAACCTGCATTGGAACTTGGAGAGTGGAGCATGACTTGCCAGAAGGCAGTGTTTGAAGGACACACCAGGCTGCGTATGCTGTACTGGAGAAATAGGCTGCAGTTCAGCAGATCTGTAAATAGTTCTCAGTTAAATAGTTCCCATAACACTCAGCTCCGCAATACAGCACAAGACACATGGAATAATTTTGTTGACGACTTGAATCCTCATTTTAGAAGTAAAATAAGAAAACTCCTGCTGGATCACATCAAAGGCTCATTTAGTTCAGCATACCATTCTCACAGTTGCCCACCAGCTGCCAAGCAGCACCTGAGCACAACAGCACACTCACCATTTGCTATTTCCACCAACTGATATTCAGAAAAGTGTAGTGTATCATGTAGAATTTTTGTGCAGGAGAACCAGCCTACTTTGCAGGGTTATTGAGGATGATTCAAACTGGGGATGGGGGTGGGGTGGAAATTGTAGTCTAAATGTTCTTCTTGTGAGAGACCTGCAGTGGGTCATCCATATAATATAGAAGAAGAGAGTACATAAAAAATAATGTATAATGCAAAATCAAGTTTTTGGTTACCCAAACAAGAAGTGGAAGGGGGGGGGGAGGATTATCCATTTGTTTTTTGTTCTTATTTTTATTATGTATTTTGTGTTTTCTATATTGTAATTTTATGTTGTGCACCGCCCTGAGATCTATGGATGAAGAGTGGTAAAAATAAAAATATAATAATAATGATAATAATAGAACCACTATGCAGCTGAACTGTATACTATGGTCTAGTAATAGATGCCATGTTTATCTGCACATACTTTCTGACCGTAGCAGCAAGATGGTCCAAACACATTTTACAGGAAATAGCACCTCCTCCCTCAAGTCAAGGGTCATAGTGTCTAAGGTCAGCCAAGTTATTTTGACATCTAAGACACAAAATCCCACAAAAATCTCTCAGCGTCTCTGACTGTGCAAATGCAACAACAATAAATTAAAAATTATTTTGCTGCCTTTTCATGACACCCCAAATCAGCTGCTTGAAGTGGCCACCTCACTCTGCCTTACTTTGCAGGGCCAGTCTTGCCCAGCAAATAGGTAATATAAGAACTGAGCTACACATATGCGCACTGCTAATCTGTTAAAAGGAGAGTTACAGCAACCTTCGCAGAACTTGGGAAGAAAATGATACGTTGCAGGGAGGGAAAGTTTGGAGGACACACCAGCCGAGATCTTATGTGTGCACTGTGTGGATAGATCAAGCTGAAGCAGAATAGCTCGTAAATACTTGTTCTCAATAAAGAACCAGTTAATTGTTAAGCCATAGTCAGAGACCTCTAATTATTAATCAGCAAGCACTGTATGAAACATTCCTGCCACTAGAGTAGAAATTCCATCCCAGTTATCTTTAGAGAAGCAGGCCTGAAATGAATAATTACCCCCCTTTCACTGTCTGTGAACTCTCCATTTATGGGCAAGTGAATGAATGAGAAACCCTAGAACTGTCAATCCATCACCTTTTCCCCACCCCAAATTAATTAGAAATGTAATCCAAGCTTCAGAGAGACTAAACTTAAATAATGAGTTAAGGAAGTGATTGAATAAACCCTTAGAGGGGCACATCTTCTGCTGTACACAGCTTTTGCATAGCCTGGCCCTAAATAAGAACAGTGACCTGTGATGAAAGGAATTGCATATGTATTGCAAACACTTCACAAGGTACAAAGCAATGCTGCACAGGAAGCACCACTAGGGACACTATATTTTTAAATCTACATACAGGTATTAGGGACTGCAGTGGAGTAGCACTGGCACGAACACAGCCTTTCTGTTAAAAGTGCATACAGTATAGCACTTGACTTGCCTGAATGGACTCTCAAGCCTCCATTCCCCAATAAAAATAACTTTATATGTGATATACATCAAACAATGCAGCATTGGAACATTATCTGTTAATGCAAAACAAACTGTTTTCACATATAGTCCTGCTTTGAAAGAGAATATGATAAAATAACATATAAAGGGACCCCTGACCATCAGGTCCAGTCGTGACCGACTCGGGTTGCGGCGCTCATCTTGCTTTATTGGCCGAGGGAGCCGGCGTACAGCTTCCGGGTCATGTGGCCAGCATGACTAAGCTGCTTCTGGCGAACCAGAGCAGTGCATGGAAATGCCGTTTACCTTCCCGCCGGAGCGATACCTATTTATCTACTTGCACTTTGACGTGCTTTCGAACTGCTAGGTTGGCAAGAGCAGGGACCGAGCAATGGGAGCTCACCCCGCCGCGGGGATTCAAACCACCGACCTTCTGATCGGCAAGTCCTAGGCTCTGTGGTTTAACCCACAGCGCCACCCGTGTCCCAAAATAACATATACTGCTCACTCAAAAATTCTATTACCGGCCTGTGTCAGAGTCATCTGGCTGCCTTTCGTAATAAAAGTCAGATTTGCATACTTTTTGCTCAGTAGTGTTAGAATTCTATTCTTTCCCATGCATCAGTAAATAGGTTCTAATTTCAGGCCCTGGCTGTGTCACATTTACAAACATGTGAAATGCCTGTTTTGAACAATAGGTGTTTTTGATGTAATTAGAAGTAAATATTTATTTATTACATTCTTATCTTGCTTTTCAAATTATTGTCTCCCAAATCAGTTCACATCAATTAAAAGAGAGGAAGGAAAGGAGGCCCTGCCACCAGGCTTATGAATTTAAAAAGACAAGATACAGAAGGAAAGGGGAGTGGAGGGAACTGGGACAGGAGAGAACAAAATGGTGAGCTATAAGATGGGAAGACACGTATCACAGAGAAGTATTGGCCCTGCACAACTTTATTTATTTATTGTCTTGCTTTTCTTTTAGACCCAAAAACTTATTTACAGGGCTGCTGGTTAATACAGATGTAGCTTCTTAATGTAAACTAAGTAAATGTGATGCTCAAAAGTCAAGGACATAATAAGTATGGAATACACAAAACAACATATTTAGAAAAATCTATTTTCAGAGTAGAGATGCACTTTGTGGTTTGCTTGTTTGGTTGTTTTTTTCTGCTGCTGATAATTCAACTACAGAAAGGTAAGAGAACCTAAGTTTCTGTTCCCACAGCAACCGTATCCCAGACCTCTTGTATGCAGACATCTTTTCTTGAATTCCACAATGGCTATAGCTGCTCATCCTGGGGCTACAAAGGTCACGGGAACCCCAGACACATAGCTGCCAATGTAGTTCTGCTCAAAAGGGAAAGAAAAAGAAATTGAACACCGCATGTCTGGGACAGGAGCGGGGGTAGGGGAAGTTGTTCTGTAGAAAGACCTCCTTCCTGCGAAGACTTACCTCATGAAATTAACCTTCGTACATTTAGAACTGACAAAAGGAAAGCATTTTCCCCACATAACATGCAGGAGATGTTTTGTATTCACCGATGCCAGCCTCAACAATGACTACCTGCGGAACAAGATTTTCTGAAATTATCACAGAAATTTATGGAATATATTACCTTGCATAACTGCTGCATCAGAAGAAATCCATCTAGCTCTTGCACGCTGTTGGCCAGATGCCTCTGGAAACTCATAAGCAGAACAAAATTGCAAAAGCCCTCACCCATGGTTTCCACCCAAGCAACTGGTGTTAAATCAAAGGCATGTTGCCTCTGGTCCTGAAAGTAGTATATCGCCTACATAGCTAGTAGCCACTGATAGACTTGGAAGTGATGGGCATTCTGTGTTTGCAGGCTAAAAGCTGGAAACACAGAGACATGCTTGTTCTGTTCTGCTTTCCAAAGCTTCAACTAATGGAGAAGCAATATCCTTTGGAGGTGTTAATGCTGTGAGCCCCTCCGTCCTATGGCCAGGTTGTATATATGTGTGTATAAAAGCAAATATCTTAAAAGACACAGTATCCACTGACCTTCTTTCCAGGGAAGCTGAACCCAAGTCAGTGATGAAATCCCTGGTGTCTCTCACTGCCCAGAGATTGGGGTGGCATGTAACCGTATTTCAAATTTTCAGAGGGGTAGCAGTGTTTGTTTCCTGCAGTAAGAAACTTGGACCTTAAAGACTAACACATTTATTACACCATAAGCTTTTATGTACTACGGTCCTCTTTATCGTATGCATGAATCACTATCATGAGTTTAGGGGCTTACAAAGAGTGACGTCAGAAGAAAATTAAATGCAGAAACATACAGATGGTGGTGTGGCTGCAGCAAAGATTAATATAATGGTGTTATGATGCTTGGTACTTTATTTTCAATCCCTTCTCATATATCAGTATTTAATTTGCCTTTTTCACAGCTTCAACACTGTGTTGGCATTTTCAGCGTACAAGTATCACAATAAGTCCAATCTTGCTTTCCTGGGGAAGTTCAGTCCATTCAATGAAAGTGTGTCGTTGTAATTGGTAATATTAAGCAGCATGATTTTCTCAGGCATTCTCATGTGTGGGGTGTTTGTAAACCTTAGACTTCTGAATGCATTGAAGAGAGCAGTGTTATAAGACCCTATGCTTAAAAAACAAGAACTGGAATTAATACATTAATCATTTATCCTAGGAAAACAATACTGAGGTGGAACAATTATTCTTCTAGCATAGCTCTTCTTAGAAACTGAAAATCTCTTGCATAACTCCCGCATATTCTCACAGCATACTGTAACTCAGTCTGTAGCTAAGCATGAACACATATAATTGAAACAACCACATGTTGCTTTCTTATTTGCCCCTACCTCCTCTGCCTCCTACCCTCCTGCATTTGATTTTAGATTGTAAACTCCTTGGGATATGGGCCTGCCATATTAAGTATTAAGGCTACCAATGGCTACTAAGCATGTTAGCTGTGTACTACCTCTAGCATCAGATGCAATATGCCTCTGAATACCAGTTGCTGGGAAGCAACATTGGGGATTGCGCTGTTGCACCCAGGTCCTGCTTGCAAACTTTACACCAGAGACCAGTTTCTTCTTCTGCCTTCCAACATGAACCACCACCAGAAGCAGCAGCAGAAGAAACAGCCCACAGAGCAACAGCTGAACAAACCTGAGGACATGGAGATGGAAGGATCCTCATTTCCACACTCTGCAGCTCCTTGGCCATCCCCACATCTTCTCCTCCACCCCTGCCAGGAGACACCCTCTGCTTTCTGCCTTCACACAGTCCATGGGCACCAGCCTGGATGATTCACCAGCTGCAAGCTCATCCAGGCCCCCAGGATTCTTCTGAGGCTCCCTCAGCACCTGTAATGCAGGCTCTCCCTCCTGCCTGGTGGACTCAACTAGCTGCCCTGCTCGCTCCCCTCTGTTTTGTTTTGTTTTGTTATTGTTATTTATTGTTTCTAAGCAGCTTTGAGATTCATTTGAATGAAAAGTGGCATAGACATACAATAAATCAAATCAATCTGGTTGGCTACTGTCAGAATAGGATGCTGGACTATTTGGGCCTTTTGTAGGATCCAGCAGGGCTCTTTATGCATTCTTAAGATAATGCCCAATAAATAAACAAACAAACAAACACATGTAAGGGATGAAATGCTTTTCAGATCAAAAGTCTTTTTCCCCTTTTTTCTTACCTGCAAAAGTGGAGATCATCCAGTCATAAACAACAGACAATTGAAAGGCTGCAATATTAACTAAAATTAACAAGGATATCAAAGGTATTGAAATCCATGTCGCTGCCTTCAAAATAAGCATCCTTGCACACTATATTAAGAGTATGATGCTCTCTTGTGGATAATTTACCTGTCTAATAGTGCCTAAGTTTACACTGTATGTAGATGGGCAAAGTGTTGTTGTTGTTGTTTTGTCGTTTAGTCGTGTCCGACTCTTCGTGACCCCATGGACCAGAGCACGCCAGGCACTCCTGTCTTCCACTGCCTCCCGCAGTTTGGTCAAACTCACGTTTGTAGCTTCGAGAACACTGTCCAACCATCTCGTCCTCTGTCGTCCTCTTTTCCTTGTGCCCTCAACCTTTCCCAACATCAGGGTCTTTTCCAGGGAGTCTTCTCTTCTCATGAGGTGGCCAAAGTATTGGAGCCTCAGCTTCACGATCTGTCCTTCCAGTGAGCACTCAGGGCTGATTTCCTTAAGAATGGATAGGTTTGATCTTCTTGCAGTCCATGGGACTCTCAAGAGCAAAGTAGAGGAAGACATTGCTACCACAATCACATGGTTTCATACAAGCAGTTTCAGCACCCTTTCTTAGCTTGCAATACTTGTCTCTCATGTCAGAGGTGTTTACAGGAAAAAATATATTCAGTAAAACAAACCTGGATAGCTGAAGCCAGCCAGCCATGCTACACTCTGCAGAGAATAGTAAAGTCTTCCAGCATCCCCAGTCAGTCTCACCTAGCAGAAAATGGGCTCAAGGCAAATAAGCCTCCCCTCACCCTGCCCAAAACCTAGAATTTGTTTCCTGTCATTGAAAATTGTAATAATGTGCTCAGTAGCCCCCAACTGAAAGAAAACCACAACTTTTGGGGGAGGCGGGGTTGCAGGAGATACAACTTTCTGACCCTATCAAGCCGCTATTGAGGCATCAGATTAAAAATAATTATATGGTGTCACTCACGTATTTATCCAGCTTTGTTTGCCCTCAAAACTGCACTGTGGAAACTGTTCCAGAATTTCACTGCTTTAGTGATTTAAAAAAACAGCATGATTCTCAACTAAGTTTTATTAATGGACAGTTTAAATCCACTGGTTCTCAGGCTCTTGTTTTCCATTAACCTAAATATCATGTGTGGGGTACAGGCTAAATGCTGCCTTATAGAGTTAATTTCACTCAGCATTCTCTCAATGTGTTGTATCTATACTACGAGTGAGGTTACATAAGTCAGGGTTGTTTATATTAAATTCAAACTTTATTCGTAAGCCTGATCTACAGAAGCCAGTTGCCTTTAGATTTCCATTGCTGCTTGTTAGTATCTGTCTGCTTCAAGTGCACCTCTGGCTGAAGTCAAACCACTGCATTAGCAGCATCTAGGTGATCTCCCCAGGCTGCAAGCCTAGGCAGTGTGCATGAGGTCCTGGGCTGTCCAGACAACAATACATTCCTCTCCAAGGGAAAGTAGAGCAGTACGTTTGGCACCAGCTTGGCTTCAGGAGTTGCTGGAAGGAGGCATACAAGGCACCATCCAACCCTCTTAGGGACTCCACTCTGTATTCGTGTAGGGTTTACTCCTCAGCCTTTTCTTCTCCTGAAGATATCCTGCAAGCAAAAGGTGGATTAGGATCTGAGTTTTCTTTCTCTGAGATGGACTACCTTTCCCAGGTTGACAAGCCCCATCTGCCCCTCACTTCCTTCTAGAAAGTGCAGAAACTGTTCTCTTGACTGTTGGACCCACTATTGGTCTCATCTGCTCAAGCCACCAGAGTTTGTGTTCACATGCAAGGGAAGTCCCAACTCAGCGAGGGTTTGAGATCCAGCAGCTCCCCTCACCTGGTTTAGCCAGCCAGTCAGAGCCACTTCCCAGGTATGGTCGCTGTCACATGCTGACAGCTTCTAGAAGCCACAGGTAAGAGGTGAGTGCAGGGTAGGTACCAAAGATGGACAAACTACTCCAGAAGGAGCACAACATGGGCCTCACCAAAGGTATTAAAGGTAAAGGGACCCCTGACCGTTAGGTCCAGTCGCAGACGACTCTGGGGTTGTGGTGCTCATCTTGCTTCATTGGCCGAGGGAGCTGGTGTACAGCTTCCGGGTCATGTGGCCAGCATGACTAAGCCACTTCTGGCAAACCAGAGCAGCGCATGGAAACGCCGTTTACCTTCCCGCCGGAGCGGTACCTATTTATCTACTTGCACTTTGACGTGCTTTCGAACAGCTAGGTTAGCAGGAGCAGGGACCGAGCAACGGGGATTCGAATCACCAACCTTCCAATCGGCAAGCCCTAGGCTCAGTGGTTTAGACCACAGCACCACCCGCGTCCCATACCAAAGGTATTACCCCTCCCCTAACACCCCACACCCCTTTGAAATAATAAGCTATGGAAAATACACACACATTACTACTACTACTATACCATTTGTAAATCTAAGCTGGTGATTGGTTGCAGTATTTTCTGGCTATGGCACCTCTGGTTTTCATATAAGTCACTGATTGTCATATTTTACTGAGTTTGCTGCAGTAAGTGCATCATTTGGTAATCAAGGATGTCTAAGTGATATTTGAGGAGTCACATAGCTAGATATTTAGAGTGGTATTTATGCAGAATATTTTCTTTCCTCCTTTCTGAGTTCCACTACCGTTGAAATAATGGGTACGACTGCATAAGCAGCATTTCATACATCAAGGAGATCTGTGAAAGTGTTTCAGTTCCCAGTAGGATTTGTTTGTAAGTTTGTTCTGATGCATGAACAAATAACAAGTTGAGGCCATCAGTCAATTAGCTTGGAGGTCTTCGCACCCTGATCCTGATAATCTGAACCACTATAGCTGCCTGCAATGGCTGTGTCACATCATGTTTACAGTTGACACAGCTGTTATTACACCCCATTCCAAGCACTTTTATTTATTTAAGCTATTTCTCATTTAGCACTCATCTCCACCCAAAATATGTCCACACAAAGCACTTTACAAAGACTGAAATTTATAATATATTAAATAACACTCACCAAAACAAACAAAAACAATAAACCAGATGCATCCCAATAAATCATCAGTAGTTAAATTCCATTTTCTTAACTCAATTAGTTTTCTTAATTCAACTGATCCCAAAAGCCCTCTGTAGTCAAACTGCCATTATCTGGTGCCTCTCTGTAGAGTAAATTCCATAGCCTCAGTGCTACCACCGACCACCATAAATGGTGGCTATCCATCTGGGTAGCCACCCTATGTACCTCTGTGGGTCACTAAGGGTACCAGAGCCTTCCTCTCCCAGAAAGGGTGCATCTGGCATACCAACTTTAGCTGATAGGAGACACTTCTACTAGACACCATTGCCACCTGGAAGTCTAGCAGCAACCCCGGGTCTAAGAGTTCCTCCAAGCAGCAGATCTGAGACTTCAGGGGTGTGCGACCCTGTCCAACACACTGATCAAATGCACACCAACCAATATTTTATCTAGATTTCAGTTTCACTCTCCAGTCTTTGTTTAGTTCTTCTAGTCATCTAGTGCCTCCTTGGCACTGGAAGTGAGTGACAGAAGTAACAGAAGATAGAAGTGAGTGACAGAGCTGTGTGTCATCCACAAACCTATAAGACTGTACCCAAAGTGTCTGGATGACCTCACCCACTGTTTTTCTGTAGATACAAGTTACAACCTTGTTATAAGTGGATCAGCAGTTTCTTACCCTTCTAGATCAGGGTAATCAGATGTTGGGCTACAATTCCCAACACCTCTGACTATTAGGCATGCTGGCTATGGGTTGTGGGTCCAACGATATCTGGAGAACTTCACATTGGC